TATAATCTGGTCTTGCTTGATCCAGTGGATGTTTTCCCCACTCTCATCACCAGATGGAGATGCTAGCCTAGAGCTCTGAAAAGGACAGGAACTAAGATGCTGCTCATGTCTAAGCCACATGCATGCTAACTACCTGCTAATCTTGGACCCTGGACACCCAAGACCCCCGACACCTACTCTGCCTGCACTACTTGGCCTCTCTGACCTAACACCTACTCCCACCAGCTAACCTCTCACAGCACTGTGCCCTCACTATAGTGCTTGTGGTATTGCTGTGCTCATGAAGCTTTGAATTGTTGTAAAGGTGGTATCTGATAATGCAAAATGGCAAAACCATCAGAAGTCAGTTCCTTCATCACAATGATTTCAGGTATCTTAGCAACTACCATGTTTGGAATATCATCACCTTCACCAAGATAAACATTTTGAAGCTGTGAATTGTTGCAAAAGTATCCAAGAAGGCAAAATGATGGGCTATTATAATGGAGCACATTAGTGCCAGAATTGCAAAAATGAAACACTAATGGTTGTTCATTATGGGCAATGATAGATGCTATGATGAATATGCCATTCTTGATACTGTTAGCCTGTTCTCACTAAGAGTAAGAGAGCACCAAAGAGATTATGTGAGAATCTGAGAAAAGAAACTGGAAAAAGAAACAAAAGATCTTGAGGTGAAGTGAGATTTATTAGTCTATTAGTCTTGTTTTCTTGTTTGTGACACTTTCAATTGAAAAGTTCACTGTTGTGCTAGAAAATACAGCCATGATCTGATTGTATGCACATGGTGAGCAGTGATGTCAAGCCTTAGAGATGTGATTTCTAGCTAAAGCAAGTAGAGAATAAGTTTATTCAGGATACTAGAAACAGCAGTCACAGTGAATAAATTAACTGCTTACCACTCTGCCAGTAGGCTCATGATTGTCATGTTGTAGTCTGTGAGAGATATAGTTATGGACTTAGTAGTAACTTGAAATGCAAGGAAATGATTATATCAAGCCAGTGTCATGGTGGAGACAAATGACATGGTGAGTGGATAAGAAGATGCATGAAGTTCAACTGCACTAGCTTAGAATAAATATGATGCAAATGCATGGGGTACAAGTTATGGAGTAACACAAACAAAATATGCACAATGCACATGCGCATTGTGCATGTATATATGTGCATATATGCAAAGTTTATTGAAAGTTAAAAAAATATTGCAAACTACACAAACAAAGTTTGATATGCTTGCATTTGCACACCTATACTTCCCATATTTCCTTCTTAGTAAAGAGGACAGATAGGGCTTTTCTGTCCCCTTCAGTAAGCTAGGAATTCATTCATACAGAGCACCATGGGTGCACACCAGCAAACAACCATGTCATGACCTTAGTGGTGAGTTATTTACTTTTGTATTTACTGTAATAGTATTATTTTTTTTTTTGTTTAATGTTTACCCTGTGCCCAGTGATATTTCTATACTTATCTCCATATACTGTCATTGTCCTCAATGATAAGCTCAATACTTGCACCATTGTCTGATCTTTTTCCTTCATTCTTTGCATGTCATATTGGCACCCAGCATTATCTGTCATATTCCCTCTAAGTGGTCTTCTTTTGTTGTGTGTTGGACTTCAGCCAGCTATCATATCTGCTAAATGATACATATTTCTTACTACCTATCCACTGTAGTTATTGGGCCCTATAGCTATCACATGCTTATGGCTTCTCTTATGATCACCTTGTGTGTTGACACATTTGTTTGCTTGTTTTTGTTTTTGAAACAGCAGGCACCCTCCTCGTCTTTCAACCACCACCACCAATCAATATCAACATCGCTACCTACTAACAGTTTATAGTCAATAGTTTGTGAAACTTCTTAAGTAGTGTCTCCTGCAAATGTGCTGTGCAAGCAGGTGGTAGCAAAGCCAAGATTATGCAAGTTAGTGGTGTCCAGCAGCAGGAAGAAGAAGCTAGGATAGTTTGTGCTGTGCTACCAAGAAGTATGCTTTTTTATCTGATTTAAACAAGCTGAACCTTTTGTAGAGCTTCCTCTGCATGAATACAAGTGGCTCCTGGCTTCTGAGTTGAACCACCATAAATTTCACAAGGTACGAAGCAGTACATTGATGTAAACTAAGAGAAAACTAAGTTCTTTTATTTTTGTTCCTGTTCATGCTCTTGCCCTATACAGCTTACCTTGCTCTCGCCTCCTCCTCAAATGCTACCTGTTTTGCAGTCAATTTTCTTGCCCGCTTTGTATGTAGCTGCAGTTTCTCATTCTCATTAGCCCCTGCCTAGTATTTGCAGCAGTAAATATTGACACTGGGTTCATTGGAGAGCTCTGTCATTGTTGTTGGAGTGATATTGAATGTAGGGATTTGAGTATCTAGATGGCATGTCAATCAGCTACTATTAAAAAATAACAGACTTTGATTTACTACTGAGTACGTGAAGGACAGATTCTACTACATCATCAGTGTTAGGATTGACAATGGGAGCTGGTGATGATGAATGAGAATTAGAAGTGACAAATAACAAGGCACTCGAGGACATGTGAAGAAGGCTGTAGTCTATCAGATTATTAGTAATAGGATTTAACATTAGCTCAGACTCTAATGTATTTGATGTATTAACTAAAGCATTATTAAGTTCTGACAAGGAATGTGAAAGTGAGTCTGGTAGTGCCAGAGATAGAGAAGGCTGTGTAACTTGAGAGTGTAAGGTATCTAAGTTAGATAAATGCTCTAAAGTAGGCAGTAGAATGGAAGGCTCCATTTCGGAAGTCAGTACAGCTCCAAGATCTGTCATTTTTCTTTTTTGTTCTTCAACTTTCTCTGCACTAATGTCTACAAAGTGGCAGGTCTTGATCTTGATGACATCAGCAAGCCTCTCAAGTGCCTCAACACCACCTTTTAGGTCTGATGGATTGACTCATTGAGGGTGGTTCCATCCCACAAGTTTGACATGATAGTAGCAGATAATCAAGGCCTCATATTTTGTAAACTCAACGGTAGCTGATGCATCATTGGTTGCTTCACCTAGTGGTCCTCCTTTAGAATTGCAATAAATGATAAATAATCAAATACTTACAAAGAGAGGCCCTGAAGTGGATGAAACTTTGTGATATATGTCACCAAGAGATCTGGTGTAAAGAGTTGATTCCTAGTGGGCTATACAAAAGGTGTTACCTTAAGACTCAAAGTGTATATACTTTTCTTTTATGACAAGGATCAGTGAGATATAGGCTGGGATGCTGAGATAGTATGTACACTTGCTATTTCTACTGATAAGGAGTCTATACTCTCACATCATTGAATTTTAATAATCAGACACCTAGAATACCTTTCATATATATCCTTAGTTATGATATTAAAGTTTGGGAAAGATCCATCAAAAGCTAAGTGCATGATAACTAAACTAACATATGTGTGAAATATGACAATTGACATCTATTTATAAACAGTCACATTGATATATCATACAGGTCGAAGATTTTATTAAAAATATGTAGGACATATAATAGACTACCTCAGGAATCTATACTACATATTGCCCTAAGGATAGAGGCTGGATAGAAGAGGTGTGATTTAGAAGTGTTTGAGTTAGTAGCCTATAGTCATATATACATATGACGACATAGGTCTAGAAGACCTATTCATGTTATCAAGATAAGAAGACAAGCCTCATGTTGCCTTATGTACTAATAGAAGGACACCTTGTGGTCCTATCTTAGAAGACCTGCCTTATGCATGGTATCTTTGACTTGATAAATAAGCAAATTAGAACCCAGCTTTAAGCTGAGCTTAGATATGATAGAGTAGCCTTATATAAGATCGAAGATTAAAGTAGATGTTCATTACTTGAATCTTACTGGGTTTTACCTTAAACCCCTTATCCTGCTAAAGCTACTTGCTCGACATTTGATCTGTACCTTCAGAAGGACCCTATCAGAACCCTTCTGTCTGTAACCCGCTATAATCGCCTATAACCCTTTGCTATTCACACAAGCTACGCCAGCGTATACAACTCCTGCTTGTCTGTAGGAGCCGAAGAACCTCAGCACTTGGTACCACTGTGGTGGTTGTCACTGAGCAGATTATCTCAGTTTGCACACAACCTAGTGTCATAACAGCTAGGATATCCCAGCATATAGGGTAAAATATTGGGAATACCATCCTAAAGCCACCCACTAGGTCTTTTGCTAGCCACAAACACATAGACCTAAGAGGTCTTTTTGAGTGGTTGATTGAAGTGGTATTAGCAAGAGTTTTTGATATATGGGCCCCTAGATATAATCAATAACAAATAACTAAGTGAAAAATGCACCAGCAAAGTCAAACGGACAAGGACAGGACATGGTATGGAAGACTGGAAAAGCTAAAAAGGCCTCGGAAATGAATGGATGATCTTCAGACGACTTGGACAAGTGCGCACAATCTTCAGAAGATTGGAAGTGTGTCAAGGAATGTAAGATGTGATTTTGACCAGATATGTGTCCAGCGCTGGCCCAAGTGTTACACCGACCACACAGCCAGAGTATTCACTGAAAGGCATGTGAGAAGAAAATAGAGAACAAACTTTGAGATGAAGCCATTGTGAGTGCCATTTGAGCAAAGGGTATGTTGTCATTTTAACTCTCTTGACCTTGCAATTCAGATATATTTATCAATGAATCTGTAGCAGGGGCTAATTCTAAATCAGCACTTCGACATGCAGCATCTCAGACTGTCTGTGCAGCAGGTGTGTTCTCCTTTAATACTAATAGGGTACATGTGCACATTACTAGACCAATATTTTGTAAGGTGAATTGAGCTAGCACCAGTCTGAGCATGCACTGCCATCTTGTGAATGAAGTATGCATGATGATATATTGGATGGTCAAAGATCATATGTTTGGATAGGATGATATCAAGGTCAAGTATCACCCAAACAGTGGCCTCAAGACCAAATTCACGCATTCAAGGAATTTCAGCATTGTCTGGTGGCTTCTGATCCCCCATTTAACAGTTTGCCAGTCGCAACTGCCTGAAGGTGCTAAGCCACTGACTTTTATATTGTATGCCGACAAGACTAAGTTGTCAAATGCTGGTACTGTGAAAGCCTATCCTATCATTGCTCAGTTAGTAAACTTGCCTACAGACATATGGAATGGAGAAGGTATAAGTGGTGGTTATATTGTTGGCTGGCTACCAGTTGTATGTTGATGCCAGGATTATAAGAATGTGTGATATTGTACTGATAATTAGCTTCACTAATAAGGTGAAGGAGGACAAAGAATTTGCAAAAAAGCCTGGCTGGGTTAACTTCAAGAACACAGTTTGGCACAAGGCATTCTCAAGGATCCTCTCATCACTATCATCAAAATCAAAAATGGGTCAATGGTTCAAATGCTTAGACCAACTCTTACACTGGTTCTTCCTATCAATTCTCATTTTGTCAGCAGATTATGAGGAGCAGTAAGTATTAACCATTATGATCATTTATTTGCTGCAGACTGTTGCTGACAATTATAGATGTGTAATGTCATTAGTTCAAGGAGTATGGAGCCTGTGGCCATGCCATATTTTCCTGGTTCCTCAAGATTCACTCTTGGATGCATCTAAAAGATATTCTCTCCAAACAAGCAACAACTCACAGGCAATTATCAAATTAGCACAAATGAAATGCACTTTGGAGGAGAAAGAGAAAACACTGAAGGAGTATGAGTTTTGTGGTGTGGATTTGAGTGTTTCTTAACCTTTCTGAATCCTGCTTTTGATGACATACATTTACAGAACTCGCTTTGATTGATGACTCATACAGATGTTCACTGATGTAACACTTGAATTGGTGTTGGGCATGCATCCTGCCAAATTCACATATTACATTCCTCAACATTCTTCTGACCTTCTGAAAGTTCCACGTGCTTGTCCAAGTTGTCTGAAGGCTGTCCATCCACTTCCAAGGCCATTTTAGCTTTTCTAGTCCTCCATACCATATCCTGTCCTTGTCCGTTTGACTTCACTGGTGTATTTTCACTTGCTTATCTGTTATTGATTATGTCTAGGGGTGCATACATCAAAAACCCTTGCTAATACATATAGGTATGCACCTCATGCATTATTATATGTATATCTTCATAGTAGCTCACCTTGAGTCTTATTATATTTCGAATGGCTTATCTTGCTACAGTTCTTGCCTATGCAGATTCCGGACTTTCACGCTTGCTATGAGTCATAGTTAGTAGAGTCACTTTCAGATCTTAGTATTTCACACAATCAATATTTTGTTCATTCAGAGGCCTGACCACTGCCATCTTGCTTATTGATATCCCTAAGTCTTTCGACAGACTTCACATAGTTATACTACATGAGTTTTATACTTCGACAAACCACCATATTCCTCACCAGAAACCTTGTTGTTTCACCAGAAGCTCACCAGAAGCCTCATGCAACCTCAGAGCTTGATTTCTTGATATCAGACCTTGACTGGACACTATCAGAGCTCAACATCATCAGAACTCTGAATGTACTGGAGGTATCTTTTCCTTCTCTCTCCTTCAATATTAACAAGATATCTCTTGCATTTTATATCAAGAGATAATCCTACAGGCAGTCTCTTTGGGATGAACATCTCACTTGCGCATTCAGTTTTAAGGTAAGACCTTTTGTATAGCCCACCAGGAATCAACTCGTTACAATGTGCACCTGTTCAACAACATCCAAGCAAAAGGAACTACACATAACTACAACACAAAGCCAAATGAAAAGGTGCATGGATCATTAAAGAATTTGTATTTGTTGTGGACTAACTTCCAGAATATTGCTGAACAGATGTTAAGATCGTACTCTCGTAGGATCGGATCCGAAGGACTTCGGCCTCAGCTTGTACGCTGTGCCCCTTTCCCAAGTACTTGTCCCTTATTTCAAAGTACTAATGATAACACATCCGAAGGTCCAGATGGGTCTCATAGATATATCCGGATGACTTCCGGATATCGGAAATGCATATAAGACTAATCCAGACAGATCCGGACTAGAAACGAACAGAGTATAGACTATCGGAATCGATCCGAAGTCTCGGAGGTTTGACAAGAGTTGAAGACTCAAGTCTGGAGGACAGAAAGAGGACAAACTAAGATGATATTTGAACTGAGGTACTACAGGACATATACACGGGCTTATATACTAAGAGGATAACGAAACAATAAGTAAGAAAAGGTCCGAAGGCTATGTATGAAGCATGTGCAAAGGTTATCAAATGCGAGTCGGAAATGAAGCACAGGTTAATGGATCAGTAATCATACCAGTAATAAGTATAGCCAAAACACCGGGAAGAGGAAATACCGGATAGGCTGTGTTTAATATTAAATGAACAGGAAATGAAATAGGAAGCTTATCGGATATCGGATCAGAAGTGGATCTATGCATCGGACCGGACTGGATTCAGGGTCCGAAGTCCGAAAGAGAAGCGTAAATATATGGGATATGACAACAGGTCACACTATTTAGTTGTACCAGGTGATACTCTCTGAAATGCTTCAATTACAGATCCTGTATGTAAATCACTGGCAACTGGTTGCAGAGGATATTCACCACTGTTTTACAGACTTTGATGAATATCATTGCTTACAGGTTATACAAAATCAATCTGACAACAACATATCAGATGTGGATGTCCCAATTCCGCTAATGGCAGGTTTCCTCCATGTGAAACTTGGATCAAAACAACTTCCACAAACTTGAGTTGGTCAAGAATGTTCACCATAGCAACAATGTATTTTCAAACTTCTGCACTAGACTCAATAACTTTTTGAACGACTTCTTACCTGCTTGCAGTATACCTCTGCCACAAGGGAAACAGATTCACCTCCAGGCAACTGATGAGGTGTGATTATTTTGTTTTTTATCTGCTAATATAGCCCATGTTTTCAATGACTTTCCAATTAGCCCCAGAAAATGCAGGGCCCTCCTCACTCACATTGTCTATCTGCTTTATATTATACAGACCTCCAGTATGCAAGAAGCTCTTCTAATACAAAGGTGCGTATTCATATTCTCTTCCCATTTCCATGTAATGATTGGTATCTGGCCATCAAGGAATTTGCAACCACCACTGAAGATGTCATCATGGTCACAAGTAGTATTGCGAAGGACATGCAACCAAACTCCAAGGTCATTTACTGGCCAAATGCAATTTGTGCGCTCTGGCTGTTCTCAAGCAGAACAATGATCTGCCCTTGCTGTTCTCAAGCAGAATTATGTCTCACCCTCTTTTCAGCTGCCAAGAACTCATAAGACTCTGGTCCCACATGCAGTGTGAATATCCATACCTCCCTATTTGGTCTAGCTACTTACTACCAGCATGCTTCATTACATGTATGTGATGGCTTGAGTTTACCACGATGTAATATGACTGGTGGTGTTTGCTATTAGGTGGTGCCAGACTCTGCATTATATAAAGTTGTATAAGTGGCTAAATTCTCCTCACCTTTCTCTTCCTGCATCTTATAATAACTCAAGCAAAACTGATTCATATCAGATACTGACAGCGACTGGGATGGTCCCGATGTTGGTATTGATCATTCAATTCCTGGGCCTAGTGCATCAAAAGGAGAACTTTTAGATGTAAGTAACAATCAAACTTGGTATACACTACATTACAATGATATTTTAGGCCCTCAAAGCACTGCAAATTGATATTCAGAAGCTCTGTAAAGAGAATAGGGCTCTCAAGGAAGAGAACAAAGTTCTCCTTGCAGAGAAGCCCAAGCAGAGGTGAAAGGTGAATGCAGAGCCTTCTGAGAAACTTGTCGCCCATGAGACTACAATCATCATCAATGCTCACAAGTATGGCATGATGACTGAGATGTTTCCTTCCAAGGACCTTCTCAATAAGTTCCTACCTTTGTCTCTGACTCCTTTTGATAGTATCGATCAATACAAGACTGCACCCATACAGAAATCTGCTTTCTTGGATGAGTTGTACCATGGCTTTCTAGAATGAGTGCATGTAGTCATGGCAAGCTCTTATTTTGCTGAACTAATGAGTAATTTTCTTCACTGGACTTATGTGCTCATCCTCACTATGGTATTAGGTACTTAAAAGCATTGCAGATGCTCACTCGAGTGAGATCAAGAAGCTACAGAATGTTGTTGGCACAATCTCTGACCTTCCATCAAAATACTTTACCAACATTGGTTATGACCATGTAGGTGTCCCTGAGATCCAAAAGATGCTTGGAGTCACATCTGCTACAAACCCAACATACACAACATTCCCACTGGTTCTGTTTCCTAATTTGATTGAAGACAAACCTCTCAAGATTGTGTTCAGAAATTGGAAAATGCTAGCACAGGTAAGATAGTCATTCTCTTATCATTTACATGTCTTACAACAAACACACTCAGATATTGAAAGTAGCATTACATGGTGTTACATCACTCTACCAGGGTACCAGTCACGGCGGTAGCACACACACAAATTCACAAAAGTGGGACGTCCACCAAGTCACACCAGGATCAATTGCATGGGCATCCATTATGGCACAATATTAGAAATTGTCCTCACTGTTAGATCCTCTCACTGACATAATGATACAGGCATTTTTTTTCTCTCATCTAACACTGAATTCTCTGGATTCAGCATTGGGAAGAAATCAAACATCAACTACAAGGAACTTTTCTACAACTACAAGAAAGCTCTTGTGATAAAATAGAAGAGTAAGCACATCAGGGAGATCATCACTAAGCTCAACAACTACATTTTCAGTGCCACACAAACTGCTATCATTAATGCTAACCATGATCTTTCCAAAGCAATCAGTTAAACTATGGCAGTACTTGATGTAGATAGTGATGACGTGTTAAGACCGTGCACAAAGGGTAGGACTGATTCTGAGGGGCTTGGCTTCAGCTCGTGCGCTGCGCCCCTTACCTGAGTATGTGCCCTTAATTTTAGATTGGTGTCCGAAGAAAGTCTGAAGACGTCCGAAGGCGCGGGAAACTTCGGGAGGACTTTCTGGATGGGTGCAAGTAACTTCCAGATGAGTGTGGGAAAGTTCCGGAGGAACTTCCGGAAATTACAATGAGGTTTCGTCCTGATACAGATATGTGTAATGGCTACTCAGTACAAGTCCTGAATAGAAGCAAACAGAGGAAAGGCTGCAAGGACAAAGTCCAAAGCAGAATAGGTCCGGAGGACCACAGGAAAGATCCAGATGAACTTCCAGAAACTTCAGAGGATCAGATGAGTGGATGAGCAGAGTATTGGATAAGCAGAGCTCGGCCTAGGGAGAAACTCCCTAGGCCTGAGATGGGTAACAACTAAGTTGGGAGACTAGAACTGATATAAGGACTTAGAGTGAGATCTAGTGCGAGGACTAATATGATATTCAGACTGAGGAACTACAGGACATATACAAGAGTTTATATACTAAATGACTATCAGAAAGATCAATAAGCAAAGGTCCAAGGCTATGTACGAAGCATAAACAAAGTTATCAAATGGGAGTCGGAAATGAAGCATAGGTTAACGGATCAGTAATCATACCGGTAGTAAGTATAACCAAGGTACCAGGAACAAGGAATACCGGATAGGCTGTGTTAATGTTATATGCACAGTAATGAATCAAGAAGCCTAGGAAATGGATCTATACATCAGATCAGATCAGATCAGATATGGTCCGGACGAGATGTGTGGATATATGGGATATGACATTAGGGCAATGGGACAAAGGATGAATGATGCAGGCTAGCTGCAGAGGTATGGAGGTCCGATGCATAGAGATACAGGGGTCCAGAGGTCCAGATGAAGTGTGGGAACATTGTTGGACATAGGTCCGGAATACGGGATATGACATGACACATCTGTGGATATACCTGCCCATGGTGCACCTGATAATGTTATAACTGCAGCCAAAGAGCCTGCCTTTGTGCCACAGACCATTGAGAGCATCTGAGGGGCATCTTCCCTTAGCAACTTTGACAAGGGCAAAACTGACACTGATGGGACCATTCAGGGATTATTCAAGGCTTTGGGAGGATCACAAGGTGAAGACAGGGGAAGGTGAAGAAAAAAGAAGACCATTGTACCTTCTGAGACCACAGCAACTCATGCAACTCATTCTTGCAAGTAATATTACTCAATTTTGCCCATGTATTAGGACTCTGAATTGATGACTACAACTGCAGCTATTACTTTGAGTCTATTACATAATATTAATAGTACATTGAGCATCACTTACAGTATTGAGTGAACATGTTTATACCTCTTGTTTCTCTACCATAACCAACCACTTTAGACCAATGACAATAGTGGTATTCAAAGTAAGATTTTGAAACACACTGAAAGTGCATTGAAACTTATGTTGAAAGAGCCATGAAACTTTTTCAGTGTGATTTCAAGCTCCGCTCGATTACCTTAGACACGATGCCTCAACAATCTGCGTGTCAAGACCTCTTACACCAGCTAGATGCTGCCTCAATGGAAGTTGTGATGGCTCGTACAGAGCATGCTAGACATGAGTTAGATCTTGATGAGTCCAGTTCAGGCTCCGATAGTACAATACCGAGTCCCATGATCATATCCCCACTCTCTCCTATCTCACCAAATATATCGGATACTTCATCAGACAATTCAACTGACAGTTTGGGTACCAACTTCTGCAATGTCAATCTACACTATCTGCGCCTTTTGGGGGATATCACGGCACTTCGTGATGAAGTAGAAAGAGCACAAGTCCTCCATCGCCCTGATGAGCCCCCCATGCGCACACCGCAGATTCAGCTCTTACCACACTTTGCTGCCCATCGCCCAGATCTTTTTCACCAGAAACTGCACGTCTACCCTGAAATTTTTGACGACATCCTTGACTGTATCAGCGATAATCCCATCTTTCAAAACAATTCCAATAACTGCCAGCTCCCCATTGCCCTGCAACTAGCTATTTTTCTCAATCGTGCAGGCCACTATGGCAACACGATATCTAATGAAGATGTCTGCCAATGGGTGGGTGTTAGCGTTGGCTCGGTCACTAATTGTACCAATTGTGTCATGATTGCTCTACTCGAGCATCATGACCAGTTCATCTTCTTCCCAAGTCTCAATTCTAATGATGCTGCTCGTGCCTGAGAGTACATCTCAAAGATCTGCCCACAATGGCGCAACAGTATCTTCGCTACTGACAGCTCTATGATCAATCTTTGTAACAAGCCGGGGCTCTATGGAGAGACATTTTCAATAGAAAATCCGACTACTCCCTCAATTGCCAGGTGAGTATTTCTCATTTTTTTCTTAAAACATTCAACTAATATATGTCTAGGTAGTGGCAATGCCTCATAATCTTATTATTGTGGATTATTCAATCAGCCACGTCGGTAGCGCGCACGATGCACACACTTTCCACTCTACACATGTTTTTCAAGACCACGAGGTGCTCCTCGGAGACAACCACTGGATCTGGGCTGACAGCACATACCCTTTGGAACCGTGGTGCATTGTGCCATTTAAGAAACCACACAATGGCGCACTAAGCAAAGTGCAAAAGAAATTCAACTATAATCTCTCTACGGTACGTATACTATCTTTTTCATTGTATCTATTTACCGATTTTTGGGGTTAGGTCTGCGTTCGCATCAAGCATGTCTTTGCGGCACTCAAAGGCCGTTTCCAATCTCTCCATGAGCTTCGGCATCTGATACAAACTGAGAAACACCTCGAGTATACATCGTACTGGATCATGTGCTGCTTGATTCTCCACAACATGGTCATCCAATTCGAGGAAGAGTGCCACATATCTACTACTCAATGGGCCACAGGGCAGGACGGGTTTGAAGAGGAACGAGAGGAGGATGCTGGTGAGGATGGAGCCGGTGACACATTGTATGATGGAACACCTGGACAGGCATCTCGCAGTCAGTTGATGGACTACTTGCTTGAAATGCTTGAGAGGAGGCAGAGGTATGCAAGAACAAGGTACGATGCATATCATCAGTGAAATAGAACATGTAAGGTACACTACGCGTATGAAAAATGCACATGACTTTGAACATGAATACACAAACAAGTGAGTCCAATGCAAATGGCAAATGAAAGCCCCAACATAAACAAGTACAACAACAGCTGCGAGCAAGTAAACAATAAATTAAGTCTCTTTCGATGATGACCCTTCTTTGAGAGTGATCAACTCAATTTCGAGGTGAAGAGCCGCTGCCTTCTCTGACTGAACTTTGGCCTGGGCTTTGAGAAGATGAAGCTCGAGTGCCTTTGCCTCCTGTGACCACTGGTGCACTGAAGCAGCTTCACTGTGCTCAATTACACCCTGCTCCCATTGGAATTGTATATTGCACTCATGGCATAGCACATTGACCTTGGCAATTTTGTACTCAGAGGCAGATTCCTTTGCAGAGTAGATATAGCTCATATCGTTGGTGAGAGAGCTTACTTGGTCAAGCACATCTGATGTTCCCAATTGAACATGCCCTGAAAGGCTGCACTTGTGTGCAGCCTTTTTCCGGCCGGGTCTGAGTGAAGTCTGTGAGTCTTGTGATACCATGCTGGGTGATGAAGCAAACGTCCATGTGGACGTGCTGGGGGTATTCACCGACAAGGACGACATAGATGCTGGCTTTTTTGCACGAGGGGAGCCATGATCCATGGAACGAGCAACGTGAGACTTGCCAGTGAAGGCTGCTTCACGACGATCATACTGCGGGGTGCAATGTGTTGGCTTGAAGGCATGGGATAGTGAGGGGGATCTTTGGTGTGGGTGTTTATTGCTTGGGCACTGAGTGTTATCCTGTTCCTCGTTATCCACCTCCATCTCCAACTCCTCAGCACCATCATCCCAATTTCTGGTGTCACGCTCCTCGAGTGCAGGGTCAAAGTTGTTGTATGTAGGGTCATATGGAGGGTTGTGCCCCCCAATAAAGGTAGCAGGGGGCATGCCTTTGTCAGGCGAATTGTCAGTGTACATATCATCGAGGTCAGCATCCATATCATCGAGGTTAGGGTTGGTATTGGAAAGATCTTGGGAGGCAGTAGGATGAGGGGCATCATCGGGTTCAAAATTTGGAGCCTTCCCTTTCCCCTTTGCTTGTGAGCGCACCATGGAATCATCTGCAGTGGCACTGGAATTTGCAGGATGAGAGGCAACCTGCTTGCCAGTAGGGTGAGAGGTCTGTTTGTGTTTAGGCTGTGTTAGCGCATGGAGGGCACCAGTGCGATCGTTTCCAGGAATGGAGGAGAAGGTCTTTGGGGCAAAAGCAGGATTGTCCTTCCACAGTGCATCCAGGTCTTCGAACCAGGTAAATTCAGACAATACTTGCGCTGTAATGGTTCTAGCTTGGTCAGATAATTTAAACAATTTAAAATAAAACTTGCCTCGAAGATTTACTTGAGATAGAGGGTCAAGAGGGTTGACGCCAGCGCCAGTCATCCCAAAACGATCAGTTGCAGCCTTATACTTCCCCCTGAGACTAAAATTTTGTTAGTGAATATACATGAAAGGAGGAAGATGCACATACTATGCAAGACAATTGGCAATGGCTTGTCCAAACTTTGGCTGGTTCCCTTCTACAGTGTACCGGGTCCCATATGTTGGGTCATTTTCGAATACATGTCTGGCGATTACAAGGTAGATATCAGGCTTTACTCTTGCCTGAAGGACGATCAGTGCCAATCACCGCTGCTGCAATTTTTTTTGTTATCGGAGAAAAGTACGCAACAGTCAGCTGGATGTGCGGCAAGCCAGGATACGAGGATTGTAGTGCCGTCAAAATTGGTGGTGTCCCACCTGATCTTGGTGGGGACAAAGCTGGTGTTGTCCTCATGAGTTATAGGCCAATCTTCAGGGCCTGTAGTGTTGTTGTTGTCCAGATCGGTTGCAGATTGATGTTGGGGGGATCTGGATGGTCAGTACCTCCTCGTCCTCATCCCCTCCCACGAGTCACAGTAGCACCCCTCACTCTCCCCCTAGCCCTAGCCCTCCCCCTGCTATGCAAAGATTCCAAAGGTTGTTGTGGTTGTGGTGGTTGTGGTGGTTGTGGCAGCGGTGCAGTGGTGGTGGTGGTAGTTCACTCATATTTAGACCAGCAGATATTTTGGAAAGCTGCTTGAGGCATGCTGAATGCCTTACAGTGGGTGAACGTATTGGGGGCATCATGCCTGTGCAGCATAAAGTTTCGATTTCAGACTCCGATACCTGCTGCTGGGGTTCCGAAAAGCTCCCATGTTTGTTGATGCTTTCAAAAAAGTTCCAAGGAAGTTTCAAAACCAGCTTTGAATCCCATTAATGTACACTTCATCAACACAATGTTTAATCTGAACCTTTTCCCCTCACCATTCTCCCTCTTAATAAATGACTCAATTCATATTCAGACCCAAACAGAATCTACCAATACATGATGACATTGGCCTCCTCGAAAGTTCATTTATTACAATTATCACTCAAACTTTTTCAACCACTGATTGTTTGTACATCTATTAGCAGGCCAAGTCATTATATTACACTACCTGAGTGCCCACCTGGAATTTGAGTTGTCTAAATGTGTAGGTTCTTTGTTTTTACTATGGCCTCGCAGTTGCTAACATTTTTTGACCTATTATGTTTAATAGTGTGCACCTGACATGCATGCTCTCCTATGCCAGCAACACCTGTGGGTGCTCTATGTCAGTCTGTCCAAGTGTAACAACAAGGTAAGTACCAGATCTATATAAAGCAAACATCAACTGAATTGTATTATAAGTTTTAGGTCTTGATTCAGAGTTCGAACCAGTCACTATTACAATACTAAAGATATAGCTCGCCTTCTGACAAGGCAATAGCAGAAATTGCAATATTTTATTTTCATTACAATACCTGCAAGCTTATTTCAAGCTGTTTCAAGCTATTTACTAATCAGCACGATCCCAAGATGACTAAGTCGGTTGCAATGCATTGCAACCGCCATTGCAACTGTTATTTACATGTGTATTTCAATGTATATTTCAAAGACGTCTCTGTTAAGACAAGGCATTTAAAGGTCCGCTCCCGTTTTAGACGTTGCAAGGCGCTGAAATCCAAATTAGGAATTTGCGACACAGGTGACATCTTTGCGTGGCTTCAGCATGTTTAAGGTTTATCCCACTCAGTTCTATTTCAATCATGGTCATTCAACCTCGTATTGGAGGGAGAATGATACCTATGTTAAGAATTTCGTGCCTAAGTAGCTAGAAATACGAGTTGTGTGAAAGTGCCGACTTGTGGGGGCTGCCGATTACAGTGGAAGGGATATTAGTATATGAAGATTGTTGCAATATTCCAAAAGTAGCTTGCACATGCATCTGACCTTCACACTCACGTCTCAATCAATCATCTTGTTTTAACCTCGGAAAGACTTGGCAGGCAGTCACAGGCGGGTGACTGTGGCAGAGCATATAATTGCAGGTTATCTCTCGACGGAGAGCCGATACGGAGAAACATCATGGAAATGCACTTACTTCTGTCGCGGTACTTGCTGCAGAAATCGCCAAAGTTGAAAATTCCTGGTGGGCACATGTTGAAAACATATGGTTCTGTCAGCTGCTGCTCGTTGCATCTTTAGATTGTTCATTCACTTGAATTTTATCAGAAACAGAGGGCCATTTTGGAGGATCTTGACGCATAGGGAGGAGCTGCCGGTGAGTCGTGACCGCCTGGTAGCCCAAGATATCATGTGAAAATGGTGCCGCGTGAGTGGCGTTAGCCATGCATGATAAGCATCGGGTTAAAGAACTGTGAATCCGAGCGCTTGAACGATGATAGCGCCCTCTTACCATTTCAACTCGTACTTATCATGGGCCTACTTAATAGGATCGTCCAAAGCTTCGAAGTCACTCGTGACTCCAACCTCACCATTACCGAGCAGCTCGTTGCCGTGAGTATCCACAATGGATACGATCCCCCCATGTACTGACGGCAATTTTCTCTATGATAGAACTATGATTTGCTGCCTGTTGAGCCGGAGAAACGCACAGTGGCGTGCATACAACTACATTGCCTTCTGGACGGCGGACACGTTCAACATAAACATGTGGATGATCGTATCGTACGCTCACCACCATCATTATAATTTTGGTCGGTATTAAAATCTTCAAGGTCCATGATCCAACTAGGGATGTCGTGGTGGCAAGCCTGGATATGCACCTGGCTTGGTTATGGCGTTATCGCACCTTTCCTTGTCCTGAATGCACGTCCTGGTGCTATCTTCCATGTGATGTTTCCAATCGTGAATCGCACGAGCTTCGGGATGTTTGGGAGTCTGTGGTGTGTCTTTAATCGCGCCGCTATGGCATGGTGCGCCTTCCTGGCTTCGCAATGATGCACGGGCTAAGTAACATAGCATATGGTATGGCGTCCAGGCGAGCATCGGAGGTTCCTGTGTGCTCGTAATGCTCAGAGCAATGTGGCCTAGCATATATGACCTGCGTGCGTTTATCATTTCCTGTGATAATCATACTCAACTGAAGCTGGCCGATAGCAAATTCGATGCCCTGCATCCTCTGGAACGGACACTCGAGATTTCCTATGCTTCTTCCTCTTCTGGCTCATTTCGCTGCCGATCATTTGGTTCCCTGTGCACAAGGTGTAAGTACAATCACATCTTCCCATGAGGACAGTTCATAAAGTGACCTTCCTCAGCCGCCACTTCTTCCTTGTGACACCCATTCCTGATGCCCATAGCCTCAATCACATTTCTCATATGGTGCATTGTGAAAGCTCATGGAATCGGTCCGGTCATGCATCAACCTTCTACACTGCACGGATCAGAGCTGGGCTGGGCTATGGTGGTCAGTTCGATGTCATGCATCAGTAACAAGGTAACCCTGGTCACCAACGCACCGGATTTTGCCTCCCGCGCTCGCACCTCATCCGCCGCGCTATACCCACAATTGTTTGCGATTCCTCTAAGTGCGGCGTTTGTAAGTTTGATCGGAATCCTTGTGAGCTCGTCGTCGCAGGCAATTTACGGGACAGCCATTTGGTCACCCATCGATCTGTTGGGAAATTTCTTGAACGACAATCCGTCGAAAGCGACGAGATTCGGGGTGGGTGATTGTGATATCCGAGGAGCTGGGCTTATGTCTGACACTTTTACGTCTTCCTCTTTGCAGGTATGGTTTATCTCAGCATCATTCATGCTTGCACAGGTGACGTCGCATATTTTCTTCGCTATTGCGAATTTAATGCTTCTTCTCCTCCTAGATGGGGTGTGTCAAATAATCTACCCAGATTTCAGAGCGGGCTCCGAGCTGACATTGATTATCAAGCACGAACATCTGCGCAAATTCAGTGTCGGCAGGATGCGATTTGACCGCACTGTTCCCTCGTTTTATTGTATGTATATCCGGTGTATATTCAGAACTAACATACTCAAGAACCAACCGCAGAACATCCGACGTGGCGGGTATATCGCTGCTACCGTTGGTTTCGCCATGTGTCCATGGAACCTCCTGAAAAATAGTAATGAGTTCACTTCTTACCTCTCCGCATATTCAGTGTTCCTGAGCTCCATTGCTGGGGTGATGGTACGTAGGCGCTTCTGTAATTGTTCTTTTCATTATTGTGAACGGGCTGCTGTAGGTGACGGAATACTACGTCGTCCGCAAGGGTCATTATAACGTGAAGGACCTCTATAACACCGAAAGGGGCAGCTGGTACTGGTACACGTATGGGATCAACTTCCGGTGAGAGTTTTGATTGCCTTGAAGCGTTCAACCCTGACAAGTGGTGTTAAGGGCATACACCGCATATATTTCCGGGATCCTTATTAACGCTGTCGGTTTCGCTGGAGCCAGTGAGTTGTCACCACGGTCGCGATGCATCGATCCTGAAATGTTATTTCCCAGCAGGGCGCACGGTCCCTCTAGCAGCTACTCGGATATATGAGTTGTCGTTCTTTACGGGCTTCGGAGTTTCTGCAATTGTCTATTGGGCTTTGAATCGCGCCTTCCCGGTAATCGGTGCCGCTGACACGTTCGAGGAAATCGACGTATCTGGATATGAACGTACGGCACGTAGTTTACGGGATGTTGAGGAAGTGGACGACGAGACAAAGGACGGGGGATCAGATCATTCTGCGAGCAAAAGATAAGGTGCTTGCCAGACTCTGTACAAATACCATAAATAGCAACAAGATAACATGATGTCATAGCTAGGGGTTGCGACTTACCATCATCATCTACGCACCGTAAATTCGAACAGAATGTCATCTGGAGGCACACAATCACCACCTCTTGAATATACAGGCTCGCATATCCCTATGGGGGTTTCTTCCATCGATGGTAGTGTCTCGGAGCCGATGTTGGATGCGGAACAACGAAAGAGTGCGTATCATCCAACACGACTGTTGTGTCCCTGTTCAATTTTGAACATTTTAGCCTACTTTGCTGAGCCGGAGTTGGTGAGTTTATTACCGAGAGCAGCGAGGATGCACGTAATTATCAGTTGACTCTCCCACCAGAAAGAACGTGGAGGTACTAAGGAGACAGGGAAAGAGCAGAGAAAGGAATTGGAGAAGGAGAAACAGTGATCACTAACATCAATCAAGGGAACGCGAATAGTTCATGAATCAATGGCTGAAATCGGAGAAGGAAAAGTGCAGGGCTCTTCTGATAGTGATACAATTTAGGTATTTACTTTCCGCCATCGTGTAAATATTCCTCCCACCACGTTCTAAACCCTGTACATTCTAATGGAAGTAGTTTCTCTGTCTCAGCAGTAGATAGGTGGCAATTGTAAGGGCGTGATGTGGCACCGGCACCAGTTGGAGGTGTTGAGACAGGCTTGATATGATTCATGTCATTGAGACCAAGGATGTCGGCAAAGATTTTGCACATCTGGTACTTTGTGAAGGACTCGTTCGCCGAATAGTGGAGAATTGGCGGTAAAGTATCGGGGCTGATATCTTTCAAACCTCGTATTTAGTGCGATGGTTTCCCAGCAGGGACGAATCTGTACACACCCGTCAAGCGGACTAAAAAGGATGCAATGTCCAATACGTTGGTAGGATACCTGATCCCATAGTCATCCATGTTAGACTCCTTTGATCGGTCCTGTACAACATCAACGAGGATATTAACGGCTGAGTCTGCATTGTTAGGTGCAGGGCCGTATCTAAGCGTGGGTGAGATCACAGTCAAAACGAAGCAGTACGACGGGAGGTCACTTGCAATACTGGAACTCTCAAAACAACTGCCCTGGAACCCTGTTGCCGAGCTTGCAATACAGCAGTTTCGCCATCCCGTTTAGTCTGACCGTAGATCTGAAGTGGACTAGTAGGCAACTCCGGTGTATACCCGCCAGGAGGAGGCGATCTTCCGTCGAAAACGTAGTCTAATCATTATTGAATCACAATGAATTCATGACAGCTACAGTGCGATGCTCACCAGTAGAGATATACACGAGTGTGAAGTTAATGGCCTTCGCGAGTTCAGCGAGGTACCCCGGAACTTCAACATTCAGCTGGACAAGTGCTGTCAGATGGCACTGCTAATAATTAAGTTATCTTCTGACGAACAAGTTGGGTTCCGACTGGATCCTGAGGTCATATATGATACGGATCAACATAACATCGATGTCGGTGTGAATATTCATACCTTCTCGGCAACATCAGGTCGCCTTTCAGCGGCGCAATGAATCACCCCTTGCCAATCACAGTGAAGACCTGCGCGGAACCACCTCGAAATCGCTCTCACAGGTAGGTTGAATTTCTTCCAATTTCTGCTTGGTCGCTTCCTTATCTGTCAAATCTAGCTGCACTAGATGGCTAGCGGTGCTTTTATTCTTCAAGCCCACAACCTCACATCGCAATGCTTTCTCGAACGCCTTATGAACGGCAGTGCCGAGAACACCAGATGCCCCTGATCGTTCTTCAGTATAAGGCTTCTCAGATGGAAGGGAGACGTGTCTACCTGTAACCACAATCTTCGAGCCTGACATGAAAGAGATATTTAGCGTAGCAACGTTGACAGGAATTGTAAATTGACAAACCCCGCCATAGGCCAGGCTTAATACATAGTTCCCTTGAGCTTCGTTCGTGAGAAATTATTTACCAGCCTGGGTGTGCCGGCGTTGCCCATGTACCTTACAGCCACCTTATTGGGCGCTTTTTCATATTATAGTTCTCAGGAACGTCCTGTTGTCTTGAGCCCACCAATCATTTCTGAGAACCGTTCGCTGCGGTGCAGTGCCGGTGCTGGGGAAACCTCAGTGATATGCCAGGAACCTCAGGCTAGCTCGCGAGGCATTACTATTGCCAGATACAACATCATGGGGGCCCTTCACGACAACCAGGTACCTTTGTCGACAACGTGAGTCGTGGTGTACTATTCAAAACCACGGTGTGTCTGAAGACAAACTCCATGATTTTGGCCAAATCAGCAGATCTTCAGTGTGAAATTCCAATTATTTTCTTCTCATGGCTACGGGGGAAATGTTAAATCATTTTCAATATTAGAACTTGGCTGTTCCCATACAAATAGGTCCCACTCACATTCCTGAACCCTGCTTCTCTGTCAAGCAGAGTTGAACGTTGGACAGTAGGGTTTGAGGGTCAAGATTATATGAGGAACGAGGCTCACCGTACCTTCTAGAGGTTCACGGCGACTCTCCTATTCATCCCTCAGGATGACGTTGGCGCTCCGAGTCGAGCCTCGCCCGAGCCTCGACCCCAGTGCATTGCCACCGCCATCGAGCTTCGTGCAGGCTGCGGGGCTCGACAGTTGTCTTAAGACTTCGCATTCACATGTATCCACCTTCCAGTAAGTGTCACAAAGTACAGTGGTATGCACCAGGCGATCGGTCATTGACTGGTATGCACAGCTCGTTACTTCTGGATATGCAACTATATAGCTCCTCTATTAACACGGTCAAACGGGTCGGACTTGATGGAATAATCTCTTGCCCAGTCTTCGGAGATCATGACAAGGTCGAAGGCAAGGTTATTATAGGTCCGAACTGTTCACAAAACGGTCGACTGAACATATCTGTAAGTCTAACTTATACCATGAGTTATACACGTGAACTCAACTATCACTATTGTAGATTGAAGGCGTGTTTGAGTATATCTCTGTAAAGGAGGATCTAGACGACGAATCTGCCCAGGGACCTAAAGCTTCGAAATGCAAGCACATATTCTTATCGTCCTCTACTGTCATTGCTATTTCACCTTTCCCTGACCCGTTTACTGTTGTTTCCGACGTGTTTTGGGTGCTGAAACTTCCCAATCACTCGAATTTGAATGGCCCTGCGCCTAGATTCTGCGAATTCAGCTTCCAAATTCCTCGCGGCAGTCGACCAGGTGAAGAGATGCCTCCCACCTTCTGTGCTTCGATCCCTTGCGATAACAGGCGAGGAGACTTGTCTATTGTGGAGAAGGCTGAGGTGTCATATCACATAAGTGCAGTGTGGGAGCCCTCAGATATGTCGGAGACCAGTGGGATGTGCGTTCCAATGTCAGGCACCACTAAATTTCAGATGCTCACCTCATAGGTTACAGGCTGGAAGTTCCTATTCTGTTTCATCCAAACATAGACTTTCAGTCTAATGGACGGTTCCGACTATCGCGTCTGAATTATGGCTCGAAACTCCTCTTACACCAGAGCGATCTGTTCCATTCCATTGCGCGGTAGGTCGAAGGAGTGGCACACATGTGTATCATCTTACGAACAGAATTTGTAGGTCACTCTGCCACGCTCGCAAACATTTTCTCGATGTACCTCTGTCCCATATTTTGTGGTATTTACAACGAAACCTCAATGCGCCGTACTTGCCCGAGAAATCGCTGCCGATGCCACCATTGCTGTTTCCCTAGTCCGTAAAGTTACCATAAAGCCCCAGCTACCCCCTATTCCCCCCGATACCACACAACTCAGTGATTATTCAGACAGTCTATCTGGCCCTTTTCCGACATCGCGAACCAAGCTACTAAAGCGTGCAGCAAAGATGGTTGCAACTGCAGTGGTTCGCGTACCAAAGAGCCGTGAAGAGCCTTTCTCGGCCGTCCGGTACAAACCACTCCCTGAATTACCACAAGTTTCCTTCTCGGAAACTCATACTGTACAAACACAAGTATCTGTTGGATTTCCAAAGCGTCCCCGTCATTCTAATGACCCTGGTGGTTCTGAATGCCAGGCGTATCTACCCGATGGCCTTTATAAGGGCAAATTCCGGTTGTCAAAGGATATGATACCAGGAGTCGATTGGCCTGGTGTTAGCGTCGAGGTGAGTTTCCTCCTATAACAGAAGATTCACATCTGAGGGGTAGGTTCCAGTATTATTTGGACGTGACTGTTCTCTTTCAGCAGGACGCGCTAAGGGCTTGCGTTCCTATTCGAGTTTTCTAAGGCATCCAACTAGCAACCCACTCGCTATCTAGGACTCTGTTCGTTCAAAAGTACTGTCTTGTTTCCTTGTCTGAACATGTTTATTTGTTACTCTATGGCATTATTGTTATTATTATCGCGCACATATCTTCACTGTACAAATTGTATTTAATTAGTACCATGCATATAATCTTTGGTACAAGGCTACAAGCCCATCCCGGCCTTGAGCTTGATCACTTTGCAGGTGACATATTGTGTGACCCAGTGCACACGTTAGACAACTTGAATTGTGAACCTCTGCAAGCTGGTCGAGCGTCTGGACAATTGGTATTAGTCGTACACAAACAGCTCCTATTTTAGGCTACGTGGTAACGGCATCGGAATTTTGATCAAGTCAGTGCATGTTTAACACTAGTCTCTCCTACCACCCAGACTATAGAAAAAGAAGACAATATTCGTCCCGTTCTACATTCAACGCACGAACTATACCACGACAATTGATCAGTACACGAACACTGCATCACATGATCAAGACGTGCTAGAGAAATTTACCGGTAACTCGTCCAAGGCAATTTGTAGCATTGTTCAAGTTTCTAACGTCGCGCCATGTAGATATATCTTAACAGGTTCACTTGCGAGTATACACTATACCTTCGCCATGTCACGAACAGGTTACGAACGCCTGCCAATGCATACCGTGCCAGAACTAGGTCCACCGCGTTCCCGTTCCCGTTCGCCCGTTCGCGCTCTCAATCACTCCGGATCCCTATAGCAGTCCGCTCATTCGATTTCACCAAGCTCTTGAAAATCACTCTTGCGCTTGCCGTGGCCGTCATATTATACACGTTTTACTTCTATGAGCCGCACATCGAAATCACCTTCTACTCGCGCAAGTGGATCAACAGCGAAATCGAGCCCGTAGGACAGCTGGCTGGATGTTTTGATGAGAGGAGGATCAGTGCAGAATACAACGCTTCTAGGTACTTGAAAGGACCGAAGGAAGTAGAGGTGCATGCTGGGATGGGCATGAGACTTGGGATGGACTGTTATGAGTTTGCTGCGACAATTCCGCGGTCGACCAGTGCCATGGTGGACAGGCCTCGCTTACCTCCTGATGAAAGGACACAGTACCATACGTACTGGCGCGTAGACCTCGCGCCTTTTTCAGAGCGGCAGGAGTGGATGCTCAAATCCTTTTTTGCGACTCAGGATCATGCAGCCTCGAGACTCGTAATGTGGTCGAATGGGGACTTGTCGACGAACCCTATACTTGCATCATATGCCCACATGCACCCGAATTCATTCGAAATGCGGGTGGTGGATATCCCAAATCTGGCGAGTGGAACTGCATTGGACGGGAGCCCATTGCTAAAGACAAATGACAAGAAAGCATGGACGGACGGCGATCTTGTCAGATTATTAGTTATATGGAATTATGGGGGTGTGTGGATTGACATGGATTCACTATTGACTCGAGACCTTTCTCCTCTACTCGAGCACGAGTTCGTCACGCAGTGGGATTGCTACGGTAAGCCCTTGTCACGAAAGTCCATGAGCACCAGACTCAAGTTTGTCTCGCAGACAAGATTTATCAGCCTCTAAACGGCGCCTTGATGCATTTCCACAAACACTCTCCATATCTTTGTGAAGCATTCAATGTCATGGCGACTTCAGCAGCTCCTCGTGCCGATTCTACAGACTGGGGCGCACTTCTTTACCTCAAGCTCTGGCGCCGTCTCCTGGGTGCCCACATTCCGCCTTTCAAAATCCTTCCATTTTGTTTTTCAGATGCCCGATCCTGCAGGTTGGATAACAGGTTACCTGATCCATTTGACGGGGATGATGGCAGCGAGGCACGGTGGTGGCGTACTACGAAGGGCGGGCTGCAGGAAGGTGGAGACCTAGATGATGCGCTTGAGAATGTGTTTGCTGTGCATCTCCATAATCAATGGGACAAGACATTTCCAAAAGGGGGCTGGGTGGAGAGGTTACTTCTCAACAGGTACCAGGAGAAACTTGCGGAGAGGGAGGATTTATCAACAGCAAATTATATTACTTAACACTGCACTAACAGATCCGCAAATAGTTTGCATCAGCTATTCGTTGATCGTACATGATATACCACATGTTTATTCGTAACATCGGTCTTGAGCGATTCTTCCAGAACTCCATCGCCATCGTCCCAACAAAATCATAAACTTGGATGGGGGTTCGCTTGCGTATATTCTCGGTGAAGGTGTTTTGTCGCGAGCATGAGTTTGTAAGACGAGAGCGGGAACACGACTTTTGTTGACATTAGCGGCTTGCTATCCTGAGGGTTCAAAAAATTCCAGAGAGTTGTCGGATCGTAAGAGTCATGTTTTGCCTTTGTACTGGAGTAGTTGTTCATGGCTCGATTCCTAGTAACTTGCTGAGTTGGTCATCATGATCGTTCAAGTTGTTGGGCCAATTTTACTGCCGTTTGAGTTGATTCGATTCCTATGGACTTGTTAATTCGGTCAGTATAATCGTTGTCGGGTCAATTTCGCTGCCGCGTAAGCAATAGGAAGCCCTGAATAAAGTGGAGGAATATCTCATACACTCAATGTGACATCGACTCGAAAGCGCAACATACGAGTGAGCCAAGTCGTGTCCAGCCAGTCTAATGCCTCGATAACTTCCAGTTGATGGTAAACAGTCGTAGAGAACAATATTGACATATCTGTCGGTCGACCGATCATGATGCTAGGGTGAATCCAGTTTTGTCATCGTTTGGAGCCACTTTCATGCTAGCAACTCATTTTAGCTCCAAGAATTGTCTGTAGTCACACGCAAGCGTGAGGCTGGGGTGCAGACATACATTTCTGAGTGTATCTTTCCAAAGGTGCAAGGGTATCACAAAATACCCTGATCAACTGGGGTAGACGGTAAATGCTTAGTACTATGCCCCTGATAAGACTGCGAGAACAAATCAGTGCGGACTCTCACGGGCCGTATCAGTTTGTTGGTCAAAGAGCGGATGGGATTCCTGAGAGGTGATAAAGAAAGTATATCTTCTCGATAATGAGACGAGCTTGAAACGCACATTGAAGATCATCAAGGTTTAAAGTTTTATTCTCGGCAGATCAGTCACTGCTGGTAACCTGATAGATTAATTACCGCGCACATCGTGGCGTCATTCACAACTGCTGTCGAGAGAGCTTCAACCTTGACCTCATTCATTTCCGTCATTCTCAGGAGAGCGTCTCTTTCTGTCAGTCGTTCAGATTTCATATCCCAAGAGGAAAGAAGGCACTCAGATATATCCCTGCATATGGTGAAAACCATCAAGGGGCCAGGGGTAACATCTGAGTTCTTACGTAGCACCACAGAATCCTGCCAGCACCCGTGCAATGTCTACACTGCAAGTTGATGAATGCCATCTTTTTCCGATGGAGTTAAACATGACTGGATCCAGGCAGACATAATTGTTAGCCCTACTCAACTCAACCCGGGTATAAGCAATGTGATATACCTATGTGTGCCGCTGGCATTCGCAACACATGTGCTTAATCTGATCGGCAAGAGAAGATTTCGTGCTGTGAGGTTCTCTACGTCATCAAACAGCCAGCTATGATTGTGAAAACATCACACTAACCTGTATCCAATCGCTCGATGGTGCCATGAACGCCTGCTCCAGTGCGAGTACTGCTTGGTCTGGCCCTGATTGTACATTTTTGAGTTACCTGCATAAAAGTTAGGGGACCACGTCCTATTTGCTCAAAGTTTAGAGTTCTCCATTCGCATCGCATGAGAGCCATTTGAATCCACTGAGGGTCCGACCAATGGCAGAAAGTTAGCGCTATGATGTAGCATTTCCTCGGCGAATGGGCCCATTCTGATGCCCATACTCTGACACAGAGATTTTTCCGTATTCAGTTTAGACACTATGCAAAGTGGGTAAATGATAGAACACGATTGTAGATTCACTGATACGTCTACAACGGAGGCATCTTGCGCACAACCTTTCCCTCATTCCTTGCATGTATCCTGAGCTTCTCCAGCACGGATGACTTTACCCACCGCTCAGGAGGTGTGCGACCTTCAGTCGCCCAATAGTATATGTCCCAGTCCGGTTCGTCAAGTAGCTATAATGAAAGCTAAGTTTGGGACGCCACCAATCAAAGAAGCGAAAGCACCTTGTCATACTCCTTCAATTCTGTCTCATCCATTTGCCTCAGATGATCCCTTGCGAACGTACTCAGCAGAAGGTCGCTCTCCAAAGTTCCGCGCTTCCTGCTCTGATAGACGAGTCTTGCACGCAACGTCTCCTTGGACTCCCCTGCGCGTGGAAGGGGAGTAGGCGGTGGGATATCAGAAGGTGTCTGAGTGTTGGAGAGGTGTTGTGGGGTATGCGGAAGGGGCCATGGGTCTGCAGACCACCGTGATGTCGTAGAGAGAGAGCGACATGGATGGCGTATTGCCCCAAGAGCTAATATTCGCGAAGAGAGAAATGTAGTAGACATTTTGAGGAGCTTGACTAGCGAAGCTAGTGGATCAATTACAAGCGAATGTAAACATAAGCAGCGCGCGCCAAACTAAGCGTTCATCAACACATGCGGTATCGTTCACACTGGTACCATGCCACAACCCCATCTATCCAACTCATGACATCTACTGGCAGAGCAGGATATGAAATGGTTCCCGTGCATGACCAAGCACGCCGTACCTCTTCTCCACGGCGCAAATCACCAATTTCTTGCTTTTCGTGTTTGCGACCACGGCGAGTATTCACGTTATTGAAATTTGCACTTCCACTGGTTTTTATCATATGTTACACGGTATACTACCTCTACGACCCACGCGGCCACATCGACCTCGTATTGTATCAACGAGAATGGATACAACGCGAAATACTCCCGCTGTCCCCACTTGGAGGATGCTTTGAGCCCGAGCGCGTCAGCCCGCTGTATAATATCAGCGAGGCCGTGTACGGCAAGAAACGTTTTGAGGTTCAGGCAGGAGTAACGATGCGGATGGGTATGGACTGCTACGAGTTTGCAGGAACAGTAAGGTTTGCAGAAGGGGAGTGGACTGAGGAGCAACGGTATATCCCACCTGAGGAACGAGCACAGTTCCACACATATTGGCGCGTCGATCTCGCGCCTCTCGATGAGAGACAAGAGTACATGCTAAAGTCATTCTTCGCTACGCAAGACCTTCCCCGCTCTCGTCTAATACTCTGGTCAAACGGCGACCTATCACTCAATCCAATTGTGCAAAAGTATCTCGAGCTATTCCCTGACTCATTCGCACTTCAAGTTGTGGATATACCCGAATTAGCCAAGGGCACGGCAATGGAGAATCACCGCTTCCTTAATCTCGAGGACAAGAAGGCATGGGTGGACGGCGACCTTGTCCGGTTACTTGTCATCTGGACATATGGTGGTGCTTGGATAGACATGGACATGCTCCTGACCCGGGACCTCTCTCCATTGCTTGAGCATGAGTTTCGTAACGCAATGGGACTGCTATGGTAGATGGACAATCAAATCGCTTTCGCCCACGTACTCACAAGATCCTATAGACAAAATTTACCAAGCATTCAATGGTGCTCTCATGCACTTCCGCAAGCACTCGCCTTATCTCTGTGAAGCTTTCCATCTCATGGCACACAGTACTCCTCCACGTTCTCCAAGCACCGATTGGGGCGCAATTTTATATCTTCGGCTCTGGCGGCGCCTCCTCAGCGAATCCATACCCCCCTTCAAAATTCTACCATTCTGCCTTTCTGATCCTCTGGCTTGTCGTCTCGACAACAGTGTACCAGACCCCTTTGAGCCTGATCGTCGAGATGGGAAGTGGACGGGCCGACCTGGGGAGGGGCTTGAGGAGGGCGGAGCGCTGGACAAAGCACTAGGCAAGATATTTACTGTGCATTTGCATAATCGTTGGGATAGAGCGTTTCCCCAAGGCGGTTGGGTGGATCGGCTGTTGTTGAGGAGGTACGAGGAGGGTATAGAAATGAAAATGAGAATAGATAGCGAGCTATGATATATTGATCTGCTGTGAGTACTTGTATCCTGGGCGACAGCGGCAGACGCTAATGATATCTACTATGGATGTAAACTATAGCACTTACACGATTCAGACTTCTAATGATGCAATGTTTATACGCGCGCTATATATTTTCATCGCAGGACTGGTGTGTGTGGATGATCTCGCTAATCAAAAGTACTGCATGCGTGTGAGCCTCCGTAGTGAAATCGTTGCTCTACTACGTATGGGCACGCTTGAGATTATTAGTACGTGACGTGCTCACTGGGATCATCCGATATTGCTCATGACTCATCTACAGATTCGCTAGTAACTTGGCGAACTTCCCAATTTCAATATAAATGCAAAGCAATATCTTGGAAGCATCTAAGTTGTGCCTCCGCCCACCATAACTATTTCAACTCGCATTCAACTCCAAAATCCTTCCCTCTCCTTCTTATTCGAACAATATATTATGCACTGACCTAATTACTATAGAATCAGGCCTGAAGTCTGAGCATCCATAGCGCATATTGGACTGCATTCCGAGCTACGTGTGGGCTCGAAACCGCACCCACTCATCATATGCCCCCATCATGATCAAGCTGCGACGCCTTTTGTATTGGATCGATAGAACGGGCAAGGACTGCAAGGGGAACCAAGGCCAAACCTCTATAGCGGGAGGCTATGGCTCTATCTATCCAGGAATTGACTAGCACAGTGCGCCGGACTACCGACTACAAGCCAGGACCCTTGCTACTGCGCCAGGACACCTGACACTCCTAAGGACCTGCGCCAGATCCTACTACACCACCGACTACGAACCAGAACTCCTGCCACTGTGCCGAGGCCGGCGCTCCCAAGGACCTGCGCCAGGCCTTCCCACTACATCGGTATTCATGATTATTTACTGAATGCATACTGAAATGAATAGCGAATTGCTTGGAAGCAAAGCCCGAGCCAAAAGCAGACGCGTCTAGCAGAGTGTCGCGAAACGACCACGGCTTAGCACCTGCTGTAAGGTCTGTTAGCTAGGGTAAGAAGGACGCTAGACGGCGGGAATGGCAGCGGCTTCGAACTGCGAAAGTTCTTGTCAAGAGGCTACCGCTGCGCCAACCGCGCCGACCATCTCGTTCTATTCAGGAATGATACTACTGAGCCCATATACCTAATGGGAGTACAAATTCCGATGCATGATTGTAACCGTGTTCGATGATCGATTGGCTGCAAACGGTTACTATGACCTATCGGGAGGGTAGTTTATACGGTTGGGGGAGGGCTATTGGGGGATGCGAAGCTTCAGGTCCCAGATCCAGTAGCCTTTGGGACATCCGGACCATAAAACTCATTCTCCAAGGAAACCCTGATCGGAAGTTTTCGCGGGACTTTTGGTCTCTCCGTGCAAAGACGATGCTGGACTACTGTGCTATAAAGGGCTCGTACCAGTCATCATACTCAGACTATACCCTTGACGACAACAGATGGCTGTTCTTGACATCAACCAAGCTCGTGCTTGCTTTCCGTCCCTGAGATCGGGCCACATCTATGCCGATAACGCAGGGGGGTCACGGACTACTCAGGCAGTGATCGATCGGATCGTGGATTATCTGTCCAACACCAACGCTCAGCTGGAAACTGACTATGCGGCCGTGAACTCTCAGCGTGTTTCTGAGGGCTCCATCGCTGCTGTAGAGTTGTTCAATGCCACATCTCTCGATGAGGTTGGGTTTGGATCGAGTGCGACAATGTTACTTGAAAATATCGCTAGAGCACTTGAAAATGATATTCAACCTGGAGACGAATTCATCATCACCTATGAACATGAAGGTGTCTGCCACTTTCTTTTCGTGTCTTTTGTTGAGAAAACTCACTGTTCATCTTAGCCAACAACGGTCCTTGGAAGCGTCTGGCTGCGCGGCGCAATGCCGTGGTCAAATACTGGCATCCCATACCAGTATCTGCAGAAAATCCTTACTCGCTCATATATAGGGTCGAAGAACTTTTGCCACTGGTTTCATCGCGCACCAGGCTGGCCGCGATCACCGCGTGCTCCAATATTTTAGGATCTGTGATTCCTGTGGAAGAGATAGTGAAAGCTCTTCGTCAGCGTGCAAAAGAACAAGGAGCAATGAAGATCGAGGTGGCTTTGGACTGCGTCGCATACGCATCGCACAAAAGAATGGACGTACAAAAGTGGGATGTCGATTACTGCGTAATTTCTGTATACAAGGTTTCAGTATCCGCGACTTCGATTTGATGTCTGACACTGACACTATTTGTAGGTGTTCGGGGCTCACAATGCCGTTGCTTATGTGCGGCCAGCAGCTCTGCAGACATCTTTCACGTCCATTGTCCACGATTTTCTAGAGGTGGATGACAAGCCCCATAAGTTTCAACCAGACGGTCCAGGCCAAGAGCTCGTGTATGGTGCATCGGCAATCGTGCCATATCTGAAGTCGTTGACTCCAGAAGATGATCTTACAGCATCTTTCAACGCGATCGCAAAACACGAGCAGGAAATTTTGACGCCCTTGCTCCGCTTTCTGACAGACGCAAAACAAGTTGACAGAGGCGTTCGCATCATCGGGGAAAGTGAGATCAATTTCTCAAGGACTTCCAATGTCTCCTTTGTTGTCGTCGGACAGAACGCGATCAAGAGTAAGAATATCGTGGAAGCATTCAACAAAAAGAGAGGGGTAAGTCTTCCAAATGATCTCACTCAGTGATTGTATACTATTATGGGTGTTGCGCAGATTTCAATTCAATGCGGCTACTTCGGTGCGTATTATCTTATTGATAATCTACGCCCAAAATTGGACATAAATGACGGAGTCGTCCGCATTTCACTTGTCCACTATAACACCGTTGAGGAAGTGGAGAAGATCGTGGATGTACTGCGGGAAGTTCTGGCTTAGTGCGCAATAAGGTACAGGCGAGCATGTATGTATGTGACATCTGAATGTATTTTCCCAGCACTGCATAGTCGAAGATTGTTATCTATGCCTGTTGAATAAACTGTACAGGTTGCGATTTCTCGCGGCTAAGTAGTGGAATGAAATTTTACCACTCCCTAATGCTTCCATCCTCTCCCCTCCATATCGGGTTACGCCACGCCTCAACACCAGCCCGACTATGTTCCTTGGCACGGGTACGCACAAGCTCCTCGTTGATAATGATGCCCAAACCAGGTCCTATGCAAATGTCATGTCAGGCGTTTAACGGCGAGCATTAAGACTGGATTGTTGGAGACTGCGGATGAAAAGAAGATTGTCGACATAGTCATTTCTGAGGAAGAGGTAGTAAAGTGTACGGTATGGATGACCCTTCGCGCAGATCTCTCCAAAAATAGAATGGACCAAACAGAGCCCGGGCAAGACTAGTACTCACCGCTGGGAGTTGTGATATACCCATCCTTCACAGCAAACACACTCGGATCTGCGAGATACGTGAAGAGGTCTGCATCATCACTGTTGTAATGCATCTACATCCAGCCAGTCTTCTAAGTGCTACGTGTCGAGGGATATTGGAGCGAGAAACCCACCTGCCAGCTCATTTCTTGGATAAAATCTAGATGCCCGGAACCGTAATGAGTGCCTGTTCTATAAGGAGTAGACCACACGCCAAAGACCCACAATTGAGCTTCGATACGCCTACAGCAATACATGCGGCCAAAGCAATCGGTCCTAGCGGGCAGTGCGGGGCAAGTGCGACGTCGTACGTTTCTGCCATAGATGCGATACGTGCCAACTCCGATATTCCACCGCAATGGGATACCTTATTCGTATTGTCAGCTGGTTGGAACATAAGGAGATAGGCAAAAACACGACACGAGAATGGACTTTGGAGCTCAGCTGAGAGGTGAGTACTCACGTCTGGTTGTGCGACATCTAGCGCATGTCCTTCGAAGTAAGGGCGAAATTCATGTCGCGAGTAGAGCCGCTCCCCAGCAGCAATAGGAGTAGAAACAAGACGCCCAAGGTCCGCAAATTCCGAAGGTTGAGTAGGCAGAAGGGGTTCTGAATCAAATTCAGTACTGGTGCGAACAGACCACACATGAGGATGCTTCTCACCCTCGATGAATAAGACGCCCTCGCCCTCAAGAAGCTTGGCGAGCTGGCGAGCCATACCCTTGTGCACCCGTCCATGAAAGTCTACTCCGACATCCATCCCTAACGCGCGAACTTCACGCACGCGTTCCACTGTCCCTTTTAAGAGCTCGGGGGAGTCAAGCCACGCGAGAGCCTCTGTGTACGATTCAGACTCGTTGTATCGCAAGGCTACAGAGCCTACCGGTGGCATTCATCTTTACAGCAGTGAATCCTTGCTCTTTGCGCTCACGTGCTGCTTCACGGACAGCACTCGGATGGTCGCCACCAATCCATCCATACACACGAACACGATCCCTGACTTTACCACCTAGAAGCTGCCACACGGGAACTCCGAGCTTCTTGCCCTTGATATCCCAGAGCGCAATATCAAGGCCAGACAGAGCTGACTGGTCGAGATATACGTTTAGACGAATAGTAAACAAGGAAGCAGGCAGAGACGCCCACCATTAAAACAGGTCCACCACGATAAAACCGAGCGCGGTACGCAGTCTGCCAGATATCTTCGATACCATCTGCATCCCAACCAAGGAAACGCTGTGCAAGGTCAGCGAAAGCGCCCTCAATTGCTTCGGTGTGTCCTTCCAGGGTGGATTCTCCCCAGCCAACGAACCCATCGGCTGTCTCAATACGCACAAAGAGCCAGCGTGGAGGCACGCGGAAGACCTACATTTGACAGTGAGTACAGTGGGAAGCCTGCGACACATTGTGGGACGAACCTCGATCTTTGAAATGAAGCTGGAAGCTGAAGTTGTTAGGGACATGCTTGTCTTCCTTAATGGAGACGAAAAAGCGAGAGATGGAATCTCCTTTCAGCTGCATGGAATACTGAATTTTGGATTTTGAGGGTGATCAGCTGAACATGGCCGGTCCGCATAGTACCGACGGACAAATTCTTGATACATTTCGAGCACGCGCTTAACGTGCAATGGGGCATGCGTATCGAGCTAGCCTTGAGCCATAGCATGCATAGCAGCCAAAGGCAATCAGTTTTCTCACGTAGTGGCAAGTCAGTAGCTGTTACTTGTAAAATTGGTTTCACGAGGCTGTGTGATGCTCATGGCCTTGTCCCAAATAGTTGTTTTACCTCGACGAGTAATAGAAGACCACCAGGAAGATACCCAACTGTAATGATGACTTAGGCATTGAAGCAGAAAAAATGGGTGACAACATTTCCTGTATAATGAAAGGGTGTATATTGAATCCGATGTAAAGGACAAGAGCGTCCTACCGCACATCTCCCAAGTTATAAGCAGTACTGTCATCCACATTGCACGCTTCACACACTCATCAGTCAATGAGGTACTTGCGCTTGAAAAACGACCGGAGGTGAAGAATTTGCCAAACGCCAAGCGCCGCGAGGGCAAGAATGGTGAACCAGGCAAAATTCTGCACGCGGCGATTCGTCACAACTGCAAGAAACAAAGATTCATAAAAGTAATGTGCAGGAATCGAAGGAGACTGACGATTGGTGTCTGAAAACCGTTCTTCGCGCTTCTTAAGATATTCGAGCTCGTCAACTATCTCTTTTACAACGCCTTCCAGTTTTCGCATTTCTGTCTCAAGTCCAGAGAGTGATTCTTGGTTTGCAATTGCACTTGATGACAAGGAGGGAGTCAGTAAGCTATCATAGCGAATGAACAGGGTACACACTTGTAGTCAACAGCGTCAGCCCCAATATCAATATCCAGATCGACGGTGCGCGACATATTCCGCGCCATGTCTAGTTTGATGTCTATAACGCCATAAGTAATGGCCAATAAGACACCTGCCACCAACGAATGTACCAGGAGATAGATAATTCTTGAAACAGACTCCAACCTCTCCTTCGCCATGTGCTGTGACAGCAAGTCTTGTCTCGCCTTTGATGTCGCGTTTTGAGAGATAGACGTTGCGATGGGGTGTTGAATCTAAGATTTCGATGTCTACCCGTTGGTTGGTCCCGGGTCCAACGTTGGCGGTGACGATGACAAGGGCATGAATATGTGCAGCGTTCCATATACATTTTGGGATGGGTAAACGAGCTGCTGGGAGGGCGAATTTGATGGCATGCGTAAAAGGAGCAATGAATGCGAAGAATGCGAGAAGAGAAAGCGTTGTTACTCGTGCCATGATTAAGTGTCCTAGGTTATAATGTCAATGGCTAGAACGCCCCCTGGCTATCGTTAGTGTAGGAGAGAGAAAGCTACAACGAGCCTGAAGGGTCAATGATCGAAGTGAATGGCAGGAGTTGTAAACGACACAAGGCTGGTATGTGCATGGTAATCTATCAATTTACCGGGAGTTACCGGCCGAAATTTCGTTGTCTTATTACCCAAAAGATAGACTTTCCTACATACGTACGACCTCTCGGAATTGACAAACTGATACGGCCTGTACATAAGAGTTCGTATTAATGTGTTCTCGCACTTTTGTCTGGGCGTACTAAACATTTACTTCCAGCTTCAGTTGGTGTGTTTTGCGATCATACCTTTGCACCTTTGCAAGGTTTTGATGGGGAAAAACACCCAGAAACATATGCCTGTACCTATAGTGTTCGGGTGATCATGAGTACGGATAATTTTTGAGCTAATATCTTGATTGATGTCTTTTATAATCAGTCGCTGCCACGAAAATGGGTTCAAACATGGACCCAAGCATGATGTCAATGATCGGTCGATGTACTTCTCTACGACCATTTATCACTTTGCTCACTCATGTGCAATATCATAAAGTGTATGGGATTTCCTATCCAAGCGACAGTGAAATTAGTTCAACAAGGATCAGATTCATAATGACTAACTCGACAAGTCACTGGGAATAAGCTATGAACATCCATACAGAGGCAGAAACATGACTCACTCTCGCGACGTACCAACTCTGCAGAATCTTAGGATAGCACATCCCGCCGCAACTCTATTACAAAGCGCGAAGAGTGAGTCACGAGGTTGGATCCTACAGTACAGTAGATCCAAAGCAAAATTACAAAATTGAACCCGCACTTTCCAGGGCAGCACTTGGAGTCTTCGCCACAAGGCTGACCATCGGCAATACATTCCTTGCTGAAGACAGCTGGTGTGGCACTGACAGACATAGATGCTGTCAGAGCAGCAAGGAGAAACGCATTGGTTGGACAAGGTAATATGGGATCTATTCGAGTTCGCATTTGAGTTCGAATGACTTTCAGACACAGCCTACTTTCATGTCCTAAAAACCTTGCTGAACGTTCTGGGAGTATACCATAAACACCGCCGCTCGTCGGCTCTGTAACGGACAGGAGGAATGGAGACTGACAGGGTTGGGGGGCCATCAGAGAACCTGTGAGAAGAAGATATCGTCATATATCGTTATATATCGTAATATATAGGAAAGGTTTTCGTCACATTGGAATATAAAGTGATATAAAGCAATATATGACTATGTAAAAGCACCATAATCACCATAATCCCCAGCAAGAACTCACCGGTTTACTGATGGGATATATGTATGTAAGCTATTATCATGTATATTTCGGATGCTCTGATTATTACGGGCTGTTCGGGTCCGATTAGGGTCCATGCATTGACCAAAACCATACCCTAAGACTCTTCAAGCTCCAGCATTGTCTCTGCAAAAAGGCGCCAGATCCTTTTGGTTCGGAAACCGCCTAAGTGAATGGGTTTAGGGGGTCTCGATGTGCTAGAGGCTATGAGACTTGAGGTCTGCCCCTACTAACTCTACCCTAATCGTAAACTACCCTGCCGGTGGGTCATGGTTACTGGATGCAGCTAGGCGGTCATTGGACGTGGATGCAGTTGTACGACGGGACCTCAGGCTGTACTCCCACTAGGTATGATATAGGCTCAGCAGTATCAATTGCTAGACAGAACGATAAGGCCGGCACGGCTGGGTAGCGGTAGCCCCTGACGAGAACTTCGAAACCGTTGCCATCCCCGTCATCTTGGCGTTCCCCTTGCCCCAGCTAATAGACCCTTATCCTAGGAGACCGGTGACTGCAACAGGTGCTAAGAACGTGATCGGCCTCGCGACGTTCTGTTGGACGCTCTGGGTTGGGCTTCGCCTATGGGCCAAGCCAGTCGCTATGCTGCCAGTGTCAACAAACATCACGTGATAAGCTGCGAACCTTGACTTGTGTTCGATTTTAGGCTTTGCTGATTCTTGCCATTCGCAGTTCCAAATATATATATTTCTGCACGAAAGCTTGGCGCGCGTCTGTTGTGTCCCGGCGCGTACTCAATGAGGTCGTAAACCTACTGGCATTATGTTAGTAGAGATTGAGATGGCGTACGTAGCGACGACTGAAGGTAGACTTGCATTGAACTCGATAATCAGGCCAGGATATGTATCGTGTATCATCTCTCATCCTGCATAAGCCTGGCAGCAACTTGAAGAGTCTTGGAGCATTGTTGTGGTCAATGCACCCTAATCGGACCCGAATAAACCGGAATAATCAGCGTCCGAAATATACAGGTTAGGCCACACAATTCAAATATATCCCAACCCTGCTAGTCTCCATTTCTCCTGTCCGTTACAGAGAGCCGACGAGCGGTGTTTATGGTCTACTCCCAGAATGTCTAGCCAGGTTTTTAGGATATAAAAGCAGGCTGTCCCCCTGTTATCTGAGAGTCATTCGAACTCGAACTCGAATAGATCCCATATTACCTCGTGCAACCAATGCGTTTCTCCTTCCTCGCCGTCATTGCTGCTCTGACAGCATCTATGTCTGTCAGTGCCACACCAGCTGTCTTCAGCAGGGACTGTAAGCCGATTATGTGGCCTGCAACATAGGCTCCGAGTGCTGCTCTGGAAAGTGCGGGTATAATTATGTAAGTTTGCTTTGAATCCACCGGCAGGATCTGACCTTGTACTCACCCCTTGCGCCTTGTAATAGAGGTGCGGTGGGATGTGCTATCCCACGGACAAAAATACCGAAGAGTTGTTAGAACGCGAGAGTGAGTCATGCTTCTGCCCCTGTACTGGAGTTGTTTTTCATAGCTCGACTCCTAGTGACCTGCTGAGTTGGTCGTTATTATCTTTGTTGAAGCAATTTCGCTGCCGCATGAACGATGGGAAGCCTTGAATAGAATAGAGAAATATGCCATACGATCAATATGATATTGACTCGAAAACGCAAACCTGAGTGAACGAAGTCGTCCAGCCAGCTTGATGCCTCGATGACTCAAAGTTGATGGTTAACGGTCGAAGAGATCGACCGATCGCAATGCTTGGATCCATATTTAAACGCACTTTCTTGCCAGTGACTAAAAAGCAGCATTGATATTTTAGCTCAGAATTCGACTGGAATCACGCGCAGGCACGAGGCTGGGGTGCAGACATACGTTTCTGCGTGTATATTTCCATCAAATCCTTGGGAAGGTGCAAAGGTATCGCAAAACACACTAGCTGGGGGCGACAAGCTAGAAGTAAATGCTTAGCAGCAGTCACTGTCAGGACTTGTTTGTTCAAATCTGCTCGGACTACAGACCAATATTAATATGGGTCCCCAAATCGTTTTATTTCTATACATCATGTTTATGACAACCGCTATGCCGTGATACAGAACGCAATGGAATAACAAAAACCTGTAAGTTTGGCAAGTAGGGGGAGAATCTGATGCAAAATGGTACGTTTCAATCCGTGGTATATTCCAGATCATCAGTGCATGCGTCATGATTTTTGAGTGCAGCCTTGCCCCGCCATCTGGTCACTTTTGTGCGTAGTAAGTGCTCGATGTCGTGAATCCCTTCACATGCAGGCAGCAGCTGTGCGAAATTTGTTGTACCATGGCCGCCGAGAGCTGACGACAACAGTAAGACATGCGATTGCGCGACGAAAGCTGCATGAACGACGTACCACTGAAATTCAATAAAATGTCTGACAGTGAGTCTCGATAGTCTTATGAGTCGCAATATCAGGAAGTTCTTTGCAGATTTCTAGGTATTCAAGAGATACTTGGACAGGATCTGGGATGACATTTGCAAATATGCTGTTCATACATGATCAATGACATGGTACCAGGAGATAAAGGACAGCGGACAAACCAAGGATTGCCTAGCAAGGTTTCTCCCACCATAATGCCATCAGCTCGGGTCTCTTCTTTGTTCCTTTGTACATCCTCCCATGTGCGAACGTTGCCATTGCTCACGACTGGTACTCTGAGTGCCGCCTTCAGAGTGCGAACCACATCTAAATCTGCGGCACCCTGACGCCGTCGTATGGCGGATACGTGACGCGCATGAAGAGTTACCCAAGATGCACCTGCCTGTTCCAGAAGGGTGGCAAATTCAACTGTAGATGATGGGGGTGACGATGAAGGACAGAGACGTAGTTTTACGGAAGTCGGTGGCTGCAATAGATGGGACATCGCAGAAACTAGGATCACATGCCTACCAATTGAGAATGTATTCGATGAGGTTGAAACTGCTTGCCTATGGTCTGGACGAGTGGCCAGTCCTTTTTGGCTAAGAGATAACCACCGTAGTGACCTTCACGAGCATGCTCTTGTGGGCATCCTAGGTTCAAATCTGAAAACTTTGCAGTCGATTCAGTTACTAATATATTTCACTCGAGGCATTACGCCCACCAATACCGCTGCACAAGCCCTGTATCTTCTTTCCAGCTTGAACGATGATCTCAGGATCATTGCCACATAGCTGGACCACTACCGATCCATCCGTCTCGTTACCAGCATCGCGACCAAAAGTCAAATCACGCTGATGAAACTCAAGGTAATCTCGATCCTCAAGAAGCTTGTGAGGGTCAAGCATCTGCGTATACGCGAGAGTTGCTCCATGTCGCTGTGTCAACAACCGGAAGGGAGCATCACTTTGCTTGATCATGGGAGCAGCGATATAGGTAAGGTCTGGAAGCGCCATTCGAGGCCAGTGAAGATGCGTTTGCCCGTAGGCTAATGGCAAGGACACCGTGAGCTAGTACGTACTAGTGTCACTCCGAGATCGTCACTGTTTGTCACTGTCAGGTTGCTGACTTGTCTGTTTAAACACTTGCTGACTAATTCGTGCTCGCCGCAGCGCATGACCTGGAAGTGACGGCCGTCGGGGTTAATGTTAATTGTACTAGTACAAGTACTTGACGCTGTATGGTGAAGTCGAGCCAAGCTTCGGAGCGGCAAGCCATGCTCAATTGGATGATCACTGGCATGACATTGGTTTGTGATGCGACCATCACATTGCATTTCCCTTCGCAGTTGTACAAGACCGAACGCACCGTCTACATGATGGGTTAGTGGAACTTTGTCCCTGTCTTGTGACATATTTATATTCGCTAACTTTCGCCGTACACAGGATCCTGTTCTTTTCCAAACCATATCTCAATTACCCAAAATTGCACCAACACCTTCACTGCTGTTATTGACACTGGCACAGGCACTTCTAGTGTTAAGCATCGTACGGTGCCAGTACACTCAAGTGCAACTCATAATACATCATCTTAAGAACTTGGATGTTGGAAAAATGTAAAGGCGCTTTCGGCGATGGCTACCAATCTCGTCTTCGACAAATCAACAAGCAGTAACAGATAGCTTGCATGCTACCTTTAGCTTATATACAGGGTACGATCAGTATGGGTGCGTGTATCCTTTTATATTTGGAACACCGTCTTATTATGACCTATACTGCGTGAGGCAGGATAAGTTTCGTACTTGTGACGATGATCTTGTGAGATTATGTGTGATATAATTCGTCTACTGCCGGTATAATGATGATGCAATGTATGCCTCTACCTCCTGTAGTTTGCTGCTGAGCGCTGATTTGCTGTGGCAGGTGGTGGAGTATGGCTTGGCTACCGCGCATATGACAATATGCCATTGCAACTTGGCAGCACGTCTCGAACTAGTGAGTTTCTGTGTACATCAGTGGTAACGGATCCCGTATAACCGATATGCAACATGAAGGATCTTTTGATGGCGGTATGTTAATAAATTATCAATTTGCCGAGGTGTTGTCTAACATACAGCTAGAAACTATGGCACGCGGGGGTGTTTTTTGGGTGTTGAGAAACTTATGTTCACTCAATGGTGGCGAGGCTGGACTATATGCGCCCGGCAGTCGAGTGACGACACCGGATTTAGGGACTCTACCACTACTGGGTATGGTTTGAAATTATTTTATCCAGTGATGAAATCATCCATCGAGGTGCCTACGTCACAAACGATAACGGCGGCGTTGGACTCATCTCCCTCATCACTCCATCGCAACTGACACGCGGGCCGTCAGTGACTGATCAGTTGAAATCATGGATTCTTCACCGAGTCTTGATACACATGTCGCTCACTGTTGATCAAATGATACTGACCGCAACCGCGATAAAGGAGAAACGCAGCGGAGACCGAAACCTACGAGGAGCATCCTCTGCCGGAACTTCTAGGCGCAGGGGCCCTGCGCTACGATTTACCTCTTGGGTATATTGAGTCTCCACCATGTCTCAGAATAATCATTGTCAACTCGCCAAAAGTAGACAGAGTGGAAGTAGAGCGGTAATACTTTTTCGCAGCCACTTCACTTGGACATCGCTGTACAGAAATAGGATTCATGATTTGGATCGCAAACTGTATCTTGTTAGACTGAGCTTGTCTAGTATCTTGTTGCAGCTTTTGTATCAGCCTCGCGACGCGCGCGGTTATTCGCACTTGCAGCTTCTGACCATGATCTTGTCTCGGTTACATGAATATAGACCTTCGGTATATGTAACAGATAAGAGTATGTACCCCAACAAGCTTCTAGGGTTCAACTAACCGATAACTCTTTGTAATAATGTGAGACGGTATGCACGCATGTGAGCATCCGGCGGTTTAGATATAGCAATTTTGCTCACATGGTTGATTCCGAAGGTGCGAAGTCATTGCAATCGCGAAGCCAAAATCCGAGTCAGTGGCCACCATAAAAACATACTGCGACAAGCAGTCCGGCTGACCAACTACCAACCAAAGACTGCTACTTCTTCCCTCCTTGTTTGACCCATTTCGCCCACGCCGCGACACGCTTGCGACATCCGCCCGCTCCGCTGCTTCTCTCAGCAACCAATATAGCATCCTAAATACGTGGACTCGGATAGTTCGTTCCATGTCATTGATGCATAACACATCGTTCAAGGGTGTTCTCTCGGTGGCGCGTGCATGGACATCATTTTTTCACTGCAACGACGAAATCAAATCCGTAGAACGGAACAGCAAATGCATAAAACGGATCATTGCTCATGTGAGGGTAATGGCTCTGCCATCACGAGCCGGACCATAACATTGGTTCAAGCGGTGCTCGTCCTTCTTTTTCCCATCGACCTCGGCCCCGGTTGTCCTGAAGGCGCGTATGAGCTAAGGGAATTTGGCCTCACCAAAGCGATAACAGTTACCACAGGACGGAATTTATGCGCGCCTGAAATAGCACATACCGTTGTTGAAGATTCACCCCCGCGTCCGTGCGTCTTCAGCGCATGGGACTTCCTCGAACTCAAAAAAATTGCCTCCGCTGCAAACCCGCAAAAGATAATGGCACCAGACCTTCGGCTTCCTTTCCTTGTACATCTGTAGCGCCTTTCAATCATCGCGGGAGAAGAAGACGTACGCTTCTCGTGAACCTGCAGCATGGAAGCTTTTCCGCGGTGTGTCAATGGAGGTAAGTGCATTGCGTGAGGCTCTACAGCTTTTGCTTTTGAGGGTAGCCTTAGTGTTCGATATAGCGGCATCGTCAGCGAAGGGACGTAACCTCCAGGTAACCTCACTTTACTTCGAATTTTGAGGCAGGTTGATCCACACAGTTTGGTCACTTACGTCTTGTTGAGGAAAAGCAACAAAAGCGCCTGATTTGCAGATACAGGTGATCACTGGTGATCAACTCGTGCGCTCGACTTAGCCATCATTGTCTCCTTTTCATGTACCTGAATTCTGGAGTGGGATGGCTCTCCTCATTCTAGCGGCCAGTCGGCTACCAGTGGTTCGAGGGAGAGTATCGCTGACGCCGGGACAACTCGAACTTTTGAAGTTTACGGAGTTTTTCCATACCCTGGCAACTGGGAGCAATGATAGCCGTTGCATGCTGTGGTACCCGCAAGTACGACGTAAGACGTTAACTTCATACCTGATGTAATTACTACAGTCACGGCTCCGATCCGTCTCGCAAGCAAACGCCAAATTCCGCCGGCTCAGGGTAACAAAATGTGCTTGTTGCAGAAGATCTCGCGAGACAGTACTTCGTTTCTATTCACCTCACCCTTGCGGCAGAACTCTAATTAAATACGTCCACAATGACATCCGGAGAAAATATGGCTGCAAATATTTGTTTATTGCAACAGGGCGCGTACGTAAATAACTTACAAATACCCATAGGATTATCCAAGATGCCTGTGCTGAAATATGAAAAATTACACTACAACATTTGCAGCTCTTTAGTCCGTCCACTACAAATAAAGATGATAGATAATAGATAAACGAGAACTATGATGAAGGTCCAATTATAATCTTCATCACCATATTTCCATTCTCGTCTTTGCCACGAGCCAACAATTCAAAAGCTTGAGTGGTATCTGCCAAGGGAACGCGGTGTGTAATAAGTTTTTCTACATTGCGGAGTTTGCCCGATCCGAGCAGTTTGAGAGCTTCAGGGTAGGTGTTGGCATAGCGGAAGGAGCCTTGAATGTCTACTTCACGCAGGGCTGCTGCAGAAAGCGGAAGCATCACATTCCGTGACCCCATTCCAATCAACATGACTTTGCCGCCTGTAACAGCAGCCTAAAAGTCGCAAGTCAGTGATGATCGATGCTTCACAGACCATGAACTTACGTGAATTGACATCTGAATACAGGGTTCAGCGCCCGTGCATTCGAAGACTACGTCGAAGCCCTCGGGTTCGTTAAATTTAGACAAGATAGCCGAGACGTTGTCTTTTGCACGTCGAAGCTGCTCTTCGGGCGTTCTGGCCTTGTCAACCTTGGGCAGGCAGTATGTTTGTGAAGCGAAACCGTGCGATTTCGCAAAGTCCAGTCGCGTCTCGTTAATGTCAATGGCAACGACCCGAGAGGCACCATATACATTGGCCAGTGCACAAGCGAGGATGCCAATGGAACCCGTACCGAATACGAGAACACGTTGACCTAAAGCAAGTTTGGCTCGTCTAGCAGCATGTATCAAAACTGACAGCGGCTCAGCCAAGGCGGCTTGGTCAAAGCTGCAGTTGTCAGGGAGTCTGATGAGGAGTTAGAGGCGTGTATAGAGAAACAATTATATTGGGGGCTCACGGATGAATAGCGTATGCTGGATGGTTCATCCGGTCTTGTAGTGTCCCGTCAAGATGAGGGAAGGTCTTTGCGCTACTGGCAAAGTGCATGTCCTTGCAAAGATTGTAGCGACCAGCCTGGCAATAATTGCACTTCCTGCACATAACGCCGGCCTCTATTGCGACGCGTTGACCGATGGCTAGATTTTTCACACCCGGACCGACAGCAGTGATCACACCTGCTGATTCATGGCCAAGGACGAGGGGTGCTTGGAGTGCAAAATCACCATTGCGACCTTCTAGGTAATAGTGTACTAGGAAATTTGCTCGAAGCTCAAACTTTTGAAAGACAGAGAAGACTCACAGTCACTTCCGCACAGTCCGGTTGACTGTATTGCTACTTGTGCATAGTTGTACTGTGGAGGCCAGAATGGGCGTTCCTCGAGACGAAGGTCCCTGGGACCGTGAAGGACGGCTGCACGTTGCAATTGGACGGTAGCAGGAGACATGATTGTGATGGGTGGAGGGAAAGGACGTACTACTGCATCCTAGTATCAACCGGTGACCTTATATATACAATATAAAGTTGCAAGAAGGAGCAATCTCGTGAGGAGAAACTTCAACTTATCATACAACCAGATTGGGAAAGATTCATTCGGTCCGGTTTACCGCAAACGTATTTGCAAAATGCGAATCAATAACTCCGGTATATGGCCAAATCGGGACAAATATATTATAAACCTCCATTTTTACCAGAAAAAAATCATTTATCGAAATCTCGCTGCCGGTTGCTCGGCTCGTGAGCCGATGCGGGGTAAAATCAAATCTTGGTCAACAAATGTTATACTTGCTGCCCGCGACGATATAAAATCCCCTGAAGTGAGTCTTCAATCTATGTGAATCTGTCTCAAAATGGATCCAACCCCCTCCGATGTACCGTCTCTACAACTTTTTGCTCTGGCAGGTCAAAATGTCCTCATCACTGGAGCTACCAGAGGTAATGTACTTGTTCCTCGCCTAGAACCTCGCTTCAACTGATCAAGGCATTTTCAATTTGTTATCTTGGTTCTTACCCTCGCGGTTGACCTAACGACAGGCATAGGTGCTGCGTGTGCTTTGGCTTTAGCTCAAGCGGGTGCCTCAATATGTGTTGTTCAGCGTCCTCCCTCTCCGGGTGTGGAGCCGGATATGGACACAGTGAACTCCATTCGAGCGCTAGGTGTGAACACCCAAGTCGTCTATTGCGACTTGAGCAACTTGGATTCTGTCAGGGAACTTTTCCCCAAGGCACTGGAGCTCATGGGCGGTAGTATTCATATTCTGGTCAACTGTGCAGGAATACAGCGGAGATCGCCGAGTGTCGATTTCCCGGAGAAGGACTGGGATGATGTAGGTCATTCCCTCAAGTTCTGTTTAACCTTCCCGGCATCAGATTCTCAAGTTGTACATGTTTCTCTCCACTCATTTTAGGTTCTCGACGTGAACCTCAAATCCGTGTGGCTTATATCACAAGCGGCGGGCCAGCACATGGTTCCGCTTAGGAGGGGGAAAATCATTAATTTCTGTTCCTTGTTGACATTCCAAGGCGGCCTTACCGTCCCGGCTTATGCCGCCGCTAAAGGTGCACTCGGCCAACTCACGAAAGCTCTCAGTAACGAATGGAGCCAGCATAACGTTCAAGTGAACGGCATCTGCCCGGGGTATATTGCCACAGACATGTACGTATATCTTTTCTTGTTATCGCTCGGGCATCTTGTGAGATCATCCCTGTTGTGCGAACTTTAACAGCACCGACATCTTCCCGCCGGCTGAGCCTTCATTTCGCACATTTTATTCTCTTTACAGACTGTTATCATTCAGCCCTTTGGCGTCTACCTTTGTTCTCCAGTCTGATCACCTTTTGATATGCCTTTAGGAACGAAAGGCTGCTAGCGGACCCCATACGCCTCAGGCAGATATCCGAGCGGATACCAGCAGGGAGGTGGGGTAGCCCCGGGGACTTTGCTGGTCCAGTAGTGTTCCTTGCCAGCGGCGCAAGTCAATATGTCTGTGGTGAATTGTTGGTTGTTGATGGTGTATGTATATTTCGCAGCTTGGTATCATAACCCTACTCATGCGTCGTTATCAGGGCTGGATGGGGCGTTAATTCTGAGACCGCCACTGTTCTCACGACAACGTGGAGAAGTCGAGAGATTGTAAATCTATGTACATATCTAGGGAGATGAATTCCGAGTCCATCTGGGAGTTTGCGTCTCCATGGGAGGAAAACACTAAATCACCTTTCAGAGTCCATCGTGGAATAGCATATTCCATGGTAGATACTTATCAGGTTATGGACCACATACCATTTCCCAATGCTCTGGGCTGGGCTAGTGTGGTGAGCGATGACGAGCCCCAAAGATAGCCTATCTTGCCTCAGGCCCGACCGCCGATCATATTTTACTCGGAGACAAGGACTAGACAAGAAATAGGCAAGCGTAATAGAAAGACATGAATCTTAAACTTAGTTCTTGGCACTCATTTCTCTACCAAATTTTATTGATTCAAATCTCATAGTAGGCGCAATAAGATATGTTCAGGCAAAATTGAGTGATTTTCTGATTATCAGATTACCAAGCGGGATGCTATCGGGAACACCCGATACAGGGGCGACCTTCCAAGCGGCTTCGCATTCCCTTTTACCGACGGACCGTGTCTTCCGGATAAAGACTACTAGTGATTAGGTGCCACCTATTGGTTGCCCATAGGTCGTTACTCGTGACAGCAGACGATCACCACCACTAGACCCTGATTACATTCGGCACTTGCTCCCATTCGAAAAGCCGGGTATCACAACCAGGGTCTGGGGGCAGCCATGCGGCTACAGCCGGGTTAACAAGTTCAGCAGTTTCAAACCATGCATATGTGCCGCCGAAATCATTCTGGTACGTTTTTAATATCCACTCCAATGGGAACACCTGACCGGCATGATGAAGACACGGCAACAAGGCTACATGGTTTAGGTTCGCCACAACGGTTATCGAGCCATGCGTCACGATGCGCATAATATGATACTAATCGCACCATTTAGAATTATCTACAGGGTCTTTGTTACGATGGTGGTAAGTCTAGGGCTTACTATTCGGCTGCGGATCTAGTTTAATCACTAGTACGTGGCACTTCTAGCAAAAGAAAATGAGGGGACAAACATCGGTGAACGATTTCCCTTCGGTGTTTATGAGGAAACGAAGAGGGGCGAGCATTGGTGCCGGATCCTACTAAACCAACACAGATATCGCCAGCATTATCATCCGACTCGGGGTTGCACATGCCATAGGCGACAAGACTACCTGTGGAGCTGATTGGATGCTTCTGAGTCGATACAGAATGCCACCCTGTGATCAGCAGCCCCATCGGTGAAGAAAAGCGGTTAACGCAAGGTAGCAACTCAATCTATTTTTTCATGCATGATCGAAATAAGGAAGGCGAAGCAGACAATAAATGACAAAACAGATGCGTATTTGCAGCGAGATTTCCCCGCAAATCTTTGCGTCAAACTAGCTCCAACTCGTGAAAAAACCCGGTCACATCGTGAAGTTAGTCATATATTTGCGTTCGCTCGACTATGTGGGCTTCGAATTCGTATGCGTATTAGAAGGTCTTCTAGTTAAAACTTTTCAAGCCAACCCGCGAGAGTCGTGGAACCGTAGAATGATCACCAATCATGTATCATCCATGGGCAACCAACTGATAATTGATATTGTCGGAAGGAGTTTCAGAGAGCAACCCGAGTGCATCATATGTTCACGCGGACCGGTATTCCTGAGGGTGACCGAATCATTCGTATACACATGAAAGTCTGCTCAAAGGGCTTCCAAGGGTCGTTGTCCGACGCTGTTAGCCGTGCCTTGTGATGTCACAACTGGCAATAACGTAGCTTACTCCGGAGGTTCGGTACGATTCAATTCGCTTCAGGGGTACATGGTACGTCCCATATCGTGAACGTTTGTTGTACCTAGATGTTATTTCAGATAAGAATACAACAACTACGGCGAGATGGAGCCAAGTGATGCAGACCGTGTGTTTGGCCAATATTGTGGTGGTCTGGGCCCACATGAACGGCTAATGGTTCATAAAAATTTATTCAAAGGCGATCTTCAGCCGGGCGAAAGTGGTTCTCCCTAGACGGACCATACGAAGATAGGGTAAAGGTTTAACGTCATCGGACCACCCACCTTCTGTTCTGGCCTTGCAGTTGCGACATCAACAAGCGCTTCATGTCCTAGTGTATAAAATTCGACAGGTCGATCCGTTTGCGGGTTGCTGGGCTGATTGAGCGGGGCACGAACAAATGTTGATGTCATTATCATACGCCGTCAGCGGTGATGTTGCTACGTCGTGATTGGATCGAATTTGGGAGACATGCAATCCATTGTCATGAGCTATCGAGGGAATACCCAACAAATCTTTTTGGAAATGAGAAAGACCCGCCGTGACGCAGTCATATATGCTGAGAAATCACAATGGATGAGTCTGGAAAACACGAGATGACTAATACGTACAGTTCCGATGTTTAGCAATTACTAACTGCCAGGGCATTGTTCAGACGAGATAAGTATTTGGTCACATCCGGGCCATAAAGGTCTTCCCCCCAGCCGCGGCGATTTCGCCAATGCTCGGACCGAGCTAACGTTCAGTTCTCGTCCAATTACAGGTGAGCTCTACAGAAGTCGACGGAGATGAAAGCTGGAAGTCGTGTTTGAGTCGCTTCATGCATGGATTTCCAGGATGTAGGATAGAATCTTGACCTTTGTATTCTCAGTACCTCTAGGCAGACCAAATAGAAGGAAGATGATACTTCCATCTTGTAGTACGATGGTGCGCGACCGTTCAGCGACCTCGGAGCAAGTTTACCAGACTCGGAATCATGATAGATCACTCCGAGCCTGATTGTAAACTTGAAGATCTTGAACATTCCAGCCTCCAGAATATCCTGAGCTACCGTGTGCAGAGAAACAGGTTGTGCTCGTCAACCACCTTATGGGGGACTCGGAAATTACGGACATTGGAAGTCGAGTTAGCCTTGATCAAGGTCGCCCGTGTTGCATTCGAAGATCAGCAGACTACCTCGTGCAACTCATTTATGACAAACCTGGTTACTCCCCCGGCAACCCCGAGTCAGTTGCTTCATCTCCGTTCATTCTTCAGAAAGTGCGAACGGTGCTGCAATGACCCGAAAAGCTGATACAAGCGCGATGAGGAGCTCCATCGTCTGCATTCATAGATAAAATGCAGCTCAATCGATATTACGTGGCATACGACTCGGAGTTGATGTTGTAGAACTTCGGATATGCCGCAGTACTGACCGGGTGCCATGATCGTAATCATTGTAGTCATTCAGTCAGGTGGCAGTAGCTCCAGACTTATCAGAAGTGTTCGGGCTCATCCGATTCGTCAATAGTACTACCGCGACTTCATGAAGGGTTCTGGACTGCTCGAGATTGTGAATTGAAAGAGTTGTGACGCGTGAAGTGTAAGTTCAACAGCCCTAAAGTTTGAGTCACAGACGCGACTGATTAAGATGGCATCGTTTACCAAATTTTCAGGAGGGGAATCATGATGGGTTCTTCTGGGAATAAGACTCGGAATGATGTCCGATAGCTTGCCTGGATTAGATTACCTGTCTATCTGCGACGACCATCGCCCTGGTCTTCGGCTCAAGTCCTCAGTGAACCACTTGCCAAGCTATACAAATGTCAGGTGCACAAGACCTGTTGGAATACCTGATGGGTACAAATCCCTCGCGTAAGCGAGATGCACTGGACGATCTCGTACAAGTTACGATGGATAAGATCTGCGAGGAAGGACTGTACGATAAGGAGCGCAAAAAGTGGATGAAGAACGGGAGGGAGATGTTTGATGGGGTAGACCAGAAGGGCGATGTGATGACGATCACGAGGGCCATTCAGCAGATAGCAGCTCAACATTCAACATCGGGGGGCCCACTCCGCTCACAGCCACGCATTCCTACTATGAGCACAACCCGGATTGATACCCCGAGTGCGGCCATCCCCAACATGTCTGAATCGCACTTTCGACCTCAAGGTGTCAAAGATGTTAAGATAGAAGTAGGATATTCCACAGATGTGTTTGAAAGCCCTCAAACATCGGAAATAAAGAGAAAATTCAGGTCTGGAGTCCACAGGTAAGTTCCTCTGAGTGATTACCTCTTACAAGGGGGTTGACAGATTATCGGATGGATAGGAAACACGACGTCGTAACCCTTACTTGGGCGCTTTAAGAAACTGGGGGTTCTTGACAACATTTGGTTTACACGTGTGCCCGATAGACAGGCGGAATGTACTTTTAGATCATCCAAGATGGGCCAAGACGTAAATGGCCTAGGCAGTCATGTCCGCAGCGTGCTTTAATGCAGAGGTCTGAAATAAGAGTACGAGGGTCGGAGATACCTGGATGAGTACTGAAGGTGTCAATGTCTAGGATACAAATTAAGCGACCTCACTGTCGGACTCGAAGTCACTACCACAAATGTTGCATGAAGTAGCCATCGCTCAAACGAAAAACGACAAGAGCACTAGATCCCAATAAAATAATAATAAAGATAATAATAGAAGCAATACAACGCCTAACGATACAGCTGATAACAGAGGGCTCTTCACTTGCCGCCAGAGCTCGAAAACTGTCTCAGCCGTTAGGGACAGTTTGTGAATATGACTGACGTAAATCTCACCTTGGTCACAGATTTTGTGCCCTCAGAGATAGCATGCTTGGCAAGCTCTCCGGGAAGTATGAGACGGACTGCCGTCTGTATCTCACGGGATGAAATTGTCGATTTCTTGGAATATGCAGCGAGCTCTAGAACTAACGGTTAAGTGAGATCGAAAGAAGGTAAAAGTACATACTCGAAGCTTCCGTAGCAATGCGTTCGAAAATGTCGTTGACAAACGAGTTCAAAATGGCCATAGCTTTATTAGATATACCAGTGTCTGGGTGTACCTGCTTGAGCACTTTGAAAAACATGTCAGACCTAAAGCTTTCTGACTAAAATGACGCGTTACCCTTGTAGACGTAAGAAGAGTAAGTCTCCTTGCGGACTTTCTTGCGCTTCTTCTTTTCCTCTCCAGCGGCTGGGGCTGTGGCAGTCTTAGCGGTCTTCTTCGCAGCTTTAGTAGTACCCTCGGTGGTTTTGATAGGGGCTTTAGTGGCAGCACCAGAAGCTGGGGCCTTACCACTAGTTGACGTGGGTTTAGGTGGCATATCGGCGAAACGGATGAGATTTACTATAATAATTCAACAGTGCGGGAGGGATGGCAATAATGGCGGTTACAACGCTCGGGAAGCGCGAACGACATCTCCTATATATACCTTCACGTGACTTTGCACTTATTTGGCTACGACGCGTCTTTGTTGATTGTGGCGCGCGTCTAGACTGTGGACTATAAATACAGCGTTCCGTCTAGTTAGTTACCTTGCAACCCATCTCAACTCAAAACTTTGCCTGCTCTACCTTTTTCTCAACAACTACACATTCTTCATTATGCCTTCTGCAAAGTCAAGCGGCAAGGGTAAGGTCAGCGGCAAGGTCAAGAGTGAAGACACCAAGTCCACGTCCCGTTCTACTAGAGCTGGTCTCCAGTTCCCAGTCAGCCGTATCCATCGCATGTTGAGGAAATCCAATGTCAGCAAGCGCATTGGGTCTGGTGCACCGGGTGGGTTGCCAAGTTTTTTAGTCTCGCATTGAAACTGACGCGCGTTTTGTAGTCTACCTTGCTGCCGTACTAGAGTACTTGTCGGCTGAAATCTTGGAGTTGGCTGGAAATGCAGCTCGTGACAACAAGAAACGTCGCATCAACCCTCGTCACCTTCAATTAGCTATTCGTAACGATGAAGAGTGCGCCCCTATACTAACTGATTGTCGCAGTCTTGACTTACTTCGTCCTCAGGTTGAGTAAACTGCTCGGAGATGTGATCATCTCTGAGGGCGGTGTCGTACCTTACATCAACCCTGCAGTACGTCTTTTTTCCCTTTACCAGCTGCTCAGTCATTTTAAATGGCCTCGTTTAGCTCCTGCCTGCAAAAAGCAAGAAACAAAGTCTTGACAGCCAAGAGGTGTAATCTACCCCGTGTATCACTTTCGCATGCCTCCTTGTGTACCACCACTGTGCATATTTACTTAGTATACTTAATCTGTAGGACGTTCTTCTCAACGTGCTCCGAGTTCCGCACCATGCGCGGAGAATCCAAAGCAACACTTTCCGTGCAGCGTTGTCTTTATTGCCAGAACAAATACAATTGTCAATGCAGCGGAAACCCCTGAAATTCAACTTTGCCCAAACTACGTGTTCGTAGCGTGGTAGCAGCGTTTTGTATGATGTAGACCTATGCCTAGGTTATTAACTATGATATCATGTGACAGTTGTTCTGACAACTTGAGCGTCCAATAAACATCACTCGATTTGGTGCGAAAACAGGGAAGTGGGATATCCACTTGTCAGGATCCACGATTTAACCAGCCAACATCCAAACCCGTCATTGTCTTCACATTCTCTGGATACGAATGCGTGCTCTCCGTCAATAGCCCTGCGAGCTTGCGACAGACGTCGATTGGATAGAAGAGGTGCTCTGCTTGAGGAAACCCGGGGTATCGAGATAGTAGGCTACGTACAAGAGGTCAGAGGGATGAATTAATGTTCATCAAAGATCACGCACTCTTTCAAAGCCATCGTTGACGACGACGGCCCCAAAATTTTGTACAACACTTTTGACGCGTCGATGGAACCCTGTTTCGGAATAAGGTATGACGTAGGCAGCATATACGAAACACGAATCCTCGGCTTGAACAGCCATACCTTACGCGGAGTGTGAGAAATCTAAACAATATGATTCAAGATCGCAACAAACCAAAATTCGCGGCCGCTCCTCTTCTTCATCAGAGATAACAAAGCGGTACGTTGCATGAGCAGACACATGCTCGAGCATATCTTGCATGATGAATGCAGACATTGGAAATCGGGGAAGTCTGTTAAGGCCGTCAGCACACTAATATAGGTATACTGTGACTACGAACTCCACTGTTTGGCTCACTGGCCGCACCGCATACTTGAACAGGCGGTACATCCCTGAAGCTGTGCCATCTGGGCTATGTCGTTCATGCCGCCGACCAATTATTGCGCCGCATATACATCGTGCCAGCCACGACTCTCCATCTCGCTAAAGATAATAAATCAGTTTATCATCAAAATTGATAAGGAGAAAAGAGTTATAAAATTGTGCACTCGAGCGTAGCTCCCATCACATGATCCTCAGTGAAGAGAGTTGTTTGAAAGAGTGACTCGCGAGTTGCCCCGCGTTCAATTTTGGACGTTTTGTATCAACCGAAAGTGAAACTTGCCGCAGTCTCACGACGCATACCCCACTACTTGATAGTACGAAGAAACCTGCGGGGGCTTCTAAGGTATCAAGGCAGAGCACCGACGATCGACTAGCAGCCGCTGGTGGAAGCCCAACGTCGGCCTTCTTGTTCGTCCTACAATAGCACGAGTTCAATAAGAAATATGGATTTACCAGGGGCTGTTCGGTGCAGGAGACGTTGTTGGATACTATTGCCGATTGCTGGAAGAGAATATAGCCACCTCCAACCAGAGCCTCGCTATCCTCTGGCCAGAAACCACGTCCATGCTTCGCAATGTGATTATGTAGTGTTTGGTCTGCATGGCACATCCAGGCATCGACAAGTTCTTCCCAATGTTCTGATGGGAGGTCGCGGTATTTGAACAACTTTGGGCAATGGACGAGGGGGAGCGAGCAAGATATGCAGGACCAGGATGTCGGCTTCGATGATAGGAGTTGCTCAGCAGACATCAACGGGGTAGGTTCATCGGGTGAAGAGGACCTCGCCGCCTGTGGGTTCGCAATCCCAAGTTTGAGCTCGTAGTGTCCTTGGCGAATTTGAACATCTTTCTTTCCAGGGGTGACTCGGACAGGCAAGCTTAGTGGAGGCGAGGAGGCCCAAGAACTCCTAATCACCAACCAATCACCTTCAGTCCCACTGGATGACGTTGGCAACACTTCAGCCTGTAGTTCTGTGTCAACGGGAATGCCTGACACTGCTACGAATACAAGGACATGTCTCAAGGTCTCGTGATATTCGGCGACATATGAAACATTGAGTGCAATGTTCCCTGCAGAACTTTGGTTAGTTTTGTCGATGATAACATCCAAGTGTGTACCTTGTTGCTGCGACTCTTCGGTTCCAGATTGGATAAGCCCGTGGGACGAGCCCGGTCTGCTGGTGCTCTTAGACAGCCGTCGGCTAAATTCCGCTGCAGGGCGCAACCATTGTGGGGCAGATATGCTTCGACTGCGTGACTTTTTGTGAGTCATTGCCGAAACGTCAGGAACCGGCTCCTCGGGTGCATCTCCAGAAGGAGATGTGTGTTGACGCGATTCGGGTGGGATACCCGACATTGATTCGCGAATGAACTCAGGGAGAGTGACGAGTTCATCCAGTGCTCTAACTTTGGGCTGCAGGATGGCATCCTGGTCATGCAATCGCCCAGCTCCCGAGCGTTGGATAAGATGGTCGACGAATGCACCTCGCTGGAATGATTACTTTGATAAGCGATTGTCTCTGGTCAAAGTAGATAGGAAATACCTGATTTTCGTACTCCTGCCTTGCTTGCCTGAACCTGACCATTCGTCTGCTATCCATGACGACCGATTGATCAGTCAACTTGCGGTCTGACGCTTTCCGGATGAGCTCAAGCATATGGTCAAGGTCGCGCATATCCCGGTCATGAGCTTTCTGCTTGCCCTTAGATAAAGAAGGCTGGACTTTAGGACCTTCAAGCCGTGCACGCTCCATTTGGGCGAGCTTGGCGCTCTTCAATTCCACTCGTTGGTTGTGTAGCTGGGGTGCAACGATATACAGACGCTCGATTGCCAGCATCACGGCATCAAAATCCATCCGCAATTTCTCGTTGGGGATGCTGGGAGATGGTATCGACCGTGGTGGCTGTATACCAGCCTTCTCGTAAGATGATTGATACTCAGCATCGTATTCTGGGGGTGTCTCGAAGTCGTGACCTGCGTGGTCATATTGTGGGGGAAGATGATCTAAGGAGGGGGAACGGCGGGAATCGGCGCGAGCTTTACAAAGTGCTGTTACAGCGTCCAGTTTTCGTTCAATCTTGGACCAAAGGAGCGCAGTTTGTACAGTTTGTACTGGGGATTGTGGGGAGAGAATGTTTGCCCTTGCCTTCCTTTCCAATTGCAGATCGCCAAGCTGCTTTTTTAGGGTACTTAAGAGATCAGCGGGACATCGAACGACAAGGTCAGGAGAAGTGGATGAAGATGCTTGAAGGGCTGAATCCAAAGGGGGAGAAACTGCAGGCAACTGGTCCAAGTCCAAAAGGAGTGATACTATGACTTGTGCAAAATGTGCATCCTGTCTGTTCATAGAAGGCGTTAGGGCATCGACTCGATCCCTAAGTTCTTCTAGGAGAGCTGTGTGGTCATCCAGAACTTTGCGAGGTATCTCCCCACCATCATGATTTCTGAGATTTAACACAAGCGTCTCAAGCGCGGAGTATGATTGCGGCGTCCGTTCGAAATGCATAGAGGCTGGCATCGAATGGCGCCTGTCTGGAACAATTGGCTGCCATCTTCTAGGGACAGATAACAAATTGTTGAGTGTCATGAGACACGAATTTTGTACGGCAGTGATTGATGGCATGATAACAGTCTGCAGAATTGAGCTAAGGATTATTCAGACACATCGTTGAGGTATCCATCACTCACGAGCAGTCTTTCTGGGTCAATGTGGTCTACATTATGTAGCGCTGCCGTCGATTGCGGCTTGCTTTGCGATATGCTCCCATTGGTATGAGCTTCATACTCTACTTGCTCCCCGGCAAGTTCTTCCAAAAGTGCTTCTTGAAGTAGCTGCTCTCTTTCGTCTGCGCTGGGAAATGGTTTTGGAACGGAAGTTCGAAGGATTTCGTCCTGCTCGACGGGCTTGTACGACTTGGGTGCGAACGAGAGTCGCCATGAACAGCGTTCGAACTTCGGACCGTTCACGATTTCTGAGGTCTGGCTAAAATAGTTGGTGGAAGCAATTGATAACACTGGCACGTGGCCCGATACGCCACGGTTCGGCAGCAAAAGTTTGTAGCACTTTTTGCTCCCTTGAGCTCGGTTGTTAGCGATAGCGGGGAAGTAATGAAAAGTGAGCTGGGGGACTACGCCACTGTTGGGACCTAGGGATGGGATATCCGGAGCATCATAAGTTATTATTTAAATTAATACTTGCCAAATCACGTCTCAGGTCTATCAACGCATATTATGGCAGTGTTTGAATCTTACTCAGGACTTTTTATGATGTGTGGCGAATAACTCGGTTCCCAACTCCTTTCGTGACAGGCTCTTTCAAATGGAGTGTATCGTTGCTTCTCGCCTGCTTCGAGTCTATGCCCTTCTTCACTCACTGGCAGCACCACCACAACTCTCATAAAACCACATCCTATCAAAAGTTTTATAACTAAAACTATCTTTAACAGCTATTTGCACTGCAGCTGCCACAGCCGTGTATAACAATATGCATCATGGTATAATATATTTTATTTTGCAAACGAAACGTGGCTGAACCTGTGTACCACTTCCCAGCTACCGGTCCCGCGCCTGTAGCTGGCCCTTTGAAAGATTTTACAGGTGATCTCCGAGAGACTGCTAATCAACCCCGTGTTGATCCTTCAAGATTCGATACCAAACGGAGGCAGACATTGCTCAATCTCCTAAATGCGTTAAACGAGCTTAGCCAGGCTGAATGTCTTGACCGAGGTCAGCTCCCCGTGCCATGTATTCCTAGACTGCTTATCGACTTCTCAACTCAGACTTTGATCAGAATCCAAGCTTTGAGGATGACAGAGATACCCGTGAGTAGGGTCGTCTGACAGCTGTACCTTTGGTTGAACATCGGATTAGCGACTGTGGACGAGCAACTGCAGGTTTCCGGAGCAGAGAAATTTAACAGATTTCAGAAGTTCGTTTACCATCAACCCTGAATTTTTTTCTCATTCAACTTTTCTTCAGAAAGATCAATAGTCTCGACAAAGAGGTCACTGCTGTTTAACAACAAGTTTTGCAGCTGATTAGGCTGACATGGTGTTCACACTGACAGCTCAGAAACTTCGGCAATGCTGCACGACAACTTGGTAGTTCTGTCGGAATTCTGTCCTCCGCATTTCGGCTCCGAGAACGTCTTGCACAAATCCTTTTCCTTTTCCGGAACAATGCGGCTGATCTCTTTCCTCGGAAAATCTCTCGTCAGCAACGCGAATTTTTGGTCAACCCCAATCTAATGGACAGAAAGCGCAACGCTCGGCGGCGGAAGAGCATGCCAGGTCGTGTTCCAGTCAATATTGAAGACAGCCTTGATCTTGAGAGCCTCCCAGAGCAGTTTGAGAACTTCGCTGCTGCCCTCATGACCTTCTTGAAATGCTTGAACGAATTTCCGGAATTCACTGATGAGGCTGTTAACACTTCGATAAAATCATTCGAGGGCGATTTGAAGGTATAACTTTACACCTTTTTGTTTAGCGTTTGGTTAATTTTTATCAGTACTGGGCATGTTGTTTACAAGAATACAGAGGTAAGCCTCTCTCAATATCGTAGGACTCAATGACCTGCGATTCTAAATATCTTCTATCAGGACAATTCAAATACCCTGCTGTACAGCGCTATGTTCATGACCTTACGGCTGAAATGGGAGAGCACATCGACAGCATTACTGGGACGTTATCTATGTTCATCGAAGTTGGTGTGTGATCCCTTGGTCTACCCAGGCGACATGATTCTAATTTAGTCCGAGGTGTCCCAACTATTCGATTCGCACAGAATCACGCTGCAGCAAATCTTTTAACTCTGTCCACCGTGGCCACCTTCTTCTCCGCCGTCACTGCGACCACACTGCAGTTCTCGTATTCTCAGACTGGAGATATGCTCTCTGATGCAGTTAATGCATTCTGGTTCTCCTCGCTTGTATTCAGCATCGCTGCTGCTGTTAATAGTTTACTGGGGCTTTCTTGGAAACAGGCTATGTAGTGAGTACCCCTTGGACTTGAAGCGAGTCCCAGCTGATGCATGTAGTCGATCACCTGGTGATCGCGTACCGTGGTGGGTACTGATGTGGATTAAACGATCACCCTTAGTATTTTTGGTGATGTCTGTGACTTGCTTCTCGGCCGGACTTGTACTGTTCACATATTCTACACACCAGGTGAGTTCCCTTGGTCATTTTCGAAATTTCCTTTTACTTATGATGTATCACAGGGCAAAGTTACATCTACAATCACAACCGTTTTTACTGCGTTCACCTCGTTTGGCCTAGCAGCGGTTTCAGCCTGGGTTGCCTCTGAGAAATGGACATTTGTGCATCATCGTGGGTCGAAGTGGCTTTCTGATGTTCTCAAAGATGCTCTGCGACGCTTCATGGCCCTGCGTCTCGTCTCATTTGTCAGCAAAACCTTTGGTTGGAGCTCGCAGTATGTGCAAAAAGGTGTTGAATTTGCAGGTCACAGATGTAGACGGGTGTCATCGATGGGGACAATCACGACAACCGCGATAGAGCAAGGCGACAACCTGACTACTGGTGAGTATGCTCACACTATATCACGCTCTCCTGAACCCCTTTCTCCGCTATCACCCATCCGACAATCCACAGACTCCTACTCGCGTTTCAGTGGCGAGGGTTCTTCACATCCCAACTTGGAGTCACCAACCACCACCTTCAGCGGCACGTCAAACTCTCCGACTACAGCGCGAGACCGTTTAACAAGTGCCATTCGGTCCGTCATGATGCTTCAGTCTGCAACGTCTTCTCCTAGCAGCCCGTTTTCTCCTGTGCGGAAACGAACAACTTCGTCGGCGTTCACAGATGCATCAAGAACGACGCCAGAGACAGGTATCACTACAACATTTAGAGGCTCCAAAGTTGCTTCCCTCATATCTAAGCTCAAGAGCTTAGAGACAACGCAAGATTTGGCTGCGCATTCAGCACTCGTCAGGCACTTGCAATTTTCACCCAATGGGAAGTTTTTGGCAACTTCAAGGTATGACCTTCCGGCCTGTGGAGTACGCTGTGTATTGATGTTTTTAATAGCTGGGATCGGACGTCCATCATCTTCCGCGTCGGGGTGTGTGGTGCTAGTGGTTGATTGAAACGTGGCAATGATATCTCTATAGGATCCTTGTGTGCCCCATCGTGTGCTTGCACATGCTTCTGGCTTTGTCGGTCAAGTTGCTTGGTACGTTATTCTTGCTTCGTGTCCATGACTTGCTGATATTTTGGTAAGGTCCCCAGTCGGTGTACTTCTCCTCACACGGCTGAATCGGGCTATCAAAGTTTGGACAGAGGTTGGTTGAACTGGAAGAAGAGTAATGCCGTGCTGAATTGTATGTCATCTTTAGGATGGAGTGTGTCGAAAAACCATCGAACGTCAGCATCATGTCCAGTCAATTGCATGGTTGCCTAGAGGAGAAGGTGAGGTTCCAACTGGCACCCGCAGACTATGCCAACAAGTGATCTTCGCAGCATTTCTGTCCGTCGAGGGTAGCGAAGTGGTCAAACTGGTGAGTGGTCATCGCGCTCTTATTTATGACGTATCCACTCATTTCGACAGGATCTTAACGGCAATGTGCGTGCACCAAGGTCAATTTTTTGGAATGGTGCTCAAGTCTCATTCTTCAGGTCCTCGACACGTATCGCTTCAATCGGTTGTTCATTCATGATGTAACCATTACTCCCGATCTACAATGGTTATTGGGCGTCGGGCCGATCCTATATTCTCCCAAAGGATTGCATCCTAGCAAGTCCCGAGTAGAAAAACAGCTTTTGGGTGAGTTCACTGTCGTTTTTCGTGGGATCTGATTCCTTATCTATTTTAGTTTATAACATCCAGACGAGGGTTATAGAAAAGTGAGCTCATTAACATGATGCTTTGAGGCATGTATTGACGACTTGTGGCAGCCAAACGCCAGTACTCAATGATGTTCGTGATATAACGCTGGCTAAGAACGGACAAGTGGCTCTGGTATCTTATGAAAACAAGGTCTGTCCGTATATCGCCGATTCGCCTATTTTACTCAGTTTCTCTCGTGCATACATCTAGGCGTTCCCCCAGCTGTGGAAGCTAGAAATAGTCAAGGATCAGGCGCGGCTGACTTTGCGTCATACTTATATGCCCAAAGTGTCGGTTGACTTCGCAGGACCGAGCTATTTTGGAGGCAAGGATGATCAGCTTGTGCTTTGTGCCGGCAAGGGTGCGCTATTTCCGGTTCCTCCCAGCCCTGTAATTGAACGACTACTGAGCAGCTGGTGATATACATATCTGGGACCGCGATTCAGCCGTGCTTCTTCATCATGTCCGTGCCCAAGCCCTAGGCGGAGACCTGACGTGTGTCGCATGGAATCATGCTTCGGACAACCCTTTCATGTTTGCTACGGGAAGCCACGATGGTGCGGTCAGATTGTGGACGACGATGAATGACTATCGACCATGCGAGTCTAGTCGCCGTCACCTTACGGTGACTACACAATCTACGCCGTATTCTGTCACCCCTTGCTCGCCTTCACCTGTTGATAGTGGTTTTCAGACAGATAGCGCCGGCACACAATATGGAGAATACACCCCGGAGCCATTAACGCTCACGCCTGTGGAAGACAGTGGCCAGCGAGATAGGATTGTTACATTTGCACATACTCGTGGCTGATGAAGAATTTCAAGGTTTATATCCACTTGTAACTTAATTATTAGTCAAGACTGTCACATTCGCTTAACTGTTACGCCAAAAGGAATGATACCGAGAGCTTGTCTTTCAGTATCGCGGCCGGTATATATGTATGTAGTAGATTACGGGAACTTTAATAAGCCAGTGGGCTTACACCACTACAGAGTTATGCAGCCAACACAAGAGACTGAAAGTGGTGAAATAACTGTTGGTGACCTTTGTGGGGGTGGAGAGGCATCCGAGGAAGACAGCGGAAGCGAACGAATATGTGCCTTATGAAGAGCGATTCACGTTGCAGGAGACTAGGGAACATTTGATTTGAAAAAAGAATGCTGCCTCTTTTCACTACACACGTGAGGGGGAGTATTTTGCGCAGGACTGGAGCCATCCATAAGTTCACATTGTGGCTCTGCCTTCGTATATGTGTTGTGCGTGTGCTTCCCTGTGAGGTTGGCTCAGTATCGAAAATTCAGGATTTTATTACACACATGCGGAACACTATCATTACAACGAGGGTTCAAACATTGGTCGGACCCTAAACGAAGTTGAAAATGAATGGATATCGACTATTGCATGGAGTGCGTTGATTCGAGGCGGCGAGCGATACATTGCTTGCGGTGTTTGAAAGAGTTGTAATTATGCTCTAAGTAGCACGAAATAGTCAGGAGAAGTCTGGGCGAAGTGCTGATAATGCATGCCCAGTTGTCACTTGTGAGAAGAGTCGTAGGGCTACTGCACTGCAGATCTTTGCGTACTAAAGATATGCATGGAAGTAGTATAATCGCCTGTCATGGGTGTTCATGAGTACAAAAGAATGATATTATGAGTCCTTCACCGTCATCTAGATGGTCCAAGTTGGTTCTCAGCCGCTGCGATCTGAGCATTCATCTGACATCACTTGGTAATTTATCCTGATTGTCAATATCCCAATAATATGTCAATATCTGACGTCGTGACACACTTGGTCCTCTGGCAGCGACCTCCACTAAATCATCAAGATCAGGATGTTTTGCGGTGGAGTGGGTTCCTGTTCAACAGTCTGAGCCTCCCGCAAGCACTGCAGCTAATGATATCGTGGCTCCGTTGGTTTGATGTCTCCTGGGGCTGTTGCCAGGTTGTCGATCACAAGTTGATGATCAACATTGCAATGTAACACCTCTTTCAGGCACCACGAAAGTCATGTCAAGTAAGACAGCCTGGGGGCGCCGAAGTGAATTATCGGTGCGAAACAAGGGGACACCTCGGATAACTCTTGAAAAAAAAAGATGCGGATGTGTGAGTGTAGAAAAGCAGAGGATCGGCGCCCTGGAGCAGTGTTTGTTGTGGCTATGTATATTACATCAATTTGTTCCGTAGTCCCATGGCCGATGAGACTCCAGGTTCCCGGGCCATGGAACATATTACTCTTATTTCCTGGACATCTTCCACCACATTAATCTGGCCCATAAAACATGCTGTCGAAACGGGTCATCGCTGCAGCACGCAGTAGTGCTTTTCTCGCAAGCAGAAATGTCCGATGTCGCGACACTGCTGTATCGCTGTCGAAAGGATGGTGCGCGTTTTTTTTCTGCTGGAAGCATAGCTAACGGATGATCACTTTCTTGTCTGTCTAGGAAGGTCGCCGACTCGCAAATGAGACGCGCACAGTTCCATTCATCACATCTTCTCCAAGGTCAGTTCTATGACGTATCTAAACAAAGAAACATGATCATTCAAACGTGCTCTGTTGGTCTTGCTGATTCACAGCTGAGACCGTAAAAGTGCCGCAGATGGCAGAGTCCATCTCCGAAGGTACTCTTCGGTCTTGGTCAAAACAGGTTGGGGATAGCGTCGAGGCTGACGAGGAAGTCGCTACAATTGAGACAGATAAAGTGAATAGTAGTTCATTATACTTCTATCGTACGAACAACACGACTGACGTCCTCTCCCTCAGATTGATGTTTCTGTGAATGCGCCTAAATCAGGGAAGATTGTGGAGCTGCTCGCAAAGGAGGAGGACACTGTCAGCGTCGGCCAGGACCTCTTCAGAATTGAACCCGGTGAAGGTGGTGGTATGTCCCACGTCTTTAATCACACACCATTTATTCACATGGTTCTAGCATCTCCCTCCCCTCAAGAACAGAAGAAGGTAGACCCTGAAGAACCTAAGGACCAACAATTGGACAAGACGACGCCGGAGCCTCCCGCACCTTCAAGTGTCGACAGACAAAGTGGCGGTATTCCTCCCGAGGGACCGAAGGAGTCCAAGAAGGAAGTGAAGCAGGACTTAAAATCAAAGGAGGTCAAGTCAAAAGCACCTCCCGCTGCGCCAAAGGCACCAGGCAACCGGGGTGAGACCAGGGTAAGCATTTCATCGCTGCACCTCCTGCAAGGATATTAACCTACCTCTACCTATTAGGTCAAGATGAACCGTATGCGTCTGCGCATCGCCGAGCGTCTGAAGGAGTCTCAAAACGCTGCCGCGTCGCTCACAACCTTCAATGAGATCGACATGTCGTCTCTCATGGAGATGCGAAAGAAGTACAAGGATGAGGTGCTCAAGGAACACGACGTCAAGTTAGGCTTCATGAGCGCGTTCGCCCGTGCGTGCGCGCTGGCACTGAAGGAGATCCCTGCTGCAAACGCGTCCATCGAGGGTGATGAGATTGTTTACCATGATTACGTCGACCTCAGTGTTGCTGTCGCGACTCCGAAGGGCTTGGTCACTCCCGTAGTGAGGAATGCTGAGAGCATGGGCTTTGTTGATATCGAGAAGGAGATTGCCGCTCTCGGCACCAAGGCCAGGGACGGTAAGTTGACTCTCGAGGACATGGCAGGAGGCACCTTCACCATGTAAGCTTTTCTGATCATCAACACAAACTGAGACTAATTTCGCGCATTCAGTTCCAATGGCGGTGTCTTCGGCTCATTGTACGGAACGCCCATCATCAACTTGCCACAGTCTGCTGTGCTAGGCATGCACGCGATCAAGGACAGGCCTGTCGTAGTTCAACGGCCAGATCGTCATCCGACCCATCATGGTTGTTGCCCTCACCTACGACCACAGACTACTCGATGGTCGGGAGGCAGTTACCTTCTTGGGTTCGTACTCTTCCTATCATTTGGTCTCACCTAGCGTGCTGATGGCGTTTACAGTGAAGGTTCGCGACTACATCGAGGACCCCCGCAAAATGCTTCTTGCATTAAACTGAGCTTGCCTTGGAGAATTTTGTTAATGAAAGACCATGGCTAAGTGCACTTGTCCTTATAAGTTACAGTAATTTCATAGTCAGTATCTTCAATATTAAACTCCTTGGTCTATCCCAAGTTGCCGCTTTATAGAAGCTCACTCATCATCTCGCGGAACAATAAGCGGCATATTTGAACGTCTCATGCTTTTTTCCAACCACGTAAACCTCCTTCGTATCGACCTCCTTTGCCGCATTTGAGTTGGTGCTATTAATACTACTGTACCAGAGGTAAGCATAATCTCCCACAAGGCAGTAGCAACGCGTGCCCTAAATAACATGGGAAACAAAAAATGACACTGAGTGTCCAAGCGTGCAAAAACGGAATAAAGTCAGATAGCGACGAGCATCGCATCGGCAAGTCCGACCGGCAGACGTCACGGTACGACCTCCTTTTCCTTACCCTTCCGGGACGGCGGCAGCGCCAAGCTCGGTAAGCTTGCCGCGCTTGCTGCGCTAGTGAATGATGCTAGGCGCCGTGTTCCCTTTAGCCCCGTTGGCGAGGAGAGAGTATTTGGTGAGTGCATAGGACTGCTTGGGACTGAGGCGTTCAAGCGTGTTTGTCTTGTGGGCGTTTCGCCCTGATTTGCTTCCGTGAGCAGATATTCTACCCATAGGCGGGAGAAAGACTAGAGCAGAAAAGCGGTGAGCTTGCTATTGCAGCAACAAAATTCGTGGTATTACCTCGGTCTCATCTGTCTTTTCCAAATCAACTGCCTTTTGACTTGGTGACCCGATATTCGATGGACGTCCCCAGAATGAATGGCCAGATGACGCCGTTATCGAAGAACGCTGGAGGCCTGCCTTTTCACGTTCGGCGTCCGTCCATGATAGAATAGATGCAAGGAGCGTGAGCATTTCGAAGCGTTTTGCATCGGCACGTGGAGTGGAAAGAAATGATAGAAGAATGTTGTTGACCAATCTTCGATCTACATTCGTGTCCGACGAATTGCGCCGAAGTCTACGGAGGGCTTCCATAAGGTGTTCGTTGATGATTACGGCTGAAAAGAATATTGATATTAGGCAACATGTGTGATGATGAAAATAGACCTTCGTGTCGCAGCTTGCCGATCAATAGATTCTTCTCCTTGACGTCCTGTTCTAGTTCTTGTGTCCGCGAGGCATTGATTTTCAGTTCGTCAAGCTGAGCCTGTCTGATGTTTGAGCTTGGTTAGATAACCGACCAGAACACGAGGCGGACCTCTGCGTCTAGAGCTCGTCGCTTGAATTCGGCTAATGATATGTTGACATCATCAAGCTGAGATCTGTAGTCCTTCACAGCTTGTGAAAGTTCGTGTTCCTTGGCTGTCAATGCTTCAGCATAGAGAACTTGAGCATAAAATATGCATGATATTGCTTACATGCTGAAAAATCCTCTAGCACTGACTGTAAGTTAGTCGCAGTCTCCCGTGCTGCGGCCAACTCAACTGACTCTCGATCTCGGACTTCGCGTTCCATCTCCAGATCACGCCTCAACGTCTCCAGGTTCAATCTTGCTTCATCACCCAACATCTTCTCCTGCATTGTGGCGCGTTCCCATTCGCTACGTTCGATGCGGCATCGCTCAAGCTCACTCAAAGTCTCCCGAAGCTCACGTTCGCGTAGAAGACTTTCCTGCGCATTTTCGTTCAGGACCTGACTCCGAATCGTATCTAGCTCCTTTGAATTGTGTTCTGCTTCTTCATGAGATGCGATGAGCTCGGCTTTCAAAGTCTCGACTGTAGAAACCAGATCCTCATTCTGAGCCGTAAGATGCTGAACAAGTTGTTCCCTCCTATCGAGTTCTTCCTATGCATAGTTTGTTAGGGTAGCAAAAAGTAGTAGATACTCCAATAGAAACGTACAGCATCCTGTTGCAGCTTATTGCCTAGACTTGTACGCATCGTCGTGAGTTTGGCTAAGAGGTTACGATACTGTGCAGCAAGGTTATCTTTCTCCTCTCTCTCGCGTTCGAGTTCTCTCTTCAGCTTCTCGATGGGGTCCAAGCCCTCCTCGTCCACGAGGGCACGGGAGTGTCCATTAATGCCAACTACGGGAGAAGACGTGGAACTGCGTTCGCTGTCCAGAGATGAGCGACCATCCACATTTATGACGTGATTAATAGGAGAAAATGGTCTGGCGTGTACTGGGGATCTCGAGTCAATCCGAGTGATGGATGCGCCGTTGGAAGACATCGGTCTTGTTCTTGTCATTCAGTTCTCTGCTCGCAGAGCATGAGGCTAACTTCACACACCCAAAATGGAATTCCACGTGCGCTTTCATTATTGTAACAGATCGGAGTCTTTTGTTAGTCTCAGTCAACTGAAACCTCGACTTGCTCTTTCTTATGCAAACGCTGAACATTTGCCTGTTCGTAATATGGTTTTGTATCAGTGCCAGATTATGTGGGCCAAAACACTAGTGCAGCTCCCACCAGAGCTTTTGTATCTTACACTGTCGTTTCTCGACTCGTACGACCTCCTAGTAGTGCGGGTACGAGAGATGAGTGAACAAGTGTATCCATCTCACTGTGCTCACTGCTCACCCCTGCCTTCTTCCAAATTAACTCGATGGGATCCTTGAAGTGGATGTGCCGCTCAGCTACACGTCGCAAGCGACTTAGACTGTATGACGCTGCGTCTCTCTCTTGAATTCCAACTGAAGTGCACGCTACCCTCACCAATATTAAGACTTGGACATACATATGTGTTTGTGTGCGGTGTATATCGTTTAGTTGGGAGGAACTGCATCCACTTTACACGACTGTTATCCGGCGCGTTCGATTCTGGCGATTTATCAGATTGCCATGGCTGGAGTCGCCATGTTAACGCGACGACCTTCACTCTACATGTTACGCAAGACCTGCTTCTGGTGGTGGCACGCTCACAAGACTTGTGAATGTCTCCATCGTGTCTGCTCACTTACTTTCCAGGCTAGACTACGTGGGCAGGCGGAGTCCTGCATACGAGATCCATTGGAGGTCGCTGATAACGCGTAACGAACGACACTCACCCTGATGCAGCGTAACCATTCTTGGAAGTTCTCGACAAGAACGATATTGGCCACCAAATATTGATCAAATCCCAGGGGTCGTGCGAAGGTTCAAATGGTCGTGAATTACATTGCCCTTTCGGTCGGAGGGATGGAACAACTCATATCGAATGATCACGTCCCGAGCCTTCGCTTCCCCGTAGAACGGTACTACTCGTAACTTTGGTGCCCAATGAGTAAATTCCTGAGCCTAGTCTGTGATGGTAGAGTTGGGAACAATGACAAAGGCAGGAGCTCCTTGCCATTTATCGGTGTGCTATGTCGGGCTGTCATTGTAAACGCGGACAACGCCTTACATAGTATACAAATGTAGGACTGGCAATTCAAGACTCAAGGGCTACTAGTTCAATCACTTTTGTCGGCTAAAAATTAAGGGATATGACAGTTCAGTCTTTCTTTCGATTGCGGTTTCAGCGACTACATTCCATCACAAGAGGACAAGTTCTTCATTCTTGTTGCCTCCGGGAATATGGAAGTATATTCCATTGACAACAGTCAAACTCTCGCAACGCACCGTGACAATGTCCTTCTCTCATGGATGACTTTTCATACACGGATGTGTTCATGAGCCAACTCCTTGTTCCATGTTTTCCACTTTCGAAAGTCTTACTTCATGTTCATCCAAGCGCAGATGATCATCTTATAGCCACCCTTGTTCTGGTCGCTCGAACAGAACACAAACCACCCACTCTACTATCGCTTTGTTGTCCGGCGGAGTGCCATTCTGAAACTCGAAAGTTTACCTGTCAGGACTTGCAGCCAATTTCTAAGCTATCAGGTCACAATATCAGAAATTACCATTTATTCGCACCCTCCTCTCTATCTCCTCCTCGTGCTTCCTCAACAGCAGCCGGTCCACCCAGCCGCCCTTGGGAAAGGCTTGATCCCACCTATTATGCAAATGGACGGCAAATATCTTTCCTAGTGCCCTATCTAGCGCTCCACCCTCCTCAAGCCCCTCCCCAGGTCTGCCAGTCCACTTCCCGTCTATGCGATCAGGCTCAAACGGATCTGGCGCTCTGTTATCGAGTCGACATACCAGAGGGTCGGAGAAGCAGAACGGTAAAATTTTGAAGGGGGGTATGGATTCGTTGAGGAGGCGCCGCCATAGCCTATGGTAAAGAACTGAACCCCAATCAGTACTTGGAGAACGCGGGGGAGTGCTGTGTGCCATGAGATGGAAGGCTTCACAAAGGTAAGGCGAGTGCTTGCGGAAGTGCATAAGCGCACCGTTGAACGGTTGGTAAATCTTGTCTGAGGAAACTTGTGGATCAGTGGACGAAAAAGGGTTGATGATTAGATTACCGTAGCAGTCCCATTGCGTTACAAATTCGTGCTCAAGCAATGGAGAGAGGTCTCGGGTTAGGAGCATGTCCACGTCTATCCAAGCGCCGCCGTACGCCCAGATGACAAGTAAGCGGACGAGGTCGCCATCCACCCATGCTTTCTTGTCCTCGAGATTGAGTAAGCGGTGGTTCTCCATTGCCGTACCCTTGGCTAATTCAGGTATATCCACTATCTGAAGTGTGAACGAGCTAGGAAACAGTTCGAGATACTTTTGCACGATTGAATTGAGTGATAGATCGCCGTTTGACCAAAGCATTAGACGAGAGCGAGGCAGGTCTTGCGTAGCGAAGAATGACTTTAGCATGTATTCTTGTCTCTCACCGAGGGGTGCAAGATCGACGCGCCAATATGCGTGGAACTGTGCTCGCTCCTCTGGTGGGATATACCGTTCCTCTGCCTTTCGTTCCCCTTCTGCAAATCTTACTATTCCTGCTAACTCGTAGCAGTCCATACCCATTCGCAATGGTACACCTGCCTGAACCTCAAACCGTTTCCCGCCATACACGGCGTCACTGATGTTGTACAGTGTGCTAATGCGCTCGGGCTCGAAACATCCTGCAAGTGGGGACAATGGGAGTATTTCGCGCTGTATCCATGTTCGTTGATGGAATACGAGGCCGATGCTCCCATGCGGCTCATAGAGATAGTATACCATGTAACCTATGATGAACGCCAGCGGAAGCGTGAATTTCAAGAACATTGTGAATGCTCTTCGCAGTCGCATGTCGGGCCAGAACGGAAGTATTATTTTCGCCAAGGTGGAGGATACACAGTATACAGTGCCATCATGGGAATGGCTACGGAACTGATCTCAGGCGCGTCAGGCGCGCCGGCGGCGAAGACCGTGTTGGTGTCAACAAGGTGTGGTGTTTAGAATTTAAACTGGTCAGCAACTTCCGACTCCTACCACTTACAAGTACTACAAACATAATGTTCCAGTCTCTCCAACTTGATGATGATATAAATATCTCGAATAGCATGGCCAAAGCGCTTTCATAGAGCGGATAGTGAACACTACCGCTGCGATGCGGACTGCTCAACAGTACTAGTATCAATTCCTGTGTTGCAGTAAGTGCCTTCGATCTTTTTACCTATGTTTCTGATTGTGGTTTGCTTATGGTCGTTAGAACTCTCATGATATCTGCAGCGCTGACGAGGAAAGTAGCAGGCTATTGAGAAAAAGAATCTCAACTTGCTAAGCAATTTGTATTCTAAGAAAGCCGATGCAGTCATGATGAGCTTCTGGATCGTAACGGATCATAGCCTATCAGTCATAATCAACGCGAAGTATATACTTACGTTGAATGTTTTACAGTTCGCCAACATCAAACACTATCAAGTCCAGGATGTGGAGACACTCGAATGGAAACACTTGACATGCGTCGCGCATAACGGCGTGGATCATTTCATTTTATGCGATCCATATGTACAGCGACAACTTAAGCATTCAACTTAATTGCGTATGCCATGATGCTCATCTGTCATTGGACCCGAACTGTTTGCTTGAAGCCATACACTCCACCTTTCGAACCATTGTGAGCTCACACTTTCATAAAATCCCTAACTTTGAGAATTAGAATTCATATGCGCTAGTCACAGAGCCGACGAACAATAATTATTACCCTATCCATTGTTCCTTTTCAAAACATTTATCAAGGCTCTCAGGACATAAAAGCTTGCATTCTTTCTCCCCATCTCAGAGCCCTCAGCCAGATTCCATCTTGCCTCCTACGACCAATGCATTTTCCCTTCCTCACCGTCTTGGTTGCTTTGACGACATTTATGTATGTCAGCGCAACCCCATCTGTTTTCAGCAGATCATGTCATGCCGTTGGCAAGTATTGCCAGCAAGGCTCTGACTGTTGCTCCGATGCGTGCGCGTATACATCCGTGAGTTTTCTTCGCATCTAAGATTCAGACTCGTGACTCACCTTTTGTGGTTTGTAATAGGATTGCAGCGCGAAAACTTGTGTTGATGACGACTCCATACTTATCGGGGAGCTGGCACGTCGTGAGAGTGAGTCACGCTTCTGCCTTCATATCGATGCTGTTGTTCATAGCACAATTCATAGTTGATTGCTGAGTTGATCAATATGATCATGGCCCTCGGACAGGTTTTACCGCTTCTTGGATACCCTTCAATAGAACGAGATCGATACACATACGTATCTATCTTACACACGATCACTTCTCGATACCCATTTCGTTTGCGTTCCCCTTTCAGTCCACACCCTCAACAAGTAATCATATCCATACGATATTGTTTTGATCATGACTCGGCCTTTCCAACTAGGACTGATGCTGACATAGTTGCTACTACATTTGTATAGTATCGGTACTTAGCGATACGTAGTTCTTCCTCTAGCACGAGCCTTTTCCGCTCATCAAAATATTGATAAGGCATGCCAGCTATGTTATGACAAGGTACCAATCACCATCATCCGGTTGAGTTGACCATGTGCATGCAGCCGCCCGAAGACAACCCGAAGACGGAACCTTCATACTTACTAATAAGCAGGTGACAGCAGTTGTCAGCATCACGTATTTAGGGAGCACGAGCAGGATAAAACGTTATTTTTAGTATTGAGATATTTACAGCTTGCCAACTTTCAAGCCGCCAACTCCAGCATGTGGAAAAACTGCCCGCGTGTCGCGCACAGATCTATACGTACTACGGTACGACCCAGGTAGCAACTTGAGGAGTCGTGCAAGGTCCAACCGTGACTACAGAAGTAATAAATTGTTACGCGGACCCGAGCTGCTCGTCTCAGAAGCGTATTGGAACCGCCTCACTTTCATAAAATAGTTCCGACGCATCAGAATCACCCATATATTGTCAGTCGCAGCCGACGAACGATTCGTATTACCCCATCAATTGTTCGCTTTCAGAGTGTTTACAGGACATAAAAGGATGCTGTCTTTCTCCCCATCTCAGACTTACTATTCAAGAGGAACCTATCCAATATCTCCTGCAAATAATGCGTTTATCCTTGTTCGCCATCATAGTTGCTTGGACAGCATCTATATCTGTCAGTGCGACACCAGCTGTCTTCAGAACGACATGCAAGGCCATCAACCAGACTTGCGATGATGACCCTGACTGCTGCTCTAACTCGTGCATGTATACAACTGTGGGTTTGCTTTATGTCCAGGATTATGTCCAGTACTGTCTCACTTACGGATTATAAAAGGATTGCACTAACAAATATTGCGCTGTTGACCAAGAAGGCGAAGGTCCAGAAGGTCCAGAAAGCCCAGGAAAAAAGAGGCAGCTCGAGGGTAAGTCATGTTTATATCTCTGTATCGATGATGTTGCTTATGTGGCATAATTCTCAGCTAGTTGCAGCTGAGATTGATCAATGTACTGGGACAATTTTACTGCCTCTTGAGATACCCCTCCACAGGAGAACGAGATCGATACACGCATATCCGTTTTACATGCACAACTTAGCACTTCTGGAGATACTTCGTCCACATTCCCTTCTGTACGATATCATTTTCCTCTCGGTTTTTCCAACTAAGACTGAGCATAATTGTCACATTGTACGGCACAATGAACTTCGAAGTTACTTATAAGAAATACGAATGTTCTTGTTCAACCATGATGAGGCATTTGTGGACCAATGTGGCGGTTTGAGACGACCTTCCCCGAACATCTGGTAGGTCAAAGAATATTCTCAATTCGCAAACCTAAAACGCCCGGCCAACAAGTTCAGCTTGTGCATAAAATTGGATGGAAATATGGGTCATTTTTATTGATCCCTGTCTAACCTCGACGACAACTCGAAGAGTTTAACTATTAATGTCGCGGTAGGTCGCCCCCTAGACAAACCTGTGCAGACGAAGGAAGATAGTCATTTCTTCTAAGAAAGAGGCGGACCCGAACTGCTTGTCTAAAGCCACATCCGACACATTTACCCGAACGATCGTCAATTCCTAGGCTACCACACTCGTATCTTTTATATATTTCCCGAATGTTTATAAAGGTTTTCAGGACATACAAGCATGCCGTCAGGCTGAAGTTCTTCCCCATCGGCGTTACTCGAAAACCCCTCGGACCCATCTCATATCACCTCCTATAACCCATGCATCTATCATCGCTCGCGGTCGTGGCTGCTTTGACAGCATCTATGTACATCAGTACAACCCTAGCTACCTCCAACGATACTTGTCTTGCCGTTGGCAAGTATTGCGATGACGACTCCCAGTGCTGCTCTGATGCGTGCACATGGAAAACTGTGAGTTTACTTTGCATGCATGCAGGACTCAACCTATGACACGCCATTTACTGTAACAGGATTGCACTGAAAAATATTGTGTTGCTATCGACAATATACTGGATCTCGAGGAGCTGAGACGTGCTTACAGTAAGTCATGTTTCTGCCTTGGCATTGATGCTGTCGTTCATGGCACAATACTTAGTTGATTGCTAAGTTAATCAGCTTGAAAATGATCACACTTTTCGCTGCATCCTTGATATGCATCGTATGTACTGTAACACCTTTCGTCCGAGTCTGCTTCCCTCTTTCATTCTCCGTCTCATCGCTGCACATGTCTAACAATCCTCTCCGTACGATGTCATTTCACCGAGCATACGTTCTACCACCTCTGTTTCACACGTACCTAACGATATGCCGTAGATGTTCTTTCTTCGTTTCTAATATAAACATTTCCACTCGTCAGGATAGTGATTTGACGCATGAGTGAGAAATACTGCAGCCATGGAACCATAAACATCAAAAGCCTGTCATAGTGTCACTATAAGTCGTTAGACCGTGTAAATTCCAGATTTTTTTACTCAATATGATGTTGTCCTCACCTTTATCCAGCGGTCTTGGGGGGGAGCGGGTTCGAAATTATGGACTGCGATGAGCTCCGTCCGCTGCCGACACAGCCTGCGGTGATACGAAAGGATGATTGGGAAGTACAAAGAAGGTACACAATGACGAATTAATTGGGAGAAGCAGGGGTTCTCGAACATAGTAGAGGAAAAGTACCAACCTCCTGAATTAGAACGTATAGACTAGCGCTCAGTGAACAGCTTTGATTCCGGGCGCATTTATTGATAGATTCATTTGGAGACCTTGCACAGGCTCCTTGAAATACTTTAAACTGCAGGGTCTTTTCTGATTAGCGGAGGAGATGCAAAACCAACGAAAACCACACATAGTATTTGATGATGCCCTTTTTACCTGATCGACGTAAAGGAAAAGAATTCTGATGATGTGCTAAGGTGGGCATCTGTCAGCCGTCACCAGCTTATTTAGTCTTCAAGGATTCCGCGATCCTGTATTCCCAGTATCTACAAAGTAATCGGTGAGGTATGTACCCCAGAGTGCTTAATTAGTGACCTACCTCTTGCGTATAGTATCGTGCTCATTTGCCAAGGATTTCCAAAGCTACGATAGGTCAGGTATTTGCCAAGTTCGTAAAGTACGTATCCCACCTCAGTGGCCTTCACCAAGTCACCACCCCCTGCTGCCTCGTGAATATCAGCCATGAATTCAACAGCAGCAACGCAAGGCAGCTGTGAATTCTTCGAAGGAAGAGGACTCTCGAGATCAACGACCTCAGGGGGTGTACCTAAAGGAGGTTGTGGCAGAGAATAAGGTAGCACGAATGCTTGAAGTTCGCAATAAGAAATTTTAGTATGATCAAGCACCCCGCGCAGGTAATTCCACGCAGATGCATTATTTGGTGCAATCGCAATTCGCTCCTTCACGAATCTGTTGTACATCTCGTTAATGCTCCAAGAATCCATAGTACCAGAATTAGGACTTACGCAAGCTCCCGCCGGACAACCGCATCTCTGTCTTCATCCCCACTTCGTACCCCAGATTGAAAGACGACGAAAAATCTGTGATGCCATGCAGAGTTATTCCTCACATCACTTTCAAGCATGCTCTCCATGAAATCCAGCTCATGACTCCATAACGCGTCGTCGTTGAAGTACGCGAGGATCCACTGTCTGTACGACCACGTGTGGTAGTTCTTCGTATCAACTTGCAACGAGTTAGCGATGAACTCGAGCTCAGGGCCGGGATTGCGAGTCTGCTGCACGAGCAGCCTGCGGTGATGCCAGACTTGGTATGTCTTGAGATGCTTGATCGCAAGTTCATCCATCAGCTGAAGCTCATCGTCGAGGGGAGACTTCAATGCCATAAGTGTTTTGTACCTGTACTGCCTAATCGCACATGCAAATGTCACCTGTGTTCGACTGCAAGTGCGTGATAGAGCAAGTCACACACTCACCATGCAGAGTAGTGTCCAGGATTCTGCCGAATTATGTTCTCCGTGAGCTCCAACACCCTGGGACTCATCTCACCGCTCTTGACGATCCCTCTGAAGTAGTTCGTGGCATCTCTGTCTAGTAGATGCCATCCGATCGTTGCATTGAGTGAGGGTTTGCAGACAAACCGGTTTGCTCACGAACATTCATCCGTATAAAAGATGGGCGCAAGAGGGGCGACACTTTCGTACTGCTCTAAGGGAACGACATCGGCCCACTCAGGTCGCTGAGAATACAACGGTTGCTCCTCTTCTGCAGGGAGATCCATAGCCAGAATGTAGGTTATGGAGGGGTTTCAAACTTCAAGACAAAGGTGATTGAAATGACCAGAAATAGCGACTGCACTTATTTACCGCCAAGTACGCTGTAGTGAGAAATTGGCCCTCAAAGTACTCGCTTTACTCAGTCATTAATGTCAGGTCTCAGATCGAACGTGAAGAGACTCGATGGTCACAAAAGAAACTAGAGTCCCAGAAAAGCAAGCGTGTAAAATACAGGACGGAAACTACTAAGAATAAATCGGATCGTTATCAAAGTGGAACAACAGAACGATCAGCATTAGCAGATACACATGGTACGGGCTACTTTAAGCAGCAGTGGGAGCAACGACATTGCTCGCAGTGTAATCCTGAGAAATCTATATGAACATGATGTTCCAGAGACGAGGTTCAAAGACAAACCTCCATCTCTGCATCAAGGTCAGCCACACTCTTCTGAGGTCTTTCATTCCCCTTCCTTCCACGGCCTCTTCCACGGCGAGAGCCACGCGTGGCAGGTCTGCGAATAGGTAAGACAACGGAATCAGCAACTTTGCTGCACGCACCTTGCACTTCGAGCATCTGAAGTTGCAGGAGCGGAAGCGGCAGGAGCAACACGCGATACAAGCGAAGCGGGCGGGGCGGGACGTGCGGGGTCGACTACGATCTCGATCTTCATCGGGCGTTCTGTAGTTGACGTGCGAGACGATGCGAAAAAGAGATAGACATTCGTTAGTCGGCTGTGCTTTCAGCGAGGAAGCAGGCAAAAAGGACGGATACGAGGAGCATGCCACTGTCCAAACCGTTACCAAGAACATTGTCGACTCTGTCCTCCTCCAATATGCCACAATAGCTGAGGCTTGCTTGCGCACGAATGGCCGCCCTGATTGGTCAAGGGATGAAGATTTGGAGTACCTCCCCGCCTGTCACTCCATAATACTTGCACCGGCCTGGAACTCAATCCCGAGACTGAGCCATGAGGAATGACGTGCACTGCGACGGCACCAGAATTGCAAGCTCAAAGGACAGCAAGCCTTCGGATCAACTTGCAACCTGGTACCCACCTCAAGGGTGTCGAGGCTGTGGGGACAAGACTCTGCCACCAAAAGAGTCTTGAGAACCCGCATATAGGCGTTTCCGCCACGCATGCACGTCTTTTGGCAGGGCCAAATAGAGAACCAGCGACAACGGATCTCCGTAACGGATGAAGGGCTCTTGCGGGAGACAAAGGAAGGAGACAATAAAGTAGGCGATACTAACTCCCATCGATCAATCGGTTGTTATATTGCTGGTAGGCCAAAGTACCATCGCCCTTCCGTTGGAAATGGACAGCTGCGACACCTTTTGACCGTCCGGCGCTATCATAGTGCAAGGTGACGTCGCGCAAGGCTCCAACAGTAGTGGAGAATAGTTCCTATATTCATGCTAAGATTAGCCACGTCACCAAGGTCGCCAAAAGTTAAACCACACACTCTGATTTGAACTTCATTCACATCTGTTGGAAGATTGGAAACGATGATTTTATCTGCGGGTTGCGCAGAGGTGGTGGCTGTGGCTTTAATAGCGCCGGTAGTGGCGGCGCGGGCAGCAGGGTTGGCACCAGTAGCTCCAAGAAGTTGGGCCTTGGCCCCTGCACCTCCGCGACGACCAGTACCACGACGGGCGCCTCTTGGGCGAGAAGAAATGACCTAGATATCATGGTTTATATACGCGTGGCAGAAAATTTTTACAACTCAACACCAACCTCGTCAAGCGATTTGTCCATTATTTCAAGTTTTAAAGAACGCGTGGATTATTTGCGGGTGAGATTATTGCTGTTTTGAGAGTCTTGACAACAAAGAAGACGGGTGGGTGGTGGTGGTGGCAAAGGGGCGACGCGAGATGACCCTAACACAGCAAGTGCTTGTTATATAAGGCTTCGGAGTTTAAACTTTCTCAACTCAGCATGATGCATGCTGTGCTATACTTGCATCTTTGATCATCGCCAAATTTTATAAGGTTTTGAAAATATGTCTAGAGGACGCGGTGGTGGACGAGGTGGTGGAAGGGGCGGCTTTAAAAGCGGCGGCGGCTTCGGCGCAGGAAGCATGCCTCCTATGGGTCTCACATTTGCAGACATACAAGCTATGTCCAGGGAAGGAGACGCGTTGTACCCAGTGCGGCGCATCAATCTTGTAACATCATAGTGTATAATCTCATTTTTATTCGAACAGCCATTGGATCCTCTGCCTGTTCTCACCGATTACTCTGCTGACGAGAAACGAATCTGTGATCTGCAAACCGGATTTGTTACCCGGTTACGGCAATCAGCCTACTATGTAGTCGAAACATCAAAGTCAAATGGTTTGAATGATCGTAAGCGATTGATAAACGGGAACCTAATACCTTTGCTTTACAGACTTGGAGCGTTATTCTGATAAATATCGCCAGAGTCCTGCTTCACAGCCTACACTGAAGCGGAAGGACCTTCATGCACCCTTTTTTCCCTCGGAAATATTCGAGGGCTATTTCAATCCAAAAAGAAAACGTAAAGGTCAGTAGATTTATTTTCATTTCACATCGTTACTGAATGGATCAGCAGTTGACAAGAAAGGCACCACCAAACGCCTCAATCTTGATGACTTAGCGGAGGACGCTGAGGACCAAGTATGTCATGACTTCAGACATACTTTTATTGTCGGAATATTAACAAGCTCTTCAGGAAAAGTCAGGCGATGAACGCTCAGATGCTGGATCACAGCTAGTTGATTCCGACTACGACGTCGACGAGGAATATGACAATGATTATGCGGAGAATTATTTCGATAACGGTGAAGGAGATGATATGGATGGTCTTGGAGACGGTGGTGGTGGTGATGATGGCGGTGGCGGAGGTGAGATTTTTCTGACACTATTTTCTAGATTTCAGCCTTCTCACATGATCAACAGGCGATTATGACTAGGAGAGCACATTTGTGTATCTCCTTAGTACAAAAGGACCTGCAATGCAGAGACCTCCTTAATCGGCACTTTCACGCCCCCACCCTGTTTCAACAGGCCGCATGTGCCCGCCTAAAATGCGCACGCTGCCTTGGGCCTGTAGACTCAAGATCCAAGGGATAATTAGTCTAATTCGAATTCTTCTTTCGTCACATTGTATTCCGCATCAATCACATTTACATGTGTACAATACGATACGGATTTCTCGTCACCGAGCGAACCTCAGAGCCGCGTCTGTGTGGTTTGAAGGTTCGATGTGCTAGACGTGAACAGGCGTATAGCTCTCAAATACAAATACACCCATCCCGGCACAAAATACTCGGGGGGACCTTCGCATGTGCGCGGACGGCTCGGGACCAGATGTTGCTCGCTATCCAGTTCCGTTGTGTGCTATTGTCTGCAGGTCGCCCACTTTAGGTATGCTCAATGCACTCGGACTTTCTTGTCGATGCTGGTACAACGTGACAACTGACATCGATCTGACCACTCATGAATGGTTGCTCGAGAACCTCCTGGTACTTGGAGGCGATGGACTGATTCTTCAACCAGCCACCACACCGCGAGCAATAACTCAAGGCTGATAGCCACAATCCTAGTGTCAAGATGGTGGAGGATCTGCAAGGAAGCGCTGCAATAGAGAAATTAACCTTCTAATCGAACCTGCTCAACAGCCCCGCGTGCTTGCCGTGCGCAGCTCTAACGTTCGAGTTCAAGAGTTTGCGACTGGCTGTACTTGGAGATGATGCTCATATCAAGCACCTAAAACTTCATCAATCGGACTGCATATATCCAATGCACGCTTCAAACAATGATGGTCTACAATAGCAAACAACTCATGGAGATGATGCGAAGCTGGCGAGGAGCATGGTATGCTGGAAGCAATAGGTGAGTGAAAGGTTGATCGTTTTGCATTCGTATACTACAACATTGATAGCATATCAGGGCCATGACGTATGTAGCTCTGCTATAAAATTGCAAGACATAGATGGGAAAGAGATTCGTCGAGCGACTCCGATTGGGAGTAGCGTGATAAAAGTTGAGTAAGAAAGATTCATGTACATAGTATTCCGAGTCGCCCTCGCTTCCGCTAACTTCCTGAAAACACCACCATCACTACAACACTGGCTTCTTCATTGTCAGCCCCCGCGCTGTGCGACCCCGTGGTGGCTGTATGAACCTCGCAGTGACCTATTCAGCATGATTCTCATCCCCTGCTCACGGATAATAGGCAAAGCCGGGATCAAATCCTGAACCATCCTCCAGGCCGGGTAGTGTTCTGAAAAGACATCATCCTCATAGGAATATTCGTCATCCGAGTCTCCCTGAATTGATTTTACGTTGGGTGCGATAGCTGATATGAAAGCAGCAATTGATATCGGATTTTCGATCTTCGAACCTTCAAAGGCTAAATGGGATAGTGCGTTGTGAGAAAATCCTTGGTAAGGAACGTCACGGGGTATGGCATGCATGTCTATCATGGACCAGTTTACGGGAATGGCAACAGAGACTAAATGAGGGCAATGTCGCAATAGCAAGACGAAGGTGTGCGGAGTGACTCGATGACTTGAATGGGAGTATCCTGTGATGGATAAGTTTTCCAGGAGGGGCCAGGCCTTAGCCATCTGCAAAAGGGCAGCATCATCCATTCGCACAACACAATGGACATCCACTGCGAGGCTGAACTTGCGAAGATTGCGAAAGGCAAAGAGTGGTTGAAAGGACGCAGCTTCGATTGAAGCCTCGTGATCAGCGGGCTGACCAGTGATGTTGAGCTGCACCTGTTGCAATGAGTTGTATGCACATGCGTTGGATAGACGAAAAATCATATCCGGCAGGGCTCGTGCGGAACCCACTCCATGCTTGATCGTGAAGGAAACCACTTTCGGAGTGATAGTGAGTTCCTTCAACAAAGCGTCCAAGAAGACCATGTTTCTAGATGATATGTTCAGTTCTTGTAATGCGCAGAACGCAGGACGCTGCAGCAGCTTTTGTGTATCGGCAGATATGAGAATCGAAGGTAATGTGAATTTCAAAATTCGGAGCGAGGATAGATTAGACAGGTGTGATATCGCTGCCTCGGACAATGTTCCAGTCCTCACTGATGTTAGTTGAGACCATAATTGCAACGTGTCTCCGACTGATTCTGTGTATTCATCCGTATTTCGACCGAAATCGAAATGCGAGATAGACGGGCACGATTTTGCGATAGATAAGAAGATGGACTGTTCGGATGGACCAAATGTGAAGGGTACAAGATAGGCAGCGGAGATGTTGAGCATCGTCAATTTTGGGGTCACAAACAACTGAATATATTGAAGTGTCTCGTCGGAGGCCTCAATCCAGGTAAGGGACGTCAAGTTGGGGAGTAAGGGAAGGGAGAAGGGAGGACAGCTGAGGGCACGCCAAATCTCGGCATCATAGTTCATGTCCCTCGAGTACTGCCGATGACATTGATTAAGCAATGAACGGACACGGTGGTTGTGTTTGCAAAAAATGGACCAGTCATCGAGGGTCATGGCTCTTTGAAATTCCTGTTAAACAGATTAAATTGGTGTACTGTACCTGTGAGCCAAAGCTTGAGTACTAACTAGTCTTCCCCGGTTATGTTTCCATAGGCTTTGTGGGAGACACCTCATAAGAGGTTCGATCCCACCTAGGTGTCGCCACAAAAGGTTCAACGCAGGTTCAGTGAATAACTTGCACGTCAAGGCAAGTGCCAGGAGTGTCTTTCTCGTACCGGGAAAGTCGAAAAACACCCATCCAGTTCCCGAAAGCTCCCCAACAGTACGAGTAACAGGTGTATCAGGAGGGCCAACTAGGTCGAAGATGTTCCACCGAAGTTCAGCAATCATGATACAGCGAGTAGATGCTGGCGAGAAAGAGGCAGGACTGCTCCTGTTGTGAGCACGTCGATGCTCGGCGCTTTCGGCCTCCATACTTGTGCCAGGTACTTTGGGGGTTCAAGACTTTGGAACTTGAAGGATGCAATTCGCACTCGGACAACTTGCTCGGTCGCACAATATTAATAGTGGCCTCGAGGCCTGAGGCACGGCCGCCGTGTTACCTGCCGCGATTTCAAAGAGTCATCCATAATACGTAAGTACTTCACCAGCTTGTGGCTACATCCTCAGCCGTTTGATAAACCAATGTCATTGGCGATTTTCTTCACGTGTGTGAGACAAAAAAGGAAATCATTCTTAAGCCCACTGCGAGCCTATGTCTTCGAGGACCTCATCCAGACGGTCTGGTTTCTTTCCTGCCGGGAGCTTGATGGCAAGCTTCTTTGTTTCTTATTTGCCATGGATGAAGACCTGTACGATGGTGTGAAATAAACACAATACTATTTATGGTTGAAAAGACTTAGATATTAAGTAGAACTGCAGGAAGTCGTGTCCTAACATGGACATCCAAGACGCGTCGCGTCTGCGATTTCCAGTGATTACCTTTTTGGTCACGCACGTGAAAAAAATCGCCAATTCCACGATTGTGGAAGTGGAAGACTCTGGGTTCTGTCGGACGCAAATAATCAATTCCTCTGCGACCACCGCTACCACAAGCTTGTGGACCGGCTTGGTCAATAAATCCTTTCTCGACTCAACCGACATAAATTGATGCGACACGAACATAAAATCAAGTTGGTGATTAAAGTTTAGAACCGGCATGAATAGCCAGTACCTGTTTCGAAAGATGTTATCTTAGATTGTTTACATCGTTATTCGCATATTATACTACATATGATCTGTGAATCATATCTTGTCTTGATGTCTTTATGCGGAGTCGGGGTTCTGGCGCGACCTAGCCCCGCTATAGGATTCGATTACTTCTCAGACGGCTGTAAATTTAAAGTGTTGTGCACATTGCGTGGACCTACTAGTAGTATAACTCCGGCGAATCAGCACATCGATGTTTTATCAATCGGACCACATACACGTACGCTTCGAGCAATGCCGACCTACACTAGCGAAAAATTCGTGGAGACTCGGATGGTACGAAGCCGGCGAGGAGCATGGTGATGCTGGAAGCAAAAGGTGAGTCTGCATCTGAAAGGTTGATCGTTTTGTATCCATATACTACAACATTGATATCATATCAAGTCTTCAGGGCCATGACGTACGTAGTTCCTGCTGTAAAATTGCGAGACATAGATGGGAAAGAAATTCGTCGGGAGACTCAGATGAGAAGTGACTTGATCAAGAAAGACCCATAGTATTCCGAGTCGCCCTCACTTCCTGCATCTTCCTTGAAACATCAACATCACCACCAACACTGATTTCTTCAGTGTCGGCCCCCCCGCTGCGCAGCGGCACGGTGGTTGTATGAGCCTCGCATCAGCCTATTCAGCACCATTCTCCTCCCTTGCTCACGGACCATGGGTAGAGTAGCGATCAAATTCTGAACCACTGTCCACGAATTGTCTATTGCATCCGAGTCATACCCATGAATATCAGAGTCCCATCCGTTGATGAATCGCACGTTGGGTGCGATGGCTGAAAGGAAAGCGGCGATTGATGTTGGATTCTCGATTCTCCAACCATTAATAAATAAGTTGGTTAGTGCCTTCTGAGAAAATCCTTGGTATGGAAGGTCAGGGGGTATGGCATGCACATCTATCGTGGACCAGTCTATGAGAACAGCAACCGAGCGTAAACGTGGGCAATGCCACAACAGCAGGACGAAGGCATGCAGAGTAACTCGATAATTTGAATGGGAGGATCTGGAGATGTACAGCTCTTCCAGGTGTGGCCAGGCCTTAGCCATCTGTAAAAGGGAAGCATCATCCATTCGCACGGTACAGTAGCCGTCCGCTGTGAAGTCGAGCACGCGAAGATTACGAAAAGCAAAGAGTGGTTGAAAGGCGGCAGCTCCGATTGAAACGTTGGGATCAGCAGACCGATCCTCGTCTAGAATGCAGAGCTGCACCTTTTGTAGTGAACTGTGTGCACAGGCATTGGGTAGACGAGAGATCAGATCCGGTAGGACTCGCACGGAATCCACTCCACGAGCGAATGTAAAGGATAATATTTTTGGAGTGATAGTGAGCTTCTCCAAAAAAGCCTCTAAGATGACTGGACTTTTGCATGTTACGGTCAGCTCTTCTAACGCGCAGAACACAGGCCGCTGTAGGAGCTTCTGTGCATCTGTAGATATAGAAGTTGAGGGCAATCGACATTCCAAGACTCGGAGTGAAGGCAAGTTGGACAGATGTAGTATGGCTGCCTCGGAAACCGTTCCGATCCTCACCGATGTTAGATGAGACCAGAAATGCAACACGATCGACGTGTCTCCAACTATGCTTCGGGAGTCATATCTCTCGTAAGACAAACTGAGATGCGAGACAGAAGGGCATGACTTTGCGATAGACGAAAAGATGGACTGTTCAAATGGGCCAAGGGTGAAGGATATACCAAAACGGGCCACGGAAATATCGAGCTTCGTCAACTGTGGGGTCACAAACAACAGAATATATTGGAATGTCTCGTTGGTAGCCTCAGTCCAGGTAAGGGCCGTCAAGTTGGGGAGCAGTGGAAGGGGGAAGGGGGAACAGCTGAGGGCACGCCAAATTTCAGTGCCACAGATGACCATGTCACTCATGCACGACTGATGACATTGATGGACCAGTGAACGGACGCGATAGTTATATTTGCAAAAAATAGACCAATCATCGAGGGTCATGGTTCTTTGGAATTCCTGTGAAATGGTGTGAAACGGTGTACTCTTGAGCATAAGAATTTGACTAACTAGCTTTCTGTTCTCCTGTTTCCATAGGCTTTGGGGGAGACATCTGATAAGTGGTTCAAATCCACGCAGGTTTCGCCACACAAGGTCCAGCGCCGGTCCGCTGAATAACTTGCACGTCAAGGCGAGCGCCAAGAGTGTCTTTCTAACACTTCTCTACCTCAAGGAATCATCACCCATTCAAATTCTGAGAACCGCCTAGCAGTACTCACTACAAAAGGATCAACTACGTTGACTTGTTCGAATATTTTCCATAGCAGCTCAGGAATCATCATACAGCGAGTGGATGCAGGCAAGTAGGAAACAGTATTTTCGGTATTCATGTTCATACTTGTAAGTTGTGGCAGGACTGAAAGCTTCTTCCTAGTTTTCGGGTAAGTACTATTACTTTGTTGTCGAATTGATTTATCTCACGTGACGAGATCGCGTCGCGAAAGACAAGGGTCTGATGAGAAGCTAAGCCTCTACGCAGGCAGCTTCCAAGTAAAATAAGAAATGTGGTATTTTACTGATCAGGCTGAGCACTAGGAGCACTGAGCCCTGATCCCTGAGCCCTGATCCCTGAGTACTGATATTGGAAAATGCAACTCAGCCACTATACATAATCCTTCAAGTTGTTAAATTCACCGGTTACCGAACTAATATCGCACCACTTCTGTTGCAAGCGGTTAAGCTTACATAAGTGAGTCCTACGGTAGGTTCAGTATATAGTAAGTACTTAACACGGTCTTCGGCTGTCCTTAAGTATACCGTACTTACCTGCGAATTCCTCTACAGCGTCGTCCAAGAGCAGCTCATTATCGTTTGGCAGCACTCGGAGCGACTAAAATTTTTACTTCTCAGATCACCTGGTATAATTCATGCGTCTATTCTCGCTCGCCGCCGTGGCTGCTTTGATAGCATCTATGTCTATCAGTCCAACCCTAGCTAGTTTCGACGATACTTGTCTTGCCACTGGTGAGTATTGCAATGAACACTCTGAATGCTGCTCTGATGCGTGCACATGGGAAACTGTGAGTTTGCTTCATGCATGCAGGATTCAACCTCATAACTCACCCTTTGCTGTAACAGGATTGCAGTGAGAAATATTGTGTTACTTATGACAGTATGCTCGATCTCGACGAGTGGAAACGTTTTGATAGTAAGTCAAGTTTCTGCCTTGGCATTGATGCTGTCGTTCACGGCACTATCTAGTTGAATGCTAAGTTCATCAGCTTGAAAATGATTGCATGCTTAGTTTTTGATATACAACACCTTTCGTCTGCGTCCCCTTTCACTCATCGTCTCGTCGTTGACATGTCGAACAGTCCTCTCCGTACGATATTATATCACCGAGCGTACTTTCTATGTGCCTAATCTTCGCTTCTTTGTTGCTTCTAATAAGCATTTGGTACTTGTTTGGAATTGATTTTACTCACGTGATGAGATCGTGTCTTACAAGGGGGTAAGTTTCACGAACCATCATCGATTCATCAACCAACCACCCATCTCGCTGAGCGAGCCCACCACACTCTTTTATTTGAAAGATGCAGCTTATTCTTCCCATGCTCTCCCTGCTCCTGGCGCCGGTCGCCGTAACTGCCTGCGAAGGCGACTGCATCGTCGACATCACTAATGAATACCTAAACCGCTATGAAAACATCTTGCTCACGACCCTTCAGAACTTGGAAAGTACACCTCAATTCGTCATCGTCCTTTAATCAAACTTATCGTGATGACACGCACAGGCGACCCAGATCAGCGAGCAACTCATCCCCGCTGCAAGCCGTAGAGAAAACCCCATCGTGTACTTCGCTCCCGTCTTGCAAGCCTACAACATTAGTGCTTACAACAGCCTGGAGAAAGCCATATTCCCGAGTTACTTCCATGGAAAGTGTCAAGACGCAAACGGCGTGAATCCACCCGGATGTCCAAACCCTGACTGTCCCAAAGTCTGCGGCACGCCCGGCTCCATGGTCCACTTCTACCCTACCCTCGTCAGGATCGTATTCGACGGGACAACCGACCTGCTCGCCAACCTCACGGAACCGGGGAGTAAACCGTACAACCAGATAAAACAAACGGTTCTGGCAGACGTCAACAAGGGACAGAAGAAACGTATGGAGAACCTGTCCCGCATCATGCCGTTACGCAATCGCGCAGCGATACAGGCGAGGAGTACGCACAGTATTCAGCAAGGCTTGAAGACGATCATGAAGCAACTGCGGCCGACCATGTTGGAAACATGCGGGGGTTCAAACCTGTCGTTTTGCAGTTGGGAGCAGCCTATGAAGGAGTTCATCTTGCAGTACCCTTGACCCCATTTTTTTCGCTCACACCTATATCCCATATTGTTAGAAGCATTAAGTCTGTTGATAATTGTGTTACATTTGTCAGTCGTATTTCAACTTACGGCCTAATCAACTTTAGGATATCGCTCACAACTCCCATGGCCGTGACATCATTGCCAGCACCAGCGCCTTGGACAATCAGGGGTCTCTTACCGTAACGTTCGGTATGGAACATAATGATATTGTCCGATCCTCCTAACGAGGTTGCAAACGGATGAGTTTTTGGGTATCTGGAGAGTTGATCAGAACAGGGCATGCTCGTGAACCCATCATGGACGTACTTCGCCAATTCGGCTTTCACGACTTTATTTTTTACATCGACGACGCCGACGTAGCGGAGAACACTACCCTCTTTCGCAGCCTGCTCGCGCATCTGTGAAAAATGTGCGTCCTGTTCGGGAAGCCATTTCATAAACTCGTCCCCGTTGGAAACAGCGCTCGCAGGGGCATCCTGGATTAAAGAGGTAGTCTCCACCGACTGGTACCCGTGCAGAAGTGGGAAGTTTCCTTGTTCATCCTTCAGCTCTGGAATGATACGCGCTAGGATGGTCAATTTCCGAGCGACGTCTGCGCCATTTAGATCGTCTGCCGGGTTGGGTTCCTGAAGATTGGCATCTGAGCACTGCGCAAACCCAAGTGGAGAAAGAAAACACACCGTGTATCCCTGTGCTCGGGCTCCTTTGACTATCGACGAAAAGCTCTCATCACTTCCCTCCACGGCAGAGAAGTTGTTGAAGATATAACTCATGGTCCCTGAGAAAACACCCTCGATCTTGACGACCTGATCGCACGCAGTCAGCCTGCATCCATCGCACCTTAGCCAGCAAAGCTTCACCTTGTCCCCCGTCTCTACCAAATCTCTCAACGTCGAGATAATGGGCAGCCCAGCACCCACCGTCGACTCATGCAAATACCTTCCACTCCTGCTCGCCTGGACAATAGCCTGATACAGCCCTGCCTCGCCCGAAAACGCCTTCTTATTCGGCGTGATCACATTGATCCCCGCACTCAACAACGCAGGGTACATCTCCGCAACATCTTGCGAAGAAGTATTATCGATAAACACAGCCTTCTTGCCCTGCTTCACGAGCTCCTGCAACGTGCTTGTCACCGCGGAGAGGTCGACGGGTGTCTCGCTGGCATTAAGTGCGTCCTTCCATGCTATGGGGTTGATGCAGAGGTCTTTGGTGGGCTGGAGCATGCGCTTGGAAGAGGTGAGCGCTACGAGCTGGAAGCCATAGATCGGGTTTGCGATCAGCTGTTCGACGACTTGGGTCCCGACGCCTCCGACGCCTACCACGGCAACCTGTAGGTACTTTCCGGGTTCCATTTTCTGTGCGTTAGTGGTGCAAGAATAGGAAAGTGATCTATGATCACGAAGGTGTCTCGAAAAAATAAGATCTTGATATCGATTACCAGTTCTACCAATGATGGCGCTCCAGCGTGTCTGCATGACTCAGTTGATCGCAATTTGTTGCGTATCAGCGTAGCTGCAGCAACACAATATTTTCAAGCCTTACGTCCTCAATATTCAATGCCCAATTGCAAAAGCCAATGAAGTCTATTGCAGATCACAGTAAGGAGTGTACGGTTTGATATAAGGATGATGTTTAACGAGTGAGAGTTTTAAGTATGATCTTAACGGGCGGATCAAAGATGTACAGGCGCGTGTGGATAGTGGAAAGAAAGTAGAGTATGTATGTACATCCGCGCCTGTACAACGACCATTGGGTGAAAACGTATGATAGAACTGTAATCAAGACTTAGTCAAGAGTCAGGATACTCAGGGATAAGCAACGCACACCCAGACAGATTATACACTGGGAAAATCGTGTCGCATCATGAACAGAGAAGAAAAGTAAAAGACATAAAGAAGCACGGATGCTACGAGAATGTAAAGTGGCTATAGCACATTCGGGAAAAGAAGTGAAGAGTTATGATGCGACGTAATAGTCCGAGAATGTGTGGGCTGAGTCGATATTGATACACCTTTGTGTTATCTGGAAAAAAAAATAGCTGCCGGCAGAATCGGAAAAAGCATGGCAGCCGGGAGGGGAATGGGAGAATGAAATGAAATGAAATAAATAACCCGGGCACCCAAGAAATCAGGCTAAAAACACAGGCGGGTGACGGGAAAGTATACGATACTAAGACCAGGGAATACCGAGAAAAGAAAAACTGTCGTGAATGAAAAGAAAAAGATGAGAATATCACAAGACGGAGTCCCAAGATCCAAGAACACGCTCAGGGGTGGAAATACTAGGACCCCACGTGTGGACGCGAGGCCGATAGATAAATAAGCACGATCGGCTAGGAGGAGAGTGGCGTGGCGTCATATACACAATACGCAGCGGGCGACACAAGACTTGATGATAATATTTTTGTCGTTTATAGAGTGGATAGTTTGCGCCTTGTGCCGCCTTTTATACAAGCCCGAGTGCTGTCGGGCAACCGAGATAATAAGAAATGCCGATGCGATGTTGCGAAAGCATGATAATGATGGAGCCGTGGTAGTGACACATTGAGGGGTGAAAAGAAATAGATAGAGAATGAACCGCCAGCGAGCGAGGTATGAATGTCGCCACTGAGTGGTGACCCAGATGCAATACATCTGGGGCAAGCCGCGAATGTGTCCTGTGTGCGGGTGACCATGACCGAAATAGACCGGATGATATGACAAGCAAGACAAGTGCAGAGCGGCAAGTCTATTAGACAGGCAATGCCGTGGAAACGTGGGAGCCAACAGCCCAAGAGAGAAGACCACAACGAAAATATTGACCGATGGAAGACTTCGAAAGGATAATGATATCGGTGAAAGAGGTATAAGACACTGCGCCACGGAAGTCGTCAGAAGCAGGGTGTATGTCGACTTTTTTCGCGATGAGGGTGTATTAAGTTCAGTATACGTTCGAAGATATTCCGCGGCGAAAAGAAAGGGAGATTATGTCGGTGGTGAGGTGATATTAGTCTAGGGACTGCTTGCCAATACGAAAATCTAAACCGCTGTTCAACGATTCGAGATGTCACCGCAAGAATTAGGTCACCAACCTCTACACTTGATGAATGCGATAGACATGAAGATACCGCTCAAAAAGCGGGTGGAGGCAACTCGTCGGGACTCGGCGAGTTTTGGAATACTGAACTCGCGAAGAACCCAGCCTTGTCCTTAGCAGCGCGGGTGATGCTCGGTCCAACTGACCCAGGCTTCCTTGACATGAAGCCAAACAACTTCCTCTGATCTTCCGAGGCATCAGAAGCCGATGCCATGTCCTCGTCAAAGGACATGTGAAAAACACCCTCACTGGGCGTTCTGAAATGTTTGCGGGATGGAGACGGAGTGTTGCAGCTCAACTGCCCACCAAACGGGAACCCTGTGCTCGCATTAAGCGGTGCTGTGCGAGGGCCTCCCTCGAATGTAAGCTGTTGCCAAGTCCCAGCGGATCTCTCGCGAGTGGGGGTTGATAGAGGAGAATTATCATCATCAACATCAGTGGTGTCATCACAGACCGGGAAATCTGTGACAGAGCCGGCGGAAGTGCGCCGTGCGGTTCGGAGTGGTACAGCGGACTGGCTGGGGGCCGAACGAGAGAGATTGTGACGAGGTGTCTGAATATTAGATCTAGGGACAGGAACTGCCCGAGTGGAAGGGGTGGGTGTGGCAATTTGCTGTGGGAAAGGGCGACGGCGACGAACAGCAAGTTTTCCGGCCGGCTGAGACGTCAAGGAAGGAGCTGGCGAAGAAATATTCTTGGACGTCAAGGTCATGGGTGGAAGCGAGTTGTCCGAATCAGAATCGGAACTGACAACAAAGGGATCAAAGGAATTGGATGCGGGATTGTTATTGTGACGGGTAAAAGTTTGCGTCGGAGATGTTGTACCCTCAGCCTGCGAGAGAATAGGTGGTGAAGGTTGACGAATGTTGCTGCGTCGGGCTTGCGCATTCGAAGAAGGGCTTCTAAAAAGGAGAAGCGAACGAATAATGGTACTCAGAAATGTTGCTGAGTGAATACAAAGGGGTATAATTGATTACCTCGTCGTTCCCTTATCTTTAGGTGCCTTAGATTGTCTACCCCGTATGGTCTTGTCTGGCAATGATGTGGCCGGAAGGACTGTGAGCTTCGAGACAACATCTAAATTACTTTTCTGTGAGGAGGGCTTGGTGGGTTCATCGCATGACTCTGAGATTGGAGGCTGTGTTGCACGGCCCTGGGAATGAGGGACGAGCTGTCTCTGTTTCGGCCTTGGAGACCGATGTTGTTTCTGATGACTTTGAGGGAGCTGCTGTGGATGGCTACGAGGAGTTGAGGGTCGTGAAGGCTGCTTGGAGATGAAAAGCAAGCCAGGTGTTTTCGTTGCTTGAACTACAACTGCTGGAGGAGCCGAAGGATGACGACGATGTGATATGTTAGGCGACATGAAGGGCGGAGGATGTGGTTTGTGTGCTAGGAGCATTTGGGTAAGGATGGAGTGTTGAGTGAAATGACGAGTACAACGAGCGCAGCGACGGGGAAGAGGCTGAGGACGACGGCGATTACGACGACGAAGTTGAGAGTGATGTGAGAGGAATAAAAAACGAGGATATCGTGGGATGACTGATCTTCGGATGACACATGGACCTTTTTGTTCTCCGACACCGCGCAGCAAGTAACGCATTACCAAATTTAGTAGTTTGTCACACCTGTCTATTATCTGAGTCTGAATAAGTCCGCATTTAGAAACTGTTTGTACTAGTTTTGAAGTTCTTGTGCCTTCTTTTCCTGATTAGGTTGGCTTCCTTATGCCGTAGATCCTCTCTGCCGCCGTGGCTAAGCTCGTCTCCTTTTTGTTGGCGAGTCGTTCTTCGTGATCTTCCACTCAGTCTCCACTAAGATGAAGCCATAAACAAAATAGAACAGCAGATTCTATCACCATGGTTTGTACTTAATACAATAGCCTATACCAAGTACTCACAGTGACTTGGAGAGGCGGTGACTCTCTTGTTATTGATCTCCTAGACTACAATCACTTGCGCACACGCCCTTACCGTGCTTCCCCATAATTGCTTTTCACGCACCTATTGACGCAACCGCAACGTTGCTCACTCGAGGTTGTATCCCCAAGAACAATAACATCATCATAGGCTGTACCTGCATCACACTCTTATCATACCTTCCTGCAGCGGCGCTACGCTCGTATGTGCCTGTGTAGCTGCCAGCTGTGATCATTTTTTTCATGCACACACCTTACCCGGCATCCCCTTTCAAGTCTATCCTGCGGGGCCGCTTTCACCTTTTTTAGACGCCTCGTTGCACAGATTCGTCTCCAAAAGCGCTTCTAGAATCTTACCTTCTTTCATTATGAAATCTGCCTGCATCACCTGCTGATATGAGTGGAGCTCATAGCGTAAGTACTTCCCCACCGTTCGGATTTCATCAAATTATATGAACGGAGGCGACACACTCAAAGACTGCGATGCCCTCACCTATTTCTTCCGCGCCTGCCCCTACAAAGTTCAACACCCATTTACGCCCAACGTCTTTCGCCTTCGTATCAGCTCATATCAGTCTTCACTCGACGATAAGATGCTTTCTCTATGAAATGAATGCTCTCTTACAGCATCCCGGATAAGATTATGCTGTTCTGAATCGCTTCATATCTAATAATAATGTTGCGTCTTTATTTCCCTTCTGATCACATCCAAGAATCTGACGGAGATCATAGAAAAACGCTTTCGCATTCTACTCGGTAGATGCGTGTGGAATAACGGCCGAAAGATATCAATGAGTATCAAAGATCTATTCCCTGTTCCCGCTTTTATCGGTGTAATGTCCTCTCTTGTGGTAGAGTTTGCTTTATCCTGTCCTAACAGGGAACGCAGATTGATCGCATCTACGCTATGCAAGTTGAGCCGGATCATGCATCTCCTTTGAGTACGAGCGATAGCGTCGACCCTGGCCTTGCCTCATTATCTCTCGCCAACAATGAAGAAAGTTTAGGGTGAGTCGTAAATACGACACATGACGTTGCGATCATCCCTGGCTTAGGGGCGAAGCATGTCCTGTACCAGAATTGTTCTGAGTGATGATCGTTTGTCGTGCTTAATGCGGGCCGGTATCGCAGTCTTACTTCTATAGGGTCTGGCTAGAGGAGACTAGGCCCCACTGATAAGGCGAAAGTGTAACTTCACAAACGGGTGTGCGAGTTCCAGCATATCACAGCATTGGTTCTGGATCCTAGCCGGCTCAAGACATATCCGGGCGCAACGCTGAACAGCGGAGAACTCACGAGGTGACACCTGGCATATTCAATTGATCAGCGTGGATCAGCCTTTACAGCAAATTTAGTAAATTCCATCGGCAAAAATTGTCCGTGATCCTTGTCTACAATTCGTCATGTGGATGCTGAAGGTCCTCGCCCTCTGAAGTACCCTCGACGTCATTGGCGTGTGCTGGCTGAACTAACCCAACATTCGCAAGGACATCCGAACGAGCGGTAGCAACACTCGAATGAATCTTGCCTGCGGCAGCCAGTCGGCCCGCAAATTGCGCGATCTCGTTGTCGTATTCTTCCCATTCAGGGATCCGCCTCGCACGTGATAATTTTGGTTCTTTCTGTTAACCAAATAGGCGTCAGACGAACGACTAATGTAGTTTAAGAGGGCTGACCGTCAGGGGGTTCTGGCACAAGTCGATAGTTTTGGCACGATGAAGGCGATCTGCGCTGCCTGCATATGACGTTCAGATGGTTCAGGGGGAGATCTAGGGTGAATTTGATGACATACACCAGGTTTCACACTGCACCAGCCACGTCATCAGTATGGTTGGAAGAATACTAAAGTTTAAGTTTACATACCCAGAGCCAGTCTTCGTGAAGAGAGAACTGGTTGGAATTAATGACCTGTATCATTCAAACACAGTCTCAACTCACTATCGGCACTTCTCTTTGGATGTTATTTGGTAAATCTTGGCTCGCATCAGTAGGTGCCCTCTCGAGACTCACACGACCGACCTTGGTCCAAGTTAGCAAGGGAGTTTGGATCAGCTGAAAGCATCTGGTATTGTCCACGAAGGATGTCCTGAAAATCAAAGTGTCACCCAATGTCCTCGGATGCGCTAGGAACCGACTTACTCCCGCGGCCATCTAAAGTCCATCAGTCAGGGATTGTCATCAAAACTGACCTACGTACCTGGCGAAAACGAACAAGATCTACGACATACAGGGCACTGGGGAAGCATCAGATCAAACAACATCATGCAACCCAGACATAAACTCACCTGATGTGATACGGAAGATCACCCAAGAAGTCTTTCCAATATCCAGTTTTCCAGAATCGGAAACCTTCCATCTCGTAGTTGTCATCGCCCATGGGTGTATAGCCATATGGTGCGCCGTGCAAGTCGAGGTCAACCAGTTCCTGTAGATCCGCACGGACAATTTGGTCCGCGTCGACAAATATGACTTTATTTAGGTCCATGGGAAACAGAACATCGAGGAAAAGAATCTTGTATGCCCAAATAATGCGCTGCTTTTCCTTTTGGGCGCGGAGCCAAGACGGCCATTTATAAGTCACGAGCTCATACTGGAAGCCATATTCTTCGGCCATGTGTGGTACGAATTCCTGTAATATCACAATGAGGCGTGTTGCAAGCAATACGTCATGCCAACTGACCAAGAAAGAAGGCGATAGGAAGTTCTCGATGAACCAGAATTTCACAGTGCTGTTTGTGTTGCGCAGGACGCTGAGAATCATGATGGAAGCGAAACGCTGAAAAGAGAGGGTTGTTGGAGGCATCCAGTGTTGCAGAAGGGGAAAGGGAGCGCACCTCATAGAGCAGCCCAGAAGCAACTGTGAATATGTTGATCTCCGCTTGTCTGGCGCCCGTCTCTGCGACTTCGGTCGTGCTTTCACTTTTTGATGTGAAAAGAGATAAAACCCTGAAGTGAATTCAGGACCAACAATAGCAGTAAAGAATGAGAGAACCACCCACTTGGACAAGATATCGTGTACGACGGTTTGCGATTGGCCCGAGTGTCGCTGTAACCCTGCAAGCACATCCGCCTTCTCCATACCCGGTTTCCGTGACAGCCTTGGGTACAGGGTTAGTCCCTCAAAGCTCATCACAGTCAATTCCTCTCCAGAATCTTCTACAGAAGGACTATTCCAACCCTCACTCCCCACGCTGACTATATCATATACCTCACGGCCTCCTCCCTCGCGAATAGTAAGTTTGAATGTTCCTGGGCGAGCTTTAAACTGCAAGTAGCCAAGATTCGCGACAACCTGAGTGTCGTCGACTACGGACGGAGTATGATTGGCAGCAGGAGATGAAGTGGTCAGTTGGAGCTGTACGCCTCGAGGAGGGCTATTAGACTTCGTCTCCCGTGCATGCCCTTCAACGACGAGGTAGTCGAGCGAGAAAAGAGCATGAAGGCCGTCAGGTGGAAGTGTGCTCGGCTGAATGTTGTCGAGGTCGTAAAGGGCTTCTCGTGGGCGAACGAGCCACGAGGGGGGAACGTCCATACTAAGAGTATATATCGGGTCTTCAGATAGGCCATTGAACGTTACTTGCGCCGGAATCTCATTGCTGAAGTGCTCTCAGTGATATGACAAGCAGGAAAAGAGACGCACTCACCCTTTGTTGTCATATTGCACGCGAGGCTCGACACTATAACGGTAAAATCGTTTGAGTGGGATCTGTGAAATCGATTAGTTGGACCAGGCTGTACAAAGTGATTTTGCATACTTCGGAATGTTGAGCTGGATTGAGGTACAGTTCAAAGTATACCTCCGGGAAGAGCTCCTCGTGGTTCTACGGTCACCCACATCAACTCGACAATTCTACAGTCCCCACGACAGCTTACCTCTAAGATTGCGATCCACTTCTGCGCTCCTTCACTCAGGGGATCAAGGAGCAGGACAAGGTGTGTCAGTGCATTCTCTCGATCGCCAAATTCAAATTTCCTGGAAAAGGATAGTTTGTTCAACATGTCGCAAGACTGCATGTAGATGATGAAACACATACGTGTAACTACCCGATAGGAGTTTATAATTACTAGTCCTAGCTCGAGGTGCGCTGTCGAACAATCCAACTTCACTTGGATCTGGCTGTTGATCTGCATAAATAATTGACGATGCCACCGAGACCAGGTTTGCATACGCGAGCCTGTATACGCAAAATACGATATCAGAACCCAAAAGAGCGCAGATCAAGACCACCCACGCATCAAGTTCTGTGACGTCAGCTAGAACTTCCTCGATAGCTTGCGCGACACGTTTAACTCGCTTTTTCATTTCATATGTCTCCAACGTTGCAAAGTCTTCGGACACGAACTCCGATTCGCGAGAGAAAGGACCGATGAGCTATGCATGAAGTTTTATTATCCACGTGGGACTGAAAACAAGGATAAACGTACCCGGCCATTAACAACGATGGCTTGTTCTCCAGGCTGAAGGCCCGCCTCACGCGCGAAAAGGCGGCTAGTAGTTAGAAATGCTGCGTGTGCTTCCGGATCCGATCCGAGTTTAATCCCTTCGGTGATAAATACCTGTGTAGCGTCATGTGTTTTCAAATCGTCGAGCGCTCGTTTTAACCCATCCGGAGAGAGCTCTCCAAGGTCGCTTGTTGACCCAACGTGTGCAAAGAAGGACGATACATTACCCCCAGGTGAGCCGGTAGAGGGATTATGTAGGAATGTAATGCGTGATTGCGATTCCTCTCTCTATGCGCGTATTAGCACGAAAGCGCGCAGACACAGATTACTCACAGAAACGAACATCACAGCCTCCTGAACCAGTGCCTGCCCCTCCGCTGAATCCAGATTGGCGATGACAACCATGCTTACAGGTGTCCTGTCGGCATCTGACAGCGATATACAGATTTAGTATCGCCTAAATAGTATATGTAACAAGATTCACCCGATGTCACCCATGCGCATGTGAGCGGGCTCCACCCTGTGCGCTTACCCAAATCGCCAAGATCGAGAATTTTGAGATTCCCAGTACTCGGTGAAGGAGCATGCACTGAAGAGGGCGCCTTGCTGAAAATGTACGGATTCCGGCTCGAGAGTGTTGTAGGGAGGTCATAAAAGAACGTTGAGATGAGCGGCACGGAAGCACCGGTCAGTTCTTGGAGGTAAACCTGAGGGAAGGGGGTAAGTATATGAGGTGATCAACTAGACAGCGAGGTCAGGAGGGAATATGAATGAAAACGCTCACCAGTTCCTGCAGTAACTGCAGCTGCCCAACCGCCTCATTCTGCAGGTCTCGTAAGAAATTATCCCCCACTTCATACCACTTTCCATTAACAAACCCTTCCCCATCCTTGCCGCTAATACCAAGTCTCTTCGTCCACCGCCTTGCACTTTCAAGAGCTTCTTCAACGCTGGGAACCTTCCCGCTAGTTATGTCTGCAAAGTTATCTGCTGCCCCAAGAGTGTTGAATGTTGCATGGACAATACTCCAAGACAGAGTAGGGAAGTGCTGCTGCGTGTGCGCAGTGGATAACTATGGAAGAGCATAATTAAGCAACATAGAATAAGGGCAAAGTGAAGGACATACAGAGCGGAAAAAAGAGGCCACTTCTGGACGACTGAATTTCTGTGCAACATAGTATATAATTCTCGCCATCTTAAGGCCTATCCGCGTACGACGATGAGCATCATTGTCGATTAGAATAGTGCCTTCACGCACCGTCACCGTCACCAGAAACTGGAACAAATCCCCACCTAACAGGAAACCCGCGGGCGACGATGCTATCTACTTGGTTTGCAATGAGAGAAAGGGATCGCGGTTGCGAAAAGTTAAGGGCGAGGACGACATTAATGACGTTGACCCGCAAACGCAAGTAAGGACTGAAAAGTTGAGTGGGATGCGTGCGGAGAAGCTATGCATGTAACGCAAACAAGACGAGTTAGTATCATGCCTCAATCGAATCATCCACGACTGAGCGTATATACACCCACCTGCGTCAAGTCCGTCCCCCACTCAGCGTATTTCGTGTCTTCCTCGATATCATTCCGCCATAATATAACGCCGCCCCCCTCTGACCTATCTGAAGAGTCGACGAGGCCGTCCAAGAGATCGTTCCACTTTGGAGAGATATCATATACTCTCTGTCCTTCATTCAAGGTCTCTGCCTCCGCGTTGTTCTCAGTATCTGCGCGCAAAACTTCTTGGGCAAAGCGCTTCGCTGAACCAAGCGTGGTGCCTTTCTTGACTTTCAATTTCGACGGAGATGGATCGAGAGGACCCGAATGCACTGGGTGCACGACAAACTCTATGGCCTGCGACCGCGACAAGCCAAGTTCGACGAGTGAGCGAATAAGAGCGCGTTCGCGCGCAAAGTTGCGTAAAAGCCTGGACTTGGATCAGAACTGAACGGACCTCAGAGTACAGCACGATAGGCAGAAGGAAAGTACAAATGAGGGTAAGAATAGTAGAGACAGAAAACGCACCCGAATATGCCAGCTTCACCCTCTAGCACCCTCCCATTGATCCATACCGTGTTCACGCCCATCATCGCTTTCCCCCAGTTATCTTGTACTTCGTCTCGTACTGTGTCCGGTACGCGAACTTTGCGCGCAAGTGGAGCAGCATAGCGCGGAAAATTCGCAGACAGCGTGTGCAAAATATGCAGCGGGGTGAACGAATTTCCCAATAGGCATGAAGAGATAACTGGAGGGAAGGAATCGGGGTTGGAAAGGAGTGCAAGGAAAGACGTTGCTTTAAGGCCAAGATCTGCGCCATGCGAGATGAGCCCCAAATAATAAAATAATGATAAAATTCAAGCTACCTTGAATCTCCTCTCTACTCAAGGGATTATTTGTGGTAGCATCCTCCTCCATTGCGGTATCAATGTATGACATGGCCTCGAAAACACAGCTTAGCACGTCATTTTCATTCCCTTCCTGACTCTCATTCGCAGAGGAATCATCACGAGAGGTGGAAGAAGCCCGCTTCCGGTCATCCACAGCGAGGTAATCCATCTTCTTCAAGTCCAGTGCGACACCAAACCCAGACAAATATGGTCCATCTGTTGCAATGACAGGCCGTGCCCAGCGTAGTACGTATTCCATATCATGAGTCAAAGAGAGTAGGGCGCGATGTAGTGGCTTGAATTCAGGTGCCATAGGATCAGCGTAGTGTATTGCTGTCCATCTGGGGGCGTCAAGTGATGGCTGAAGAGGTGGAGTATGATCTGTTTGGAGGCGCTTCATTTTTGGTCGAGACTCGGAATCTGAAGCTGCGACTGAAATTTCGACGAGGCGCCTGAGTTCTTCTGCGTTGCATGCAATACTTCCATACCAATCTACCCAATCCTCGCATCCCTCCCTTCCACTTTCGTGTGTGTGCTGTGCAGCGAGTTTGGGACTTGCGGCATGTAAAGCTAGCCTAACATTCACGGCAGCTATCTCAGGAGCCAGAAGGTAATTTGTTGCGAGATCTAAGACAACGTTATGCGATTCTTCCGGCGTCGCGGGTTTTAGTGGGAGGGGGAAATGATTAAGGAGTGAGAATAGGTGCTCTGGAGAGGTAAGGGCCAGGGTTTCTCTGGTAAGTGATGGTATCAGTTGCACGAGAGGGTCAAGTACATAGTCCGAACTTACAGGGCTTCGAGCAATGGATCTGCAGCACTGAAAGAGGAACGCAAGGACACACCAACTGGGGGAGACGCGCTGAAAGCAAGCAGCGCGCATCCAAGAACAACAAGTGCGCCAGAACGCATTACTCCTGACTCCTACAAGCCTACGTAGTCAGTAAATTGCTAAATCACAAAGTTTATGGTGATCTCGGTAGTTACTACTTAGTCTTGCTACTGTAGACACGTTGCCAAATCACGTGACTCATAATGCTGTGAATTTCCACTTCCATGTCCGAGTCGGTTTATTCCTGATGAAGGTTAACCTTTGCAGTACTGCCCAAAGTCCAAGCAGCTGTTTCCATCACCATGGCTGTGGGTGTGTCACGGTAAAATGTTGTCCCCCCCGGGTGAATAAATTTGCACATCTAGGTTTGAACAAACGTGCCAGTGAATGTGGCATCATGTGCAAGCTCATCAGGTTAGTATCATCGCAAGCGATGTCCTCGATGGTCTATTACCACGGTGAGCACGCAAGTAGAGATTTAACGTTATCTCGGCGTTCTGAAGTGCAAGTATCATCGTGTCATACTGCTCGTTCAAAGGCGTGCCAAGGGGACCCTGTGCGCTCCTTGTACTCGTCCGTCGCTGGACGACAAGTATTTAATCCTTTAGTGAACGCATCTGTGGATCACTGAAATGTCCGAGTCTGTGGTCATGCATTCATTCCATCATTCTCAATCGCACTCCGCAAGCTTGGAGCGTGCGAGTTCAGCCCAGGACAAGGCCATGTTGCAACGGCAGTACCGGGCAAAAGAAGCGCATGCACTTGCACAACTCCAAAAATTACTTTATGACATATCCCCAGGCGCAAATACCTATCTGACTCGACTTGGGACGATTGTTCAAGGTAACCCGATTTCGCCAACTAGCCCCTAATCGTGGCGTCGTTGACATTTTCACCGCAGCTACAGAAATGATTGAATTCCTTTATTATCGCAACACTATGTTGGAGGAACTCTATCAATCGCCACATCCGGAACCAGGCTATGGTGCCACGGCTTCGATCGACTGTCATCTGGGTAAGCTTTCTTCACTTTACGAGATATAGCACAGGACCATTGACCTGTTATTCGCAGTCCAACACCCATTGGCTGACTGGAAGTGGGGTAATGACCATGTGGATGAAAGACACCAACACTCGGATGGCGCGTGGAACCCAGGTTGTCCGACATCTTTAAATGGTGTCGCGATGTCTAGCAACAGATCCGTCTGGCACTAGCTAGTGGTAGCCTCGAGACATGTGTTAAGTTCGCCTCAGCTGAGCTCGCTGCGACCGATTGTATATATCAATACAAACTGATTGAATATTTGAATGCTTCTTCAATAATGATTCGATCATTTCTTCTTGACAGGAAAAGCCAAATAAATGGATCAGCGATGGATCAGCATTAATATTGACAGTGAAGTTTACGTGGTGCTTATATAAGCGCACCGACTGCCAAGTACACTGACAGGACCGTCCATATACCTAAATGCCCACTTGAGTTGTTACCTTGCGAAGCAAGGTCAGGTTCACATGGACTGATTTCCAAATAATAGTAAATACAGTGACGCCATACAACGTGATACGATGGTGCATTAGTAATAGCACGTTCATCCGTCACCGTGCGAACTTATGATCTACCTCCGATTCGTGGGGATCGACTTCGACTTTGTCGATCCCTTCCAATACTCATCGTTTTCGGACCTGCTTGTTACCCAATGATCTCGCCACTTCGTAATAACAAGTGGCGCACTGCGCTCATGCGCGCCCAGAGCTCCGCCCACCTTGCCGTGTAACTCCCTTTGGTGTAGCAGGGCGGAGCTAGCGCGCTTCCCTTCCAATATTCGTCATTTTCGGACCTGCTTTTTTTCGTTTTCACTGCGGCTGAGTCCTGACCGTGCAACTCCCTTTTTTTTTTCGCAAACTCAGTTTTCGCCTGATTTCACTTCTGCGGGGGAGAGCCCTGCTATGGCTGGAGGTCTCCGTGCGTCCTCTGTGATCCCGCAGAAGTCTGTACTACACATACCTTTTTTTTGCTTTTTCTTTCATCTGGTGTCCAATTCATTTCATTTTTGCGGGTGAGAGCTCTGCTATGGCTGGAGGTCTCTGTGCGTTCTCTATGATCCCGCAGAATTCTGTACTGTAAATTATTATTGAAAATGAGAATAGGAATTCTTCTGTGCAAAGGAACAGGAATAGAGACCGGCACACTAAACGAGCACGGTAGAGCTATAAACAGGCGCAAAGCTGAGCAAGGTCCACGTCGGCAACGCCGACCCCTAGTTTTACAGTTGAGCCTAACTATACATATAGCCTTTCATGCATGTACGAAAAAAATTCATGCCATTCTTTATGCAGTGCCCTCTTACGCCACCATTTCGCCGAGTTGTGGCAAAAACTAGGTACCGAACAGTGTAACGTAAGAACGTGATGAAAAGAGGTCGGAACTCTTGTCAACTCTGATAATTGGTGAATAGCACCAAAGTCGATCCTCCTGAGTACTTCAATAGCGACGATGCGCGATTTCAATTGGCTGAGACCACCTTGCAAGTTGCAGGCAAATATAAGTCATGTATCGCGTCCTCTGCGCATGTCTAGAAACCAATGTCCATACTTCCGCATATACCCGGGTCCCGCACATCCTGCATCAGTACCTTGTCTCGTGCTCTCGCGCAAGCACCCCGCACCCAATTAGCTCATACCAGACCAGCTTTCACATCCCCTCAGGAATTACCAGCCACAAGTTTCGATACAGTATTATAAACCACATGTACTGTCAACATTGGGTCAACCTAAAATGACAATAAACGTGAAAAAAAAAGTATTGTGATCTGATAGTTTCACGACGTACCTCCTCAATTAGCCGGCCCATACCTCACCCTGCTCCTTCCTGTGAAGTGGGCTTGCTATACGATCAGTAGCTATAACACACCAAATAAAACATACTGTATCTCTATGTGTTACCAATGCATCAGAGGGAGTGCATACTAGCTATAATACTTTGTACCTCATATTTACAAGAAAAAGAGCAATGAACTAATTATGCAAGGTCCTTGCTTGCTGCATGGGTACATAAGTAGTAGCCTACTAGTCCTGCGCTCAGCATGCAAGAGAGTTCAACAACTGTCTTTAGAATTCCGTTATCTACTGCAACCCTGCAAAAAATCACTTTGGTTGTTTATAGTACTCAGTGCTGTGTACTATGCAACATAAGGAAGATATTCGCGCTATGGAGCCTGGACTTGACTTGAGACCTTATCACAAGCGTCAAATAATCGGCCTCTACCGACATTGACGGCCTTCTCATCCTGCAGTGATCCGATGAATCCGTATAAGTGTTTAATCGATGATTCGATACAGGAGGCACTCGACTCGGAAGAAACCAATTGAACAGTTCGACAGTCAGACTAGGAAAATAATCGTCGTGCCAATTCCTATTTTGAGAAAAAGTTTCACTGGAAGTTCGGCTTCCTGTATCTAAGAAAGGGCAAATAACTTTACAGCAAGCTAGGACAAAAAACACCAGTGGCTTGAACCGAAACATTGATTGGCAGACCTCTCACCTGCGCTAACTTCCATTCCGAAGTGACTAGTATATATGGTCCGAGTTTAGCGTTGCAATGCCTCCTTCCAACTAGGACGACAGATCAAATTTCGGCTGCCCAGCAGCCGTCAACTTCGGGAGTAATCGTGGGTACTAGGCACTGTAGGTCAAGTGCTGCTCCGAGGATCGTGTACGCTGTATATCGTAAAGGAGGAAAGTCGCTTGATTCTATAGGAGTTTAATCAAGAACTCGACTGGCTAGAAGCATCTCCGGGGTTTGCAATGATACGGTGACGATCCCAGATTGGTGCACGTCTTAGGAGCGTGTACCAAAGTGGCTTGATTCTAGCGTCCAATCAAGAGCTCGACTACCGAGAAGCATCCCCGGGCTTTGCAATGATATTCGCTGGGCAATCCCAGATGCACATGTCTCCAAGTTCAATAGACGCGTACTAGTAGCGCTGCCCATGTGAGTTCTGCCATTCAAGTTCTTGCTGTAGTAATACTCCCAGACCTTGGCATGATAGAGCGCGGGATGTACGGAGATTGCGATGCCATGGTTTCCTATTATTCTGCAAAGATCAGCTTATCAGCGTCATTCCAAGTATAACGCAGTCCAGAAGTAAAAAGTACGCTATCAATCCAGCGCCTGTACCTCATCATGAGGTGCAAAGCGCACGACTAGAGCGCTTTGGGCAGTGCGTCATGCACAGGTTTGCATAATTTTTTTATATCCGGTGTGCATGACGTCAGGCGGAATTCAGAAGGTAATCACGTGCATTTATTCGCACGCACTGATTCGACGTCTCCAAATATAAGGGCTTCCGAATAACGAAAAAGGCTTGAGCCTTGCCACCATGTCACCAAACCCGAACTTCATGCGGGCGAGCGTTAATTCATTTCGTCCCTGCACATCAATGGATTTTTAGGGTTCAACTATCCCGTTAAGCCAGGAGCTGGACGTAAGTTGTACCTATTGGCCGCCGCTGGCGCCTATCAGATGGCACAACTGTGATCGGCATATAAGGAGGCAAGCCTCGAGGTCACCTTATGCCTACCGTACTGTCCTGTTTCGCATCAGCTGCTTCAACTCCATCGCAACTTGAACACCTTGTGGAAACAATGCCAAAGCAAAACAAGTCGGTCTTGCAAAGACAGTACAGAAGCAAGGAGCTCGATGGGTTTTCCTTGGTACGGGCGGAGATCTATCATGCTAGCAAAGGAAAGTCAGACCCCAAGACAAGACAAGATGTTCTACGAAAAGGTGTGTATATATATTGAATGAAAAAATAAAATTAGCTGAGTGTCTTCAGCTGCACGGCTGATTAGGGAGCTTTCTGTGTTGAACGCAAAGTTGCAACAACAAGTTTATGTAAAGTCCCGTCAAACCGGTTCCGAAACGCCACCAAGTTGTGTAGGAGGGTTCCCAACAACAATCAGTAGTAAGTATATCCTGTCCACAGGCAATCCGCACCTCATTGACGCCCAGCAGATCCTTGTACGCAAGGCTCATATTCTCCTGTACTTTACAATCATTTCATCGAGCAGCCCTGTCAGCTCGCAGGCATACCGCCGACTGAATCACATCCATACGTCACCAACACAGGGTATGAACTGTGCGATGACGTGTCATTGGAGAACACGAGCACAACCCCGGCATATGATCAGATCATCAGCCAGGTGAATTCTCATTGGAGTCTGGATCGCCAATATTACAACCATGGTGAACAAATATATGTATGGGACAATAGAATTGCCTAGTGTACATCAACTTCTCACTACCCGTGATAGCTAGATTTTTTATCTGTTGGGGGTCGATTTACGGCGTGAATCACATGTACATTCTCAGATTCTGGCATTTGATTACGGGCAGCTTGGTTGGGTATCGTAAGCCCTTGTTCGACTCGGATGACACCGACACTACTCACAAGCGAGTGCTTCCCGAGACTTTGTGGAGTATCTAGGGCCCGAGTCTTTCGGGGCTTTTCACAGTTTAAACATAGATTCCGACTTCTAGACGCGCTCGAACCCGCCTGCATCGAGGCCCGGGGTTTTCCAACTTGCCGGATCATGCATTTACAGGGTTAACATGAACTAATCGTCAATTTCTCAAGTAATCTCGATTTGTCTCTACTCCACATCTTCGTGTCCTGCAATCTTCTGCCTGGTTCCATCGGGACATTGCACCAACATATGGAGATGTGGACAGCAGGTGCGGAAGGATCTGAACATGCTGTCCGTCATCACATGGGACCAAGTCATCTGCTGTGCCGGACAAAACCTCCAATCTCACAATGCCGCCGGATTACAAGTTTAGTTAGCACCTTCAAACTTTGAAATAACTTACAAAACCTTGCAAGGCATCGACAAACCACAGATTGAGTTCCGCGGCATGCTGCGTTCAACGTAAGACCCATTAAAAGATTATCATCCATTTATAACGACATGCACTAAGTTGGCTCTTAAAATGTATTACATGGTATCTCAAGGCCGAAATCTTTTTTTGACATATTGATGAGTACGAAGGATCAGGAGAGGAGGATGGACTCACTTTCCGCAAGAGGATCTTCTGGAGAGAAATTCAGATGAACCCACCAAGGAGACATCCTGACACAGGCCTGTGGCTCAAGGGTCGTCCATACCGCCGTGGGATCATCTTCAAAGTGCTACCGAGATGCTGTTCTTTCTGAGCCGAAGTGCATATCATATGATTAGTATCCTAGACTCGTAACCAGTTTTTACTAAAGTACTTAACGTAGTAACGGTAAGACTGGCTGGATCATCTTGGAGAGATTTCGGAGGCGAAGTGCGGAGTTTCTTAAACATTATGCCCAGTAAAAATCGGTCGGACGCCCTCGCATCGAGATCGACGGGTTTGTAAGTTTGGAGTAGCTATAGTCAGTAGACCTAGATCGATGAAAATCTCACTTGTGCAGATTGAACAACATGTGTACCATTTGAGCAGTACATGTTCCATTTCCGTGCGAGGGCGTCCGACCGATTTTATCATCGACATCGCGCATCGGAGTCGAGCAGTACTGAGTACTGAACGTTGAACATTGAATAGGGTGATAAAATGATACCACTTAATGCATCCCGCACGTTCATGCTCCAAAATGTACCATCTGTTGAACCCTTCATTTGGATTATCGATCCTTCGCTAGCCCTGACCAAGACAAAAAAAATCCTGGCCATCCTAAAAATCCTTTGTGAGCTTCGGATGACGGCCACAGACCTCTTATTATACTCTATCAGCAAGGATATAAAGTATTTGAGCTGAAAATTTAGGATGCTGTGTTCCTTACAAAATAAAAGTGAGTTGTGCGAAAGCTTCAAGAGTTTGCTTGCTTTCGTCGAAAGGGTGCTCGTAAAGTCCACTGGTAGATTGTCGATAGCTTCTAGAGCACTACACGACAAGGGTGGGCCAAAATTGATGATCAAACTTGTGTATGGTTGGAGTTGACATCGACATAGCATACAGTCTGCGCGACGGTAGACACATAAGCTGTACTACGCGATTGTTACCGGTTACTACCAGCACGACCGGCATCTGAATCTGTCAGAATTTAAACTCCGTCGCCAGGGACTCGTCACTCGCGTGACCAGTTGCCTAAGATCTGGTTTCGCCACTCCGCTTTATCCATGGTGTCATAAGCCAGGGTCAGGCTCACGAGCCTAGATGTCGCCATTGAAGTACACTCACTGAATGCATTTTACACAAGTACATAGCACACCAACCAGTTACAACCATCCATTATAAGCGTGCCGTCACCTATAGAAAGCTCGGCAAGTTCTAGTATTCTACATTTACTTCAGTTTCTATTATAATTTTCTATCATAGGAGATGCGAGACGCAGGTTGGTTCGAAGGGTATCCAAAGGACGTATACTGGTCGATCTGATTCAAGCTGTTACTGTATCGTGGGACGGTACTCATCTGGTCCCGCACGCCCTCCAGCATGGCAGCATCGCACACCCCAGGGCTCATACCGATGTAAAAATCGTGCAGTGTGTTTTGCGATACGACTTGTGTCGTCCGGTGCGTGCAAGCCGACTTGACATCACCATTCCAGTGCAAGGACATGTCAGGTACCCGCACTGTAGGGTCTGTTTATCAGACAATTTGCAGCCAGACCTGCAGAAGCTGACACCTACTTTGTGTCATCATACAGCCCTCGCCGTTTGTCCCCGATGATTTTAGCATGTAAAGTTGCTGTTGCAGCTTCAGATTCATCAGGTTAAGTTGCCGGATATGTTGCGCAGCTAATCACGCATTGAATCCTTCTGTAGCTCAAATTTTACTCTGGTATGCTCACCTTTTGATAACGTCTCGTATTTTGTTTTGGGAGTTTCCTGATCATCTGTCGATTCGCGAATGGCCTCGCGAAGCTCTGCAAAGCCGTCGGTCTCCCTGTCTCTGTATTGCTTTTGCTGCGTGGACTTGTTCTGCCTGTATGCATGGTCTTTGGTATCGTCATGCATCATGTCGAAAGCCCCCGAATTTGGAGGGAACGAGGATATACAGTGTGCTTGCTCGACAGGGGAATAAATCATAGTGAGTCATAGGTCAATTGGCTTAAATACTGAAAACATTGCCGTTGCTACCTTGCTTCATGAAGGTGACAAACACAGCACTGAGATTTTCTTGCCTCGTCATCGGATGTAGTGCAAGCACAAGTCACAGTTAAGACGCCAGATCCTGTAAATGCTCGTAGCTATGCAATCTCAACGATGACATCGGCCGGACTTCAATCCCTTGACCTCATGAATTTGGCCTGAATGCCACATGGTTGCCTTGTCTTCGTTGTTCCCAATCGATCCTCGTGTCAACTTTCAAGGTCGCTCGTAGCGCCCAGGATCATGCTCCAATCAGGGGTGACGTGCAGGGGTGGTGTGTTGGGTGCCGCCGACGGTGGTGCGTGCACTCGGTTGGCTTATTGCTCAGTTTGACATCCGAGCGCGCTTCTCTTCGCCTCGATGCTTCTAACGTGTATAGCATATAGTATCTTCAGGTCTCTCTTCGACACTCATGCGAAATAAACTAAGTAGCGCCCTCATGGAAGCAAACTTCGTCCGAAGATGTCGGGTCCGAAAGATATCCAGGTACACATTGAGAACCTAAATCCATTGTGTGAGCTGCACGTCACTGGTGCCTTCAGGGATGCGAACTCAACCTAACCTAATTTCATTGGCTGGGCTGCACGTCAGTACCTTGAGGTCTGCGACTTATTGCACGTATGAGGCAGCGTCGAGGCTATACGCATAGTGATTCTTCTCAGCATAATGTATATTGTCCTCAAACTCTCCAAGTCTATTTACAGGCACCAGTAAAGCCTGACCTTAGTCCTTGGCGGCAAGTCATTCCTTCAATTTAGCAACCCTTGCGAACCTTACCGCGATACAATAGAGCGGTGAGTGGTATTTGTGCAACACGTTCGACACATCCGATGCCCAAGTGGAGCGGGCTCACTGTCAATAACGTACCGCGTTTTAACTTCTGCTGTCTGTCTCTGATGTCACAGTTATGGATATCATACATAAGATTGCTCTTGGATCGTCCATGTTGTCTTGGATTCCAGTTTTCGGGTGTCGTCGGGAATGACTCTTGGTCTCCTGCCATCTTTTCTGAGTCCGTCGGTGTTGACTCCAACATCAAGTCCTGATTGGAAGACAAACATACCACTGATACATCCTCATTGTTCCTTCGATATTTTTCGGTAGTGAACACTGCATCAGGGAAACCAGAACCCACGTTGCCTCGATTGGAGTTCGAACGTTCAGCTTCTATATTTATGTTTTTATCTTCGTCCAAATATATTACCAACCTGGTACTACTTCCACAGCCTCATTTCAATGCCCTCGTAATATCACTGCTATTACATTGATCGACAGGTTACCAAGCCAATCGTTATAGACTCATATGGTAGCAATCGAATTTTAATGTTAGTAAATCAAATTCACGGCAATTCACCTGAAAGACGGAGGCAAAGCTGACTGGCCGTCTTAGGAATGTATAAAAACTAATTTTCCATCACCCAAGCGGATCCTTAATAATATTCTTATTAGTTCACAAAGGAGCGATCCAATCATTTTCCAAAAAGCACAAGAAGAACTACTGGGGACTATGTAATGTAATAAATAGTGAGGCATATGTTATCCATCCTGCTCCCGCCGGATAATATTGATATATCACTTAAATGCCCCTGCCTTGTCCGGGGTACCCTCGCAAGTAGTTCATATCCGGCAGTGCAGCATTGCCCGGATAATATTGATCGGGATATTGCGCGGAGCTGAAGTTATTCCCCGGAGCACCGAAGCTAGACTCAGGAACGTAGGGGATAGCGGTAGTTCCCCCCGGCCATGCCCCGTGTGTCTGACCACCTGTGTGTTGTTTAGCATCTGAGTGAGTCCAATAGCCAGGTAATGCACCTTGCGCTCCCCACGACGAATGAGGGACTCCGTTGAGTTGTCTGCGTAACTCTTCATTCTGACGATTGAGCTCTCTAATTTTCTGTGCAGCTGGAGTGTGGGTTAGGTAATTGAATATCAACAAAATGGATTGACATGCCTGTCGTCAGTGTTTCGTGGCGTCTCGCCGGGTCAACCCTCCCCGCCGTCACTTCACGAATTGCTTCCTGAAGATCCGCGAATCCCTCTCCCTCCTTCTCTCTGTATAGGCGCTGCTGTTCTGCCTTGCTCTGAGGCGACTCAGTGAAGTTTGAGTTAAAAGACATCTTGAAAGTGTTGGGAGTGCTTCGAGTGAAGTGTTGTGTGATTTGAATGAAGTTTGTGTGCTTTGAGCGGGTTCATTGCAGACTATTTATTCATTATCGTGTCCACGAGTACGGACTGTTTAACGTTATC